CTTCTTTGTTTAGGCACCAGTGAAGAAAGAGAATTCTAGAAGGGGAAAAAGGGCGTTGGGTAAGGGGTGTTGTGGAGGAGGGGGGGGGGGTGGTTGAGGCGCAAAATTAAGCTCAGTAAATAGGATTAATTATCTTGACAAGATTCCATCACTATGAGAGACCATTTCTTGTCTTTGAATATATATTTTCCTGAAAATCCGATTTATCACATTTTCACTTTAAAAGTACTTTATACAAAGTTTTTTTTTTTTTTTTTTTGTGAAAGAATACAAAAAAATTAATTAATATATTCAAAATTATTAATTAAATTAATGTAAAAAAAAAAAATTATTTGAAAATTTAAGGGAGAATTTTTGTTTTTTCAAACGCTATTTGATATTGATTGATATAGTGCTGATAATAAATAATTCATTCAGTTTTTATATTTTTTGTGAAAATCACAAAAAAAAATACATAATTTTTATGATTTTTTTGTGTTTCTCTAAAAAATTACTCGTTTTTAAATAAAAATTTGATTAAAATCGAATGTATTTTATTGAAATATATATATAACTTTTATCTATAACATTTTTTTCCAAATTTTTTTTATATTTTCTGTCAAAATCGCAAAAAACTATAAATTTTTTGGTTTTTTTTTATTATTTTAACAATTAAATTCGAATTTTTGAGAATTTTCAGTATTATTTTCATTATCAGAATATTAAAATTAGTAGAAAAATTATGGTTAGAATAATTTAAAAACGGGTATAAAAAAATTACGTTATATTTTTTTTTGCATTTTTCAGAAAAATTGGTTGCTTTTCAGGAAAAATGTATTACAAATATAATGTATTTTAATGAGATTTACAACTTTTGTCTGAAAAACATTTTCCAATTTTGTATATTTTCCGTCAAAATCGCAAAAAAAAAAAAACAAAACTTTTATAGTTTTTTGTCAGTTTTTCAGAAAATTACTTATTTTTCAAAAAATGTTGTTTAAAATTAGATGTATTTCAGTTAAATATATAATTTTTATTCAAATAGTTTTTCTAAATTTTTTATATTTTATAACAAAATCGCGAAAAACCATAATTTTTATGGTTTTTTTGTCATTTTTTAAAAAAATTAATTATTTTTCAGAAAATTGTGTTTAAAATCAGATGTATTTCATTGAAATACACAACTTTTATTAACATATTTTTTCAAATTTTTTATATTTCCTTTCAAAATCGCAAAAAACCATAATTTTTATGGTTTTTTGTCATTTTTTAAAAAAATTAATTATTTTTCAAAAAATTGTGTTTAAAATCAGATGTATTTTATTGAAATACCCAACATTTATTAAAATACTTTTTATATTTTCTTTAAAAATCGAAAAAATCCATAATTTTTATGGTTTTTTTTTCATTTTTTTTTCAAAATTAATTATTTTTCAAAAAATTGTGTTTAAAATCAGATGTATTTCATTAAAATACACAACTTTTATTAACATATTTTTTCCAAATTTTTTATATTTTCTTTGAAAATCACGAAAAACCATAATTTTTATGGTTTTTTTGTCATTTTTTAAAAAAATTAATTATTTTTCAGAAAATTGTGTTTAAAATCAGATGTATTTCATTGAAATACACAACTTTTATTAACATATTTTTTCCAAATTTTTTATATTTTCTTTCAAAATCGCAAAAATCCATAATTTTTATGGTTTTTTTGTCATTTTTTAAAAAAAATTACTCATTTTCCAAAAATGTTGTTTAAAATAGAATGTATTTTGATGAAATCTATAACTTTTATCTAAATACTTTTCTTCAATTTCCTTTTTTTTTGTCAAAATCTCAAAAAACCGTATTTTTTAATGGTTTTCTATGATTTTCACAATTATAATCGATTTTCCACAATTTTCACTGTGATTTTCATTATCACTATATCAAAATTCATAGGAAAATGACGTTTAAAACTATTTTTGAATTTTGTATTTAAAATTTTAATTTTCGTCATAATTTCCAAAAATGAATTTTTTTTTTTTTTGCAAAATTTCCTTTTTTGTCTCAAAATAACTTGGACCTTTTAAATTTTCATAAATTTTGAAAAAAAAAATTGCATTTAATTTGCATAGAATATTGCTTCATTAAAAAATTAATTGAAGGGAAGATGTTGGAAATATTTTTTAAGTTGAAATTAATGTTGTGAATACACAATTTTTCAACGCTCGATTAAAAATTGTGGAAAATAATAATAATAATAATAATAAAAAAAAGTAACATATCTTTTTCTCACTCTCTCTCTCTTTCTCACTCTTTTTTCCCCACTCGTTCCACTTATTATCGCTTCACGCGACAACCTTTAATGAGAGAAAAGAGCTTTTTTACTTTCCTAATGGATTAGCTGTAAAAATTCTGTTAACGACCTAATATCTATATAATGCTGACTCTATTTACCAGAAAAACATTTTCTTCTCAGATTTCGACTCTTTCAAAAAAAAAAAAAGTAGAAAAAGTAGGAAAAGTAGGAAAGGAGAAAAAAAAACAGTTCGTCTCGAGAATATCATTCAAATTTATATGAATTTTAATTTTATATTACTTTTTTCCAGTTCGCGATAAATGAAATATTTTATTTAAAACAAACTTTAAATTAAAAGAATTCTTCTTAATTTTTTTCAGAATTTTTTAATAAAAACGTCCAACTAATTTTTTTAATTTCGTTATAAATTTTTTAACATTATATAAAAATTAAAAAAAAAAATTTTCAATTATTAATAATGAACTTATTTGTTAATCAAAATTATTTATATAAAAATATAAATAATAATTTATTTATAATAATAAATTATTTATATAAATTTATTATTTATTTATTTGTAAATAATTAAAAATTTCTATATCTAATTAATTATTATTATTATTATAGCGCAAAAATTCATATAAATAAAAAAAAATATATTTTCATAAACAAGAAATGAAAATGTTTTTTTGAAATTTATTTCAAAACTCGATTTGTTGATACCGCGATATGGCGCGAGTGATGAATATTATACATTTTCAAAAAAAAAAAAAAAAAAAAAAACTTATGGCGCGCAAAAGAAACAACAAAGAAAATTCTTTCACGATCATCGACTTTCTTTCACATGAAAGAAAATTCGAAATATGTCACCAGAATGTGTATGCTCTTGACACATTTACATAAACTGTCGAGGCCAACTTGATGTCAGCAAAAAAAAAAAAAAAAAAAAAAAAAAAAAAAAAACAGAAAAAAATGAATATAAAAGAAAACCCTTTACAAAGTACCTATACCTATCGTTTAAATTGTTGAACAATCAAGATATTCGTTGACATATGCGCGCGAATAGAAATAAATCGAAATCTTTTTATTTTCCCCCCAAAAAAAAAAAATAATTCTTCAAAATAAATTTTTATTTAAAATTTTTTTTTTATTTATTAAAAATAAATTTCCAAATTTTGTTTGGAAAATTAAAAATAAATTTCCAAATTTTGTTTGGAAAATTAAAAATAAATTTCCAAATTTTGTTTGGAAAATTAAAAATAAATTTCCAAATTTTGTTTGGAAAATTAAAAATAAATTTCCAAATTTTGTTTGGAAAATTAAAAATAAATTTCCAAATTTTGTTTGGAAAATTAAAAATAAATTTCCAAATTTTGTTTGGAAAATTAAAAATAAATTTCCAAATTTTGTTTGGAAAATTAAAAATAAATTTCCAAATTTTGTTTGGAAAATTAAAATGAAGGGATTTTGAAATCTGAGAAAAAAAAATTTTTCGAAAAATAATAGTGGAAGAGAAAGAGAGAATAAAAAGAAGAAAAATTAAAATAAAGCCGCGGAAGAAAAGAAAAATTTTTTTCTGATAGAAAATGCAATTTTTGAGCAAAAAGTTAAAGATCCTGCAATGGACATGTTTCCTACTGCAAACGGGACGCTTTTCCACTCCGCGACATTCTTTCCGGAACGTAGTGCCACTGGCTAAACCGATAACACCAAAAAGCTTTCCCTATTCGCGTCGTTCGACCGAGCGAAAAATCGGAAGCTGGAATAAATTTTACCTCCTATATATATATATATATATATATATATATATATATATATATATATATAACTTTTTATTTTCCCTTTTTTTTAAGGGGGGATAAAAAGACGAAAAAAAAATTTTTCTACCTGTAACAAAATAAATAACAATATTGAAAAAAAATAATTTTTTACCTTCGATAAAATAAATAACAATATCGAAAAATATTTATTATTGGGTTTTTCCTATAACAAATTTAATTATATTTTTATTTATTATTTTAATTAATAAATAAATTCTATTATTTATTACTATTAATAAATTGTGTATTTAAAGTAAATAAATTTAAATAAAAATAAATTATTAATATTAATAACAATATAGAAAAAAAAATTTTATTTAAATAATTATATTAATTTATTTGATAAAATAATTTACTAACTAAATTAATAAATTACGTAATTTCAATTAAATAAATTTTTAAAAAAATATTTTAATTAATTAAATTTTATTAATAGTACAAATTAATCAAATTTAATTAAATTAGTTTTTAATTTAGTTAATTTAAATAAAGTTTTTGTAAATAAATTAATTTATTTAGTTTTAGTTTGAATAAATAAAATAAAAATAAATATTTATTTATTGATTGAAAAATATAAGAAAATAAATTTAAAAAATAAAAAATTTTGTTTATTTAATTAATTTAATTAATTATATGGATCCACGAACCTTGCGCTTGGCAGGGAGAGTAAATAAACTGCAATTAATTAATTTATTTAATTATTTTATTTAATTACTTTATTTAATTTATTTACTTTTTTACTTATTTATTTATCTACTTTAATTATTTATTTATTTATTTAATTTATTCATGTAATTTATTTAAATTATGTAACTGAATTCAAAAATCATATGAAAAAAATCACATTTTTATATAGACAAAATTTTATTCAAAAAAAAGTACAAAAACGTCAAAAAATTGTAAAAAAAAAAAACTAAAAAAATAATTTATCCATTTTTATACTCGAAAATTTACAATACCAATTAACAGAAACAAATTTTTTTTTTTAAATTTCAATGCGAGAATAGTAGAAAATTACGTTCACTCTTTTTTTTTCTCCACTGTACGGTACAGAAATTGAGAAAGAAAAAATTTTTTTTTCTCATTCTATCTCAGAAAAATTACGAGACATTATTTTTAATTTTTTTTTTTTTTTCAAAGACTACTTTCGCTTCCGCAGTTTTTGGTATCACAATTATTAGCATCACGTCCAGAATTATCATTCTCATTGGCATCATCATCGCAGTCCATTGCATTTTGATTGTCAAAATCTTCAATTGGTGCATCATTTCTCGTTTGACTTCGATGACGTGATTGTGAACGTCTTTTTGTTTTATCAGACAATTCTTTTCTCTGATCGTGCCTCGAGTTCGATCTTCTCAAACCTTTTTTTGTTAGAAAGGAAAAAGAAATTATTTTTTTTTTGCAAATTTCCAAAATTTTGAAAAAATTTTTACAAAATTAATTTTTTACTATTTTTTTTTAATTAACAAAAATTAATAATTAATTTTTATAAAAAAAAGTAAAAATTAAATTTTCCATTAAAAACATTAATAATTAATTTTTTGCATTAGAAAAAAATGTAGTAATTAATTTTTGAATTATTAAAAAAAATTCAGTTTTGCAATAATAAAAAGAAATTTAATAATTAATAGAGAAATTTTGAATAAATTTTAAATAAATTAATTTTTTTATGTAATTAAAGAATTATCTACAGTTAAATAAAATTAATAGAAAAAATTACAGAATATGTTTTCTATTAATTTAATTTATTTTTTAATAAGTCAAAAAAATTATTGCATTTAAAAAATTTTTTATAAATAAATTCTATTTAAAAAAAAATTTTTTTAAATTCTATTTTTTATGAAAAAATTAAATTTAAAAATAAAAATAATAATTTCAAATTAAAATTTAAATTAAATTTTTTTTTTTAATAATACCATTGTCGGGTTTTGATTTTCGATTTCGAAGACGACTCTCGTGTTCGCTGCCCGAAATTTCTGAATATTTATCAATAATTCGTTTATGAGGACGATCATCGTCGCGAACTTTTGATTGTTTTATTGAAGATTTTTTATTATTATTATTATTGTTGTTGTTGTTATTATTCTCGGGAGCCATTTCTTGATATTCTTCATTGTCACCCCTCCTTCGTCCTCGTCGACGACTTCCCTTCCTCCTTCTGCGGCTTCCCTTTCTACTGCGACTTCCTCGCCTCTTTTTAGCCCGACTACAACCACATGGCCTTAATTAAATTAAAAAAAAAAATTGTTTAAAAAAATTTATATCAAAATTTTTGTCAAAATTATTTATTATTTTTATTTATTAACTAATTCAAAAAAAAATAAATTAATAATAAATAAAAATAATAAATAAAAAAATTTTTTTAAATAAATTAAATTTTTTATTTATTTTTAAATTTATTTTTAAATTTAATTTAAATTAAATTTTTATTAAAATTTATTTTTATTTACTTTCCACGATCGTGAATGGAACTAAGTGGATCCACTGCGGTTTTTTTGGATTCATCAACAACTGACATATCATCAACGACTTTGTAATCATCTTCAAATCGTCGTTTATTTGAAGGATGAGTGATTTTTGAAAGTGCAATTGCATTTTTATAACGACCATTTCGATGTCGCAGAATACCTGCAGTCACAGCATGTTTCAAAGCACGTTGAACCTGAAAAAAAAAATTTTTTTTAATTCTAAATTTTTTAAAAAATATTTTAATTTTTAGCCTCGTGGTAAAGTGCTCGGAACGTCCACAACCTAAGCGACCAGGGTTCAAAACTTCCCAAAAGTGTTTTTTTTTTTTTTGGTTTTTTTATTTAAATTTACAAATATTTACTTAAATATTACTTAAATAATTAAATATTTTAATTACAAATTCTTTTGATAACAAATTTTTGTATTAAATTTTTTTTTGGGTTTATTTTTAAATTATTTTACTTTCTGGCCTCGTGGTAAAGTGCTCGGAACGTTCACAACCTAAGCGACCAGGGTTCGAAACTTAGCAAAGGTGTTTATTTATTTTTTTTTAATTTCAATTTATTATTTACTTTTAATTTATTTTTTAAATTGTTGAAATAATTAATTTTTTTTTAATTATATAATTCTTTTTATTCGAAAATTTAATTATATTAATTATAATATTATATTTAATTATTTTTAAAATTTATTTCCAGATTATTTTAGTTTAATGTAGCCTCGTGGAAAAGTGCTCGAAACGTACAAAACCTTCGTCCAGGGTTCAAAACTTCCCAAAAGTGTTTTTTTTTTATATTTTTTTTTTGGTTTTTTTTATTTAAATTTACAAATATTTACTTAAATAATTAAATATTTGAATTACAAATTCTTTTGATAGCAAATTATTTTCATAAATTTTTTTTTCGGTTTATTTTCAACTTATTTTACTTTCTAGTCTCGCGGTAAAGTGCTCGGAAGTACAAAACCAACGTCCAGGGTTCGAAACTTGGCAAAGGTGTTTTTTTTTTAAATTCAAATTTACGAATGTTTAATTAAAAAAAAATTTTAATAATTAAATCTTTTAATTATAAATTCTTTTTACTAAATTTTTTTTTAATTTTTTATAATTTATAATCAAAAATAAAAAAAAAAATTTTTTTAATTTTTTTTTTAAAGTTAACAAACCTGCATTGTGAGATTCCTATTGGGACCGCTGGAGCCTTTTTTCACAATCTGAAGAATATCGCGTATTGATGATCCTTTTGATTCGCTGAGAATGGCAACAGCGTCCAAAACTTTGGCCATTAATTTTGGATGTGACGGTCGAACCATTTTGAATTGTCTTGTGCCTTAAAAAACACAAGATGCAGAAAATTCAAATTCTGTAAAAAAAAAAATGAAAATTATTATTTTCAAATATTTCTCTTACCTTTATTTTTTTTTTATTTATTTATTACTTTAAAAATAATTATAATTAATAATAAATAAAATAATAAATAAATTATTAAATAATTTTTCATTATTTTGGAATTTTAGTTTTCTTTTTTTAAATTTTTATGTACTAAAAAAATTTTTTTTAAAAATTCAAATTTTTATCCAGTTAAAAAATAAATAATTTTTTATTTATTATTATTTTTTTCTTTTTATTTATTTATTCATAAAGCAAAAAAAAAAATTATAATTATTATTTATATTCCCCCCCCCCTTAAAAAAATTTAATTTTTTCCTTAAACATATTAAAAAAAAATTTTTTTTATATAAAATGTATATCATGTCAATATAAATCATCAATACACGGTTTTTTTTTTGCGAAATTGAAAAACCATATAAAATGCCAAGAGATCATAAATTCACACGACTCGAGATTCTTATACGATGAATATAAAAGGGAAGAACATTTCCGGATGAAAAAAAAAAAAATGTTTCGATTCACGTGAAAAGTCGCGTATTTTTATTTTTCACTGAATCGTAAAAAAAAAAAATTTTTTTTTTTCTTTTTTTCCTCACAAGATTACAAACACCAAACGGAAATGAAGGAGAAATATATTTTTTTATTTAAATCGACTGTAAATATTGTAATTATGTGAAAAATTTTTTTTCTTTAAAATTTAATAAATTTTCAAAAAAAAAAAAAAATTAAGATGCATAAGAAAAAAAATTTTTTTTTCCAAAAATTTTCCAAATAAAAACAAAGTTAGTAAAGAAAAGAAAATTAATTTTTTTTTAGAGAATTTATTTTAACGGTACCTTTTTTTGGGAAATTGAGTGATCGCAATGAAAACTACTCAAAAACTGCGAAATCATGAGATTTGGAAAATACGGGAATTTTTTTCAAACTTAAAACACGAACGATCCTGAAGAAACTGCGAAAAAAACAATTTGTTTGCGACTCGTTGCTTAGCAAAATATGATTTTCAATTGTTTTCACGGTGGAGAAAAAAACGATGCGAATTTAATTTTGTCACTGTAATAATTATTTTAATTTTTAATAATTAATATTTAATTAATAATAATAAATAAATAATTAATTAATTAATTAATAATTAAATAACTAATAAATAATTAAGTAATTAATAAATTAATAATTAAATAACCATAAATAATTAAGTAATTAATTAATTAATTAATTAATTAATTAATAATAAACAATTATTAATATTTAATTTAAATAATAAATTATTTTAATTTTTAATTAATTAACATAATATTTAATTGTAATTAATAATTATTTAAATTTAATAAAAAATAATTAATTAACAAATATTTAATTCAAAATAAATTCAAAATTTATTTTTAAAAAAATTAATAATATATTTTTGCAATTGGTAAAAAAAAACTTTTGTGAATTTTGAAAAAAAAAAAATTACAAAATATTTTTGAATTCCGTTTTTATAATATTAACAAGATAAATTCCTTTCCTGTGAAAATATTTCCAATTTGTAATATTAAATATATATATATATATATATATATATATATATATATATATATATATATAGTAATATAATACAATTTTGACATAGAATTTGCCAAAATTTGAAAACTAATTCAATGCGTACAATCGTTCTCGCGAAATACTTTTCGAAATAGTTGTCGAAGAATTTCTCAACCGGAAAAGCGAAAATAAGAGATTATTAAAGTTGCACGACGACTTCAACTTCTAAAACTAAATTCCAATTTATTATTCGATTGACTTACTTTTCAAGAGGTGTGAAAGAAAAAAAAAATTTCACGCTTAAAAAGAAACCAACTAACATAACCTCAAAATTTTTTTTTAATTTTTCAATAATATTTTTCTCCTAAATAATATCTATATTTAATATATTCAATTTTTAGCCAATTTTATTGAAATTTTTGAGGTTATGTAGGACAAGTATTAAATTTTGAGGTTATGTTCTCGATCTTGAATTTACGATCCTAATTTTTTACGATTATATTTGGCTAAATTTCAAGGTTATGTTTATGCTTTTCGACCATTTGCTCGTTAAACTATCAGGTTATGTTTACTACCTTTAACTAAATTTTTAGGTTATATATTTATACTCTTTAACCTTTTGCCCTTGAACTATCAGGTTATATTTACTCTTTGATCTAATTTTTGAGGTTATGTTCATCTTTGACCTTTCGTTCTTGAATTATCAAATTACATTAACCCCATGACCTAAATTTTTAAGGTTATGTTCGATTTTCGAAACAACATTTTTTTTTCGCAATATAAACTTTATTCGCAAAAAACTAATGAAGAGAGAAAAAAAAGTACAATCAGTGCGAACAAAAAAAAAATAGATTCCACCCCACTATTTTAAATTACAATAATAAAATTTCTCATGAATGATGCTAGTAATTGCCAAAATCCCATTTGCCTTTGATGTGTTCGGGAATCCAATAGAGAAATCTCTGTTGACGTTGATTTGGTGCCATCGCCAAGTTGCAATCACAAATTAAATGTTTCGAGTTGGCGTGTGATTTGCCACCTTGTGTGTCCTTTAATACACTGCGAACTTGTGCAAAATCATTAACTGTCTTTTCATTGAATGTCACCATGTACAAATTTATTTTTTCTTTTTCCTCCCCAAGTCTTTTATTATATATATATATATTTTTTTTTTCTTCTATACTTTGGTCACAGCCAATTACAGCGACAAACATTCGTAATTACCTGTTTAATTTACACAGCGAGGAACACAATTCCAATATTCTGATTGAACGATAATCAGAGGGAGTTCAATAAAATTAACGTCTGACCACTGGATCGGTGTCACTATTATCGGAATTATTTGTTTGTACTCGACGGTAATTGAGTTTCACAAAAGGAATCCTTTTGATCCACCGGATGATGATGATGAGAAGGAAGGGGGGGGGACGATGGTTTTCTATTTGCACTCTCGCACAATTTAGCCTTTTCTTGTATACCGCGCGTGTTTGTAGGTAGCACTCAACCTACCGCTATTCATATGCTGAACGCAGAAGCGTTTAATTCCATTTCTCGTTCTAAAAAGGTCATTTAAATTTCATGTTAATTGTCAAATCCGTTTGATTATTGAAATTTGTGTCTATGCGATTGGAATTTTTATTTTTCAAAAATTAATTAATATTGAAAGCAGATGAATAATTTTAATTAAAGTAATTAATTTATTTATAATTTAAAAAGTAAAAGAAAACATTTTTGTTGATAAGAAGAAAGTAAAAGGTTTAGGCGAAATACAGTAACGAATTTCTTGAATTAGAATTGATTTTATTAGCAATGTATCAGCAGTGGCGTTGCCTAAAGAATGAAGCGATCAGTCGAGCGGACCCCTTTTTATACAACTACCGTGCAACGGGAGAGGGGGTAGCGCGCTCTGATTGGCCGCACTCTCCGCGTGGAACTTTCACTACCAACGGACGGCCAATCGCTGCGCGCTACCCTCTCTCCTGTTGGACGGCAGTTGTATAAAAAGGGGTCCCCGCTTAGTCCCCATTCATTCTTCCACTATCGTTATTGCTGAGAACTTATGTGGAATTTATTTTGTGTTTTTTAAAACAGTTAAATTAAAGGAAGTGAATTTCTTTTTTCTAATTACAGAAAACAATTTCAAGGGGTTGAAGCAAATCAAATTGATGATCCGATCGAGTAGAGAAAAAGGGAGGACCCGTTGGTGTCGATCATGAAGCAACGAGTCCTGCTCGCCTTCGCCAATTTAATTACATCCTACGCCTCATTTCTGTAAGTGTACTCGAAACTTTCTCCTAACTCAAATCTCGGGTGTCAAGTGCGCCTCTGTAAATTTTCTCATTTCCTCCCAAATATATCCATCTCGATTACTCTCAATAATTAAATTTATATAATATTAATTATATTTCATTTTTCTTTTAAATTCGAAAACAAGTTTTGATTAATTTTTCTTTGTAAAAATGAATTTAAGAAAAACTAGTTTAGATTAATTTAATTATTATAATTAAAAATTTTAAAAATTTAAATTATTATAAATTAATTTAAAATTTTTAATATTAGTTTAAAACTAATTTTTATTGATTACTATATTCTAAATTTTTTTTATTAATTCAAATTGTGATATATATGTTACGGATTTCCGCTTGAAAATTGATTAAGATTGGAAAAAAAAGAACAATTTTCCAGTTTGTTCTCCCTTAATTATAGCGTACTTAAAAAAAAATAAAAAAGTTTTTTCTCTCACTCTCTTTCTAAAGCACTTGGTTTTTTATTCCCACGTAATCTTCGTTTAAGAACTCTCGTCAGACTTATAATCCAGTCTCGTCTCGTGATTTTCCTCTGCCGTGAAATTGCTTTCCCGTAACTTTTCCGAGTATCGACGCGCGCGCTTTTTTTTCCAAATGACGGATCTGGAAATCTCGCGAATCGGAATAGTAAACGTAAATCCCGATTCTTTGAGTAAATAGAAAAAAAAAGAAGAAAAATTTCCAAGAATCGTTATTTACGTAAATACCCAATTTGAATTTATCTAAATCAAATAAAAAAAATTTTTATTCTCCTTTGTTATTTTTTTACAGGATAAAAAAATAAATGTGAATTAAATTTTTTAATTTAATTTGAATTATAATTTCGATTAAATTAATTAATTTAATTCATATTTAATAAAAAAATTTTATTATTGGTGTTTTTCCTAAAGTATGCCAAAGATTATGATTATTAATTTGAATTATAGTTTGAATTAAATTAATTAACATAATTTATATTTAATAAAATATTTATTATTGGTGTTTTTCCTAAAGTATGCCAAAGATTATGATTATTAATTTGAATTATAGTTTGGATTAAATTAATTAATTTAATTTTTATTTAATAAAATATTTTTTTATTGGCTTTTTTCCTAAAGTACACGCCAAAGATTATGTAACTAAATTTTTTTTTTCTGTTTCGAAACTGAATTTTTGATCGTTTCCCTCCTGCTTTGGAAAAGTTGAAAAGATTTTCTTCTCTTTTTTCATCATTTATAGTTAGTTTCACATTATACTTTGCCCAGAGTTTGGTGTAGACTTCCGATTTGAAATCAAAAGTTTCAGGAGAATTTGCTATTTACATCACTTTATATAGCTGTGTGTGCAAATCAGAAACTGGGTAAGGTTATACTGTGTACCTCAAAAGGTGAAAATAAACTTAATCCAACTTGATTGAAAGATGATTGAAAATTGAGTTAAAAAAAAAAATTTTATTTAACTGTAAAAAATTTTATTTTTTTCTTTCGTTTAACTTAAAGTCAATATTTAATTATTTACCCTTACAAAAAAAAGTAATAATAATAATTTATAACAATTATATTTTTTATTTATATTTAAATTTTGCTTGTTCGCCCCTCCCCTCCTCCCATCTCTATCAATCTCTCAGTTTCAAAATTGAAATAAATTTCAGTGAAAAAAAAAAAATTGAATTTTTCTCTAAAAGCCTTTCGAGTCAAATTTAAAGCTCATAAGTTAAACTTCTTTTCAAAGAAAGCTTTCAATTCAAGGCAGAGAATTTCAAATGGCTTTAAAATTGGATTCAAAAGACGGTATTATTTATATACGGTGGTAAAAAATTTGAAAATTTTTAAAAAATGAAAAAAATTTAATTAGGTACAGAATTTGGCATTCCTATTTTTTATAGAAGAATATACCTAATAATTATTATAATCATAATTTTTACTAATTTTTACTACTACTACTACAAAATTTTCATAGAGTACATTTTGTCCCCATTTAATTTCTAACAAAGTAATCCTTTTTAATCTTAGATAATAAATAAAGCACCGTATTTTGTTCTAGGGAATAAAATAGCCTATTTTGTCCCTAGGGAATAAAATAACCCATTTTGTCCCTAGGGAGTAAAGTAATCCTTTTTGGCCCTAGGAAATAAAATGGCCTATTTTGTTTCTAGAGAGTAAAGTGTTCCTTTTTGCTCCTAGGGAATAAAATAGCCTATTTTGTCCCTAGGGAGTAAAGTAATCATTTTCGTCCCTAGTGAATAAAATGCCCTTTTTGTTCTAGGGATTAAAATAACCGTTTTAGTCCCTAGGCAATAAAGTGACATTTTTGTCCCTAGGGAATGAAATAACCCATTTTGTCCCTAGGGAGTAAAGTAATCCTTTTTGGCCCTAGGGAATAAAATTACCCATTTTGTCCCTAGGGAGTAAAGTAATCCTTTTTGCTCCTAGGGAATAAAATGCCGTTTTTATTCTAGGGATTAAAATAACCGTTTTAGTCCCTAGGCAATAAAGTGATATTTTTGGCCCTAGGGAATAAAATAATTATTTTTTTTGTATCTAGGAAATAAAATGACAAAAAAATAATTGAAATTTTGTAAATAAAAATAGAAAATTAATTTTTTTTGTTTCTAGCGCTGCAACTGGACCGAAAGCATCGACTCGTCAAAGAACACAGAGCAATAATCACAGTAATATTAGTGAACTTTTGGATAATTTGTTACGCGGTTACGATAACAGTGTAAGACCAGATTTTGGAGGTCCTCCTGCTACCGTTGAAGTTGATATTATGGTCCGAAGCATGGGACCCATTTCGGAAGTTGATATGGTAAAATTTATATTATTGAAATTTTATTCCATTTAATTATTATTAAATCGTGAAACAAAAAATTCTCAATGAATATCTGCAACTAAAATTTTAAAAAAAAAATTTATAATTTGGTGAATTTATTTTGAAATTCGATTGTCGTGGGGAAAAAAAAATATATATTGGATTTGTGAAAAAAAAATGGTTTCAGAGAACAAATTTGTACGAAATTCGATTTAGATGAGTGAAAAAAAAATTTCCATTTAAAATAAGAAGAACTCAATTTTCAAATGTATTGTTATATATATGTTATATAAGTGTAGGTAATTTAAAATGAAAAAAATTTCTTAAAAATAAAAAATTTAATTTTCCTGTGGGGGAAAAAAATAATGAAAATTTAATAAAAATACAAAGTAAAAGAAATAATGATATCGATCAGTTTTAAAAAAAATAAAATAAACGTATAGCAAATAATTCTAGATTTTTGTTTTTTTGCAAAAAAAAAAAAAAAAAAAAAAAAAAAAAGAGGGTACACTTGAGATGTAGTAATTCTCGATGGGATTTTATATTGAATGGTCATTGTGGTCAAGAAGCTTTTCAATCGTTGCAAATGTACTTCACATGCGAGGGAAGTGCCTCTCGATAGGTCATCGTGATTAGGATTTATTCGAAAGATTCAATTCCTTTATGTACCTACATATTGATTTAAAAAAAAATAAAAAAAAAAAAAAAAATGAAAAAGAATCTTTTCTAATTGTTCTGAGAAAAATGCAACAATTCTTTTTTCAATAAAATTACCTATTAAACTCGGTTAGAAAGGGAAAAATTATTTATGATTATTAAAATTAACAAAAATTTAATTTGATCCTCTTTGTGTGTCTTACCCTCACAGCATCAGATATCCTAGGATATTCCCAAAACATCCCTTGGATATCCTAGGGATACCCCAGAGATATCCTAAGGATACTTTAAGGATATCCAAAGTAGCGGCGGTTAGGATATCCTATGGATATCCTAGGGATACCCCAAAGATATCCTAAGGATACTTTAAGGATATCCAAAGTAGCGGCGGTTAGGATATCCCAGGGATATCTAAGGATGTCCCAGGGATATCCTAATTATTTCCCTGGATATTATTAGGATATCCTGTGGATATCCTTAGAACGTCCCAAGGATATCCTCAGGACGTCCAATTACGTTCTAAGGTAACAGCCCAGATTTGAAAGATGATTGACAATCACGGGAAACCTATTTGTATAAAAAATCGCTATCTCAAATAGTCAAAATTTGAATCATAATGATATCCTAGGGAGATCTTAGCGATATTTCTAGAATATTTTAACGATATACCAAGTTTATCCCAAGAATATCCCCACGATATCACTAGGATATCCCTGGAATATTCTCAGGATATCCCAGGATATCCCAAAAATATCCTACGTAACGGCGGTTTGGATGTTCTGAGGATATCCTATGAACGTTTTCAGGATATCCTACATTAGTTTAGGAAATCCTCAGGATATCCTTTTATTGTGAGGGTAAAAATTTCTAAACATAACCTATAATTTTTTGCGTCTTGGATTAATTTCTTCACGAGCGAAGTGACTTTACATCAATAAAAATTTTAGGTTATGTTTAGTGATAGTTTTACTTTGATAAAATGTTAACATAACCTAAAAATGTTTTTGACGTAAGGTCCCTTCTCTCGTGTAACGTTACGTGTATTATTTAAATATATTTATATATTATGCATTATATAAATATTGTATATTAAATTTTATATAAATATTGTATATTATATATTATATTTTTATATTTTAAAATTTATTTTACATTTTTATATATTGAGACGGATTCTATTATTTCTAAAAAGAAATTTTTTTATTTTCTTTATCTAGACCTATTCAATGGATTGTTACTTCCGGCAATCGTGGGTCGATCGACGTTTGGCATTTCAAGGAAACAAAGAACATCTGGCACTAAGTATTTCCATGCTTCAACGAATCTGGAAGCCAGATACATATTTTTACAATGGAAAACATAGTTACCTTCACACCATCACTAGTCCCAATAAATTTGTCCGACTTTATAAAGATGGTCGTGTGCTCTACAGTTCCAGGTACTGTTTTCTTTTTTTTTAAAATATTTTATCAATTTTCTTTGTATTTCTTTTTACATATATTTCAATTTTTTTTTTTTTTTTTTGTAATATCGAAAAACTAATTGAATTACAAATAAGTATTGGAATATCCATTACTGCAAAACGCTCTCTATTGAATTTTTTTTTAAATCGAAAGTAGTCCAGTTTCCACCAATCAGAATAACTTTTAAACCCAGTGTCGAAAATTGGTACTACAAAACGCTCTCAGCGGATGTTCCGCTTTTTTTTAAATCGAAAGGAGTCCAGTTTCCACCAATCAGAGTAACTTTTAAACCTAGTGGCGAAAATTGGTACTACAAAACGCTCTTAGCGGATGTTCCGCTTTTTTTTAAATCGAAAATAGTCCAGTTTCCACCAATCAGAATAACTTTTAAACCTAGTGGCGAAAATTGGTACTACAAAACGCTCTCAGCGAATGTTCCGCAATAGTTTCAAAGATATAAAATTTTTAATTTTTTTTTATTCAATTTACAAAAAACAAAAATTTCTGTTCCCTTAATTTTTTGTTTTATAGTTAAAAGGAAAAATTTCAAGTCAATTTAACACCAATAGAAGGAAACAATTTGTAACTAAAAATTTGTTTTTTCGTAATTAACGAAGCGTATAGAAGTGTAAAAAAAAAATTTTTTTCTTTCTTTCTAATTCCCAATAGCCAATAAAATTTGATTATGAATATATATATATATATATATTGTAAACGAAAATTGCACGCGAATCAATGAACCGAGTCCAATCAAAGGACACGAGATTCAAAGCAGATTACTCTGAGCTTTAATATTTCCGACAAAAAAAAATTTTTTTCTATTTTATAAATGATCCTTTTTTTTGCAAATAAGTTAATATTCCAAGTTATCAATTTTAAAATTGATTGCAAATTGAATAGAAAATTCCAATTTTAATTATTTTCGAAAAAAAATGTATTTACAGTTCCAAAAGTATTATATGGTATTTTAATTTAATTTCTTTTTAAATTATTTAAATCTAGTATCAATACAGTGTGACAGTTAATAAAAATAAAGTAACAATTTGCGAAAAAATTTTTTTTTTTTTTTTTTGATTGATACTGGGAGTTAAAAATAAATAAAGATTGATTTTCAAATGAAATATAAATTCCATTGATATTCGAATAAACCTAAAACTTGATTGATACTCGATTTAAATATAAATTCAATATATATATAGAAAAAAAAGCGAATAAAATATATAAATTCAATATATAGATATATATATAGAGAGAGAGAGAGAGAGAGAGAGAGAGAGAGAGAGAGAGAGAGAGAGAGAGAGAGAGAGAGAGAGAGAGAGAGAGAGAGAGAGAGAGAGAGAGAGAGAGAGAGAGAGAGAAAGGGAGATATATAAATGTAAATTTGATTGAAATTCGAATTAAGAAACAAATTTTCTAATGAAACTGTAATCAATGGGATTTATTTTACCTTCTGATTAGGTTTTGTAAGCTTTTATATAGCTATTCATCCGCAAATCCTGTTTCAGCAAAAGAGAGGATGAAAGTGTCCTTATTGGTTTTCACAGCGAGTAATTGCTGTTGAGACAGTTTGTCGAGGTTTCCTACTACGAGCTTGCGCTAATAAAGTATATAGAGCAAACATTCCACATACGTGATCCTCTAATCGTGCCTTTGCACTTCTTTTTTTTTTTTTTTTTTTTAATCTCAATTTCCATTTTTGTTACTCACTTTTCGTAACAAAAACAAATTTAAAAAAAAAGAAGTTTTTTTAACATATAACTACCCTAATAATACAAGATATCTTGGGATATATTGATAATATCCCGCAGATATCCTAGGGATGTCCTATGGATATCAAAAGGATCTCTTAAGGATATCCAAAAAATCGTCGGTTTGGATATCCTTTGGATATCCCATGGATATCTGAGGATATCTTCTGGATATCTCTATAGACTTTCATAAATGTCCTCCAGATATCCCATAGATATTGTCAGGATATCCCATAGATATCTTCATTTAAAATAAATTAGAAGCTCATAAGATTTTTGTTTTTATTATATTATTATTCATTATATTAGCTTAACAATTTTAACCTTTAAAAATATATATTGAGATATTAAATATCCCGTGAATATCCTAAGAATATCCCACGTACATCCTGAGGATATCCCATGGATATCCTGCGATATAATATCCAATAGATATTTTGTGGATGTCTTAGGGATATCCTGTGGATATCCTATGGATGTCCTGTTGATGTCCCACAGACCGGCGGTTTGGATATCCTAGGGATATCCCAAGATATCCTGGGGACCATTCTAGGATATCGACCATTGATATGGATATCCTTTTGTCATGAGGATAATTGTTAATTATTTAAAAGAAATAAACTAGAATTTTTGTTTTATAAGAGATAAAAAAAAATTTTCTTTTTTCATTTCGGCGCAAAATGTGAAATTATGCAATTAATCAACTTTTCTATTATTTCCTGATAAATATAGGATTCGCAATTTAGAAAGGATTTTTTCGAATCCTCTCGAAAAGAAGAATTTGCCAATTTCTTGTGGAAAATGACCGGTGCGCCGCGCTTTCGAAATATGCCGATCATTTATCAAAGCTAATCCTTTTTCCACTGAACGAAGGTTTATGTATAAGAAGGGGAGAAATCCGTTTTTTTTATAAGCCTTTTTGTGATTTTGAATTCTGCGGATGAGAGGCCTCATGACTGTATAGAAATGAAGATAGGGTCAGAAAAATAATCTACGAAATTTTGTTATCATATATGAAGCTGGTGAAGAAAAATTATTTTCAATTTTGAATATATATATATATATTAGTGGAATAAGAAATTCTAAGAAAAAATATTCTAGTTTTTTTGCAAAATTTATTCTAAATTCTACTATAGGCTAAAAATAAAAATATCTTACGTACTCTCTAAATCTGAATTAGTAAAAATGTTTACTAATTTGAATTAGTGACTCAAGTTTTGTTTTAACTAATTGTTAGTAAAAGTTACTAATAATTAGTAAAAAATTTTAAATATTTAAAAATTTGTAATTCGCGCCAATTTACCATCTGTTTTACCGACCTATTAACATAACCTATAATTTCTTGTATCTTAGGGCCCTTTCTTCAGTATACTCTCTAAATCTGAATTAGTAAAAATGTTTACTAATTTGAATTAGTGACTCAATTTTTGTTTCTGAATTAGTTAAATTTTACTAATTGTTAATAAAAGTTACTAATAATTAGTAAAATTTTACTAATTCAGAAGCAAAAAGTGAGTCACTATTTCAAATTAGTAAACATTTTTACTAATTCAGATTTAGAGAGTATACTGAAGAAAGGGCCCCCTAAGATACAAGAAATTATAGGTTATGTTAATTGGTCGGTAAAACAGATGTCAAATTGGCGCGAATTACAAATTTTTAAATATTTAATGTATTATTTAATTAATATTAATTTACAATACTAAAATTAGATATAAAATTCCCCCAAAAAAATACTTTTAATTAAAAAAACGAAATATTTCGCTTTTGTAGAAAAAAAAAAAAATCAGTCATTTTCGAGTAAAAATGAATTTACTTCGGAAAGAGTATATATATATTTACCAAGTGGTGTTGAGTAAACGTGAATTTTCCATGTAATACCCTTAAAACGTGGGGTCGATTTTTCCGGCGGAAAGTGAAACGTGTCTCGATTCGCGGAAACAGGACATGGCGTGAATGTCAAATGGGATATTTTCCAATGGAGATATTTCGCAAAGTTCTATACATAATAACATATATATATATATGTACATATACGTCTCAAAAAAAATTTTTTTTTAAATATAAAAACTCTCTCTTCCATTTCTGATATTACTCGTATATATTATTATTATTAGAAACGGATTTATTTTTCATTTTTTATACTGTATTTCTAAAAATATATAGAAATCTGGAACGAAAGAAAATTGAAACTTAATAATATTGTTACAAAGCGAAATAATCGATATTATCAATATATTCTAATAATTTTGAAGTTAGGGGAGGCACATTTTAATAAATAACCAATATGCCAGTGGAGTAATTTTTGAATGCAACTTCTTGTTTCAATTATGTCAAAACTTGAGAGAGAGATGACATTTTTTTGAAATATATATAAGTGTGCAATTTGGAAAATTGGAAACTGCCCAGAGAATATATTTTGAGAGTAAAGGAAAATTGTGGAACATCTCTCACAAAGTTAGTCAGAGCGTTATGAAGGCACGTATGTGTGTACACTTAACGCTCTAGTTGATTCCCTTTTCGTTACTATCTCTCTCTCTCTCTCGTTCTCTCTGCGAGATATAAGATCGAAAGCTATGACTGAGATTTGTCGATCGGTGAGAAATTCATGTGCTATATTTCTTCTTCTCTCTCGCGAGAAGGATGTGGCAAGGTGCCACATCTCACCTGGAAATAACAAGATTTTCACATCTTCCCAACACTTCTACCCTTATAACTCTGATTTACTTTCTCATATATATTTCTTATCTTTCTTATTCCCTCTCTCTTTCTCAATAACAATTTTTTTTCGATTTAATTTTTGAATTTCCCGCTCAAAATTCTGTTTTACCGACCTGTTGATAGATTGGAAACTCACTATGATTAGGAATCTCGAATTTATTTTTAAAGACGTGAAAAAAGATTCAATTTTTAAAATATTAACCTTTCTTTGCGATAATAATATGGAAAAGAAATGAATCTTTTGCTCTCTTCGGCTTTAAAAAAAAAATCTATTTTTGCCCTCTCATGGAAAATAATCGTTGCGAAGGGTGAAAAAGAACCGCGAACATCACATATATATACATATATATATCCCAGTGCAATTTACACCATCTAGAGTTTCCGGTTTCCGGTCGCAATTATAAACGAACTCAAAAAGATCATATCGATTCGGTTTTTTTTTGACTTTAAAGATGCGCGACAATTTTTTTTTCTATTCAAAATCGATTAAAAAATCTTTTTTTTTAAATTAAATGAATTTCTTTTTTATATATACATTATGTATATATTTTTCCGCGCTGGGACAAAAATAATATTTATAGTAGGATTAGAGAAAAACGTGTCTCGTAATATTTTCTAAACTAATTACAATAATAAAATATGTAAGGTAAGAGAGAGTTTTTTTTTCGTACATAAAGTTACCTCTCTTGCGATTTAATGTTAGGAATTAATCTCTGAGTTTGCCGTTTTAATAGACGGTGTGAAATATTACAAACAATTTGGTCTCAGTTTTAACTAAGCTTGTCTTGTCTTCTGCATTTCGTTTCCAAGTTTTGGTTTGTCTTGAAAGCTAATTTTGTTGGAAGTTAAGCGTAAGCATTTCCAGTTTACGAAGACTTCCTGTCATTGCGGATTACGCCCGTTTTTGCCCCCGTTCACTTCTTCGTTCTCACGCTTTCTTCATATCAACTCATCGCGAAAACTTCCGGTTTACTTCAAACTTTGCCAATTTAATCAGTGTGGCATACGGGGATTAAAATTTTTATATATATTTTATATAAAAAAGAACATCATTCGTCAAAAAATCGAAGCTTTAAAATGAAATTTATTTAAGAAAATTGGAAAAATTAGAATTCGTGTTATGAAATTTTTTTTTTTTTTTGAATAGTTTGAACAAGAAATGAGCCTTGAATTTTCTCAAGTTGCCCTTTAAATTTTCTCCTACATTCGCAACAAAACCACATGACAACGACCTTTTCAGTGTAACTGGAAATTGCTAGTCCACACCATTTACAACCCACAAGAGACCCTCCGCACCCAATAACGACGACCCTCTCTATATACCCTTTAACTAAACAAACTTTTAGTAACATTAATTTAAATTCCTTGCAATGGCTATTTTTTATATCTCATCATTTTTCTTTCCCCGACAATTCAAACTTTTATTTTTTCACTGTCCCTCGTAGGGGACCGTTTGAGGGTATTGAAATGTCAAGTAAACATAACATAAAATTTTGGATAGAATAAATTGTTTAAAAATAACTGAATCGAAAACCCGACCCTCACTAAAAATAAAATTAAAAAAACAACCGTAGAATACTTTTAAAGAAAAGATTTTTTAAGAAAACTAAATTTAAACTAAAATTGCGAAATTCTTTTAGAGAAAAAATAAAATTTGAAATCAAAAATTAAATAGTTTAATTTTTAGTTCAAAAGTAAAATACGAAATATCCCTTAGAATTAATTTCACGAGAGTAGAGAACTATATAGAGAACAATTATTATTGAAAAATTGAAAGGAAACAAATTTGGGTAATGGAATAATTTAAAGTTAAAGCGTCTTTGAATATATGATTGTTGAAGTTACTTGCGGGGTATATGTATATATATATATATATTTGATATGTTTGATGAAGGTTAGAGGAAAGACATAATCGTGATGGTTGGAAACTGGAAATGTACTCTCGTGTCTATTACTTAAATGGGCACTACACGATCGGATATATAATATAAGATGAAGAGGGCAAAAGAGGTGAATGAAGGGGGGCATGAGTTTGATCGAGTTATACTGTATTCGACGTTGCTCCAGATTGCAAACTGTGAACAGCCAGTTAAACTTTAGACGAGGTGAGACCTTTCGATCTATGAGCAGTCGGATTCAAATTGGAAATTGCGTCTACTGATCGTCAATCCCTCCCTCCCTTCTACATACATATATATTTGAACTAATCGCAAACCATTCCATTCCATAATTACAATATCTCTCGAATATGTTGCGATTGCAGGAAATGTATTTGATATTTTTATACATTTCATTCAATAGATTTATATTTATTTCATTCCATTTTAAATGAAGTCTAGAATTTTATTTTCAACGCGCGAAGAAAATTTATTGGAAAAAAGAAATAGAATTTGAAATTGTTTCACAATTTTTTAAATTATTGTATAGATATAAATTGTTCATTTTATTAAAGAATTGATTTGAATCTTTCTCGTAGGCTCACAATTAAAGCTGGTTGTCCAATGAATTTAGAAGATTTTCCCATGGACACTCAGAGATGTCCTTTAAAATTTGGCAGTTGTAAGTATGAAACACATTTTACAAATGTGAAATTAAAAAAGAAAAAATTCAGTAAAAATAAAATTTTTGCAAAAATTGTTTGAAAAACTATAGAAATTTTTAAAATTGGAACTTTTAATTTTCTAGTTGGTTACACAACGCGTGATGTAATCTACCGATGGAACACTGCAAGACAAGTTGCCATTTCTAAAGATATGAAACTTTCTCAATTTGACTTAGTGGCAAATCCAACAGCAAATCAATCAACTGAACCTTCACTGGCCCAAAGTAAGTATATATAAATGAAAAATATTTAATTTAGTCAAAATTTTTCAGTAAAGAAAAATAATGAATATCCTTTTTAACTCAGTTAACGTGCAACAAAATAAAAGAAATAGGGAGATTTAATTCTCAACAGAAATCAATATATCCACTTATAACTTATTGTATATATATATATATACAATATTATCATCTGCTTACATCGTGTACAGATCAAATTATTTATTCATTATATGAATTTTGTAAGGCGTCTTTGTTCGAAAAAGGGATCTATATATGTGGGTCAATTATTAAATTAACTCTTATATTGAATCGATATAGCAAATTTTCACTAAGACATAATATGAGTCATTGCCAAACTTGGAGACAAACGTAATTATTCATCAGGCAATGATAATTATGACGGATTTTTAATTAAAAATTAGTTCCAGATTCGATATATGTGAGACCAATATTCTTGAAACCGAGATTAAGATCGAAATTTTAAAGGGAATCTTTCTTTCAATTGATATTTTTAAGAGAATGATTTTAAAGCAGCTAATAAAATTTAAAAAAAAAATTAAATCCCCAAAATTTAAGTTCTTTATGTTATGTTCAAAATCAATGTTTTTATCAACTTGAGAATATAAGCTTATTTTTTGCTTAAATTCAAGTTCTTTTTTTTTATTACGATTTGGTTTTCTAAAACACCCATTTTTGTACCGGAGAAAATAGGGCGTAAACTCTGGCCTAAGTCACATCAAGTCTTCATATCTGAAAAATAAATAGTCATTAATATTTTCGTTTAATTTAAAAAAAAAATAATTATTTTTAAAATTAATTAAACATACCTATATTTTTATACACTTATATCTAGGTTAAGTTGTGCCTACTCACGAACCGGATATTAGATTCTGAGAATCCTATGGAGAACTCTCCAAACCTTTATACAACATCGATGACTGCTACTACTTGTATGCCATCTTGAGCAAGCAATCGTTGTTATCCCTCTCTAATCCTTTCGGATAAGGGAGGGGGGGGGAAGATTTGTGCCACGTACCTAATCATCTTGTTTCTCCTAAGCATTTTCGTCATGCGTGCTAAAAAGCTCGTCGACGTGGAAAATCGTGCATGTTGAATGATGTTGAATTTCCTCTATATACTCCTCTTGATGTGAATTTAGAGACAATCTCCCCTTTAAATTGAATTAATTCCTAGAAAATCAGTTTGGATTAAAATCTTCAATCCCTGGTTGGTCCTTCTCAAAGGAGAATTAAATAAATAATAAAATAAAATTACTGAAATTTTTTTTCACAATTACAAATTGCACATAACCTCAAAAATTCTATTATTTAATATTAATATTCACAACTAGTTTATATATATATATGAATTTTTGAGGTTATGTAAAACTCAAAAGAATATATTTCTTAATGCAATGAACATTGAAATAATTAATAAGAGAAAAAAGTTCCACCGGTTGCAGAAGAATATTCGATGCTTTTGGTATCCTTCCATCTTCAGAGGCACATGGGAAACTTTCTGATACAAGTATATGGACCTTGTGTTCTACTAGTGGTTCTTTCGTGGGTCTCCTTTTGGCTCAACAGAGAAGCAACTGCTGATCGAGTTTCTCTCGGTAAGTTCTTTTCTTCACTAAAGAAAAAAAAAGCTCTTAAATACAACTTTGCAACGTTTCTATATACAGCGACAAAATCTTATTTTTATATCCACTTTGACAATCTTTACACGTGACGAAAATATAAATAATATTACAAAACCTTTTTACCGATAGAATTTTGTTTTCAAAATTATTTCATTAAGGAAGCAAAATTTTTTAAAATTAATAATTTTTTCTCACCTTTTTTTTCAGGTATCACGACAGTTTTGACAATGACATTTCTTGGTCTAGAAGCGAGAACTGATTTGCCAAAAGTTCCTTATCCAACTGCCCTCGATTTTTTTGTCTTTCTTTCGTTTGCCTTTATTTTTGCAACTATCATTCAATTTGCTGTGGTTCATTACTTCACCAAATATGGATCTGGTGAATGTTACTTTAGTTCGGATCTCAGCGATTCCGACAATTCCAGTGACGAGGAAACTGTATGTCGACCACGCAAAAAAGAATCGGTAACACAAAAACTGTAAAAGAAAAAATAATTTTTTAAAAAAGGGGGCCATTTACAAATTTCCAAAAAAAGCCTCGTGTAAAATAAACGGTCACTAAATATATAAATATGAATCAAGTGCAACAACTGTCGGCGATAGCCGCAGTCACTAAAACGCTTGGAATTGTAAATTCCCCCTCAGGGTCAGGGGTTCGATTCCACCCAGGGTTATACAAAGAAATTTTATTCTTCAATTTCTTTAAAAACTTGAATATGTACAAAAAATGAAGAACTAAAATTTCTTCTAAAAAATAAATTTAAAAAAAAATTAAATTTCCTAAAATTTCTAGAATCGAAGATCATCGGGAAATTCGTCGCAGCCAAATAAAAATAGTCGAAATTTTACGATGAACGAGGAAGGTGTCATTGAAGTAATTCCACTTTCGGCACTACCAGAACCAGAAGATAATGATAGTGGACAATGGCAATTGTCGTGTGTTCCACGACAACCACCACCACCAAAGCCACCACGTGTTCCTCCTTCACGAAGACGTCATAGACGTGTTCCTAGATATAATTCTGTCTCAAAAATCGATCGCGCAAGTCGTGTCGTTTTTCCTCTATTCTTTCTCACCATCAACGTCTTTTACTGGTATGCTTATTTGTCAAGAAGCGAAAGAATCAGCTACTATCATCCAAATTCTTCATAAAAAAAAAATGAGGAAGGAAAAAATAATTTTTCTCCAAAGTAGAAGAATTTAGTAATTTTTTTTTTTTAAATTTAAAATTTAAATTTAAATTTTTTTTACAAATTTAAATATAAATTGATTATTTATTTATTAAAGGTAAATAGATTTACTATTTTTTTAATAGAAATTTTTATTTATATATTTATTTTTATTTATATTTTTACTGAATATAAAAATATTTTTTTGACCAACATGCACGATAAACGGAACATTCTGTATGGAGGGCGGAAAGTGGATCTTTGCCGCCCGGTAAACAGCTAAAAAAAAGATTTTCTCTCCGCTAACGTCACGTGATAGTCTCGTGACGTCAGCGGGAGGAAAATAGTTTTTTACGCCCGCTGTTATTTAAAGCATTAAATAATTAATAATTTTATTTATTTATATAATTATTATTATTATTATTTTGATTCATATAATTATTGTTATTGTTATTGTTATTGTTATTATTATTATTAATATTATTATTTATTATTATTGATTATTATACCTATTGTTATTATTTTTTATTTATTTTTTAATTATTATTATAAAATTGTATAAATAATATTAAAATCCAGATTTTTCGGATCTCTTTCCATTTTTCAAAATTTTGCTTCTAGTTAGTAAAGGCAAAAAAAAAAAAAACGTTCATAAGTAGCCGACCAATTTTTGCAAAACCTTGTACATAAAATATATGTGTCACTTTTTTACGGGAAAAATATGGATTATTTTCAATCAAAATGACAAAAATAGAAAAATTATGTAAAAAAAAAAAAAAAATAACCAGATAATAAACAAATGTAAAAATTAATTTAAACGAAAAACAAAAGAAAATTTTATTTAAAATTATTTAACGTTTCCTTTTACACTAACAATATATTTAAATAATTTTTAAATAAAACTAAATTGTTTTTTAAATAATTTTTATTATTTATCAAAAATTTAATTTATGTATTTAAATAAAATATTTATCTCTCAGAGCTAAATAAATATATCAATATATTTGAAGCAATTGAAAAAATTTATTTGAAATAAATAAATATTGATATATTTTATCTTGGAGACAGATTTTTTTTTCTCTGGTTTCAGTGAACGTAAAAAAAATAATTAAAACTTAATTGTTTTGTGAAAAAAGAAAACGTTAAAATAATCATTATTATTATAAATAATTGTTGGAAAAATATTTTTTAAATTTGCGATCTAATTTTAATTGTTTATATAATTTTATGTTATTAATATTTTAAGCAAATAAAAAATTCAATAAATGTAAATAGAATTTTTCATGAAAAATTAAGAATATAAAAAAAAATTTCTCTCGATATAATTGAAAAAAAAAATGATTATTTATAATAAGATACATATTATATATATAAATATTTAATAATTATATTTGAAAATTCGAAATAATTGTTGAAATGAAAGAAAAAGGAAATATATATATAAAAAAATTTTAAGTTTGTTCAAGAACTTTTCGATTACTCTGCATTTCCTTATCCGTATTAAAGATAAGATATGAGAAAATGTAATTTTTTTTTTTTTAAAAGTAAGATTTTTATGGCATGACTCATTTTTGTATAATTTTTTTCTTTTGTTTATTATTTATAAACGAAGACGATTTTATGTAATCAAAAAATCTTTTTTCACAAATTTTGAGATAAAATTAATTATTCTTTTAATATAAATAAATTAATAGTTATTAATTTTTTTATAAATAATAATAGTTAATTATTATTATTTATAAATAATTAATCATTTCGATTTAAAATTATTAATAATTTATTTATATTTTCAATAGTTCTAAATATTTTTAAATTTAATTTTTGTATTACATAAAATTTATATTTATATTTATATAATTTATTATTATAATTAATTAATTTATTATTATTAATTTTTTACTATTAATTAATTATTGAAATATATTTTAATAATTAAGATATTTAACGGTTATAGAACTATTATTAATTTTTTTATTATTATTAAAATTTATTATTTTTTTTTTTTATTCAAGGAGAAAATAAAATTTGTTTTCTCTTTTTACATATATATATAGTCAAAAAATTTGCATTTATTTCACATTTATTTTATTATACATTTCTTCATTCAACAATATGAATATAATAATATAGTTTCTTAAAACTCGTAAATTTTTTCGAACAATAATTATATTGAAATAACATTGCAAATTAATATTAATAGAAAAACAAAAATTATATAAAATACTGCGCACAGAGAGGAAAAAAAAAGTTTATCACATAAATACAATGGCAATTTTTTTTTTATTCACATAAAAATGAATAAAAAAAAGAAAAATTATCTCTACTTTGTAAAAAAAAAAGGGTAGATTAAAATTAACTAAATATATATCTATTTCAGACTTGCAATGGGAAAAAGAGCAAAAGGGGAGGTAGAAGAATTATTCTATTTCACAGTTGTCTCTTTTATATTATCCTATTTTTCACATATTTGAAACTTGAATATTATCCTACTTTTTTTTTTTAACTAGTAAATTATATTTTATAATCAAAAATTATTATTTAAAAAATGAGTAGACATTAAAAAAAAACGGCGCATTAGAAAAAATTGCAAAATTTTCCAAAAAAAAAAATTTATTTTTTACAAATATTTTATTTCTCAGTTTAAAAAAAAAATTGTCAATTTGTTCGATTTCACAGAAAATAGTCAAAAAATTATTCTTAATCTTTAAAAAATTGTTCGTTGACTTTTTTTTTTAATTGATAGAAATTGAAAAACTATTTTTCTTCTCAAAAAAATGTAAATTGATCAAAAAAAAATTTTTCTTAAAAAAAAAAATGAAATTACTCTATTTTACAAAAGAAAAAGAAATTGTCACAAGAAAGTAAATATTCATTCTTTCCATATATATATATTTTTTTTTGATAAAGTTTATCTCTCCATAAAAATATTTAATCTGTTTTTTTCTATGTTCTTTGTTTTAATCTCAAAATGCTTAGGCCAACATTTTTTTTAAAAAATTACTCATTTAAAAATACCTTTTGTCATTAGTATAGCAAATCATTGTTCTCTAGAGAATTGTCATTATATTTTTTGAAGAATTAGACAACAAAAAAAAAAAGGAGAACAATAATTCTCGAAAAGAAAAAAAGATCGTTACAAAATTTAAAAAAAAAAAACGAAGCTGAAGTACGCAACGTTTATGATAAACGATTTTTAAAGAAATAATTTTTTACAATGAAAAATTCTATAATTTTTTGCCTTAAAAAATATTTCTTGTAGTTTTCATTAATCAACAAATTATACAAAAAAATGTTTTTTAGGCAAAAAATTATAGAATTTTTCATTGTAAAAAATTATTTCTTTAAAAATCGTTTATCATAAACGTTGCGTACTTCAGCTTCGTAAAGAAAAAAAAAAAATTTTTAATTAGAAAAAAAATTGAAATTGGAAAAAATAAATTTAAATCGAATTTTACAAATTAGAAAGAATTTGGAAATTTTTACAGTAATTTAAATTTTAATTTACTTGAAGTTTAACAATTTTTCTTTTATCAAATTTATTTTTTAAATAAATATTTGCAAACAAAATATTTTCAAACGAAATTTTCAAATGAAATTTTCAAAAATATTTAAAATAAAAGTTTTAATAATTATTTATAAAATAATTATTCATTCAAAAAAAAAAATTTGGCGAAAAACCCCGGAAATTTTTTATTATTGAATTTTTTCTATTATCAAAATTTATTTTTAAAAAACTGTTACGAATATTCAAAATAAAAGTTTATAAATTATTTATTCAAAATAGAAAAATGCTTTCCAAATTTTATAATTTGAAAATTTCTCTAATTTTTTTCTCCAAAAAAAAGAAAATAATTTTAATTAGAGAAAAAAATTGAAATTGGAAAAAATAAATTTAAATCGAATTTTACAAATTAGAAAGAATTTGGAAATTTTTACAGTAATTTAAATTTACTTGAAGTTTAACAATTTTTCTTTTATAAAATTTATTTTTTAAATAAATATTTTCAAACGAAATTTTCAAAAATATTTAAAATAAAAGTTTTAAAATTATTTATAAAAATTATTCATTCAAAATAAAAAATTTAGCAAAAAAACCCCGGAAATTTTTTATTATTGAATTTTTTCTATTATCAAAATTTATTTTAAAAAAATGTTACGAATATTCAAAATAAAAAAAATAATAATAAAATATTATTTATTCAAAATAGAAAAATGCTTCCCAAATTTTATAATTTAAAAATTTCTCCAATTTTTTTTCTATTTCAAATTTTTCAAGAATTATTTTTCCTTTTTTTCTGTTTCTAATTTTTCAAGAATTATTTTTCCTTTTTTTCTGTATCTAATTTTTCTCACATTATCTAAATTATAATAATAGCAAAAAAAAAACAATTATTTCACTTTTAAAAATTGTACTATACATTATTTCAGGCACATATATAAATATATTAAATTTTTTTTTTTTTTTTTTCAAAGAGTCATTATTTCGTCGATTTAAGATGACAATCGGTAATTCCCTGACCAACAAGTATTCGTTGATTGTCCTTAATGGTAAATTGATGAAAATCACGTGGCGCCTCAAATAATAAAACAATTGTTGATCCCATTCGAAATTCACCAAATAAATCACCTTTTTTCATTGTTAATTTATCAAATTTCAATTCCTCACATTTTTTCCCCTTTGGCCATTTACGACGATTTGTTATTAAATTTTTATCATTAAATACACGTATTGAACCAACATTTGTTGCGCCAACAACGGCATAAGCCATAAAACCACCATCCCATTCGCCAATATAAACAGCGCGTTCATTTAATGAAAATAAATTTGGTAACCAACTTGATATTTTTGGATTAACACTCAATAATTTCCCCTGAAAATGTTTACGACAATTAATTTTCCAATTTGCTGCACTATGAAAACGATGATAATCACCAGGTGCAAGATAAATTGACAATTGATATAATTGATTTTTTTTTGGATTTTTTAAAAGTGAGGTTATATATTTTTGTTTTATTTCATTATTATCGGTTTTATCATAATTATTGTCACCTAAAAAATTACGTAAATCATAAGTAACACCTTTCACTTGTTTAACATAACAATTTGTCACTGGTCCAATGTGTAATATTTTACCATCAGCTGGTGATACAAGATTTGTTGTTATTGCAATTGGACGTACATCTTTACGCAATGGTCGTACAAAAAAATCAACTAACGATGGAAAACTCACGAGTTCTAAATCAATTTCATCTAAATTTGCACTAAATGTTTTAGCATAAAATTTATATAATGTTGGACGTAAACTTTCGGGTAATTCACAACTCGCTAACCAACCCCATATACGACTTGTTATACGTAATGGTAAATAATAATAAAATCCAATAACAATATCGCGTGTCACTGTTTTTTCTTCTTCTTTTTTATCACATTTTGTCTTTGTTTGATATTGCCATATATAAAATGACAAAAATGAAACACCAAAACCAAATGGAATATACCATTTCCATGGTTTTAAAATATTTAATTTCGATGACGATGATGATGAAGAAGAATCACTTGTAATTGTTTTTTTATTCGATGATGATAACACTGACCTTGTTAATTGAACACTACGCAGGGAATTGCATTTTTTAAGAGTTAACACTGTACGTTGATAAATTCTCATAGCGGGCATTTTTTCAGTCTTAACACAATGAGTATATAAAAGCTATAAAAGTTGACTAATTTCTTGTTTTGATTTTGAGGTTATGGTTATCAGACACGCGTGCGCGTTTTAATTTCAAACAACGCTAGTCAATGTCAATATAAAAATAGATTTTATTTTCCATTGAAATAATATTTCACAGTATACCGAAATTGAGAAAATAATATAAAATACAAAATTTTTGATTACCAACACTTAAATATCGAGAAAAAGTTTCGGAAAGTTTGTATTCTGAATTACGTATTCACGTTCTACTTTTCAAAAAATCTCTTTTCCTTTTTAGTAAAGAAAATAACCACAAATCGAGTTAATTTTACCCACCTTATTATTTTAATAACACTAATAAATAATAAATAATAAATAATAAATAATAAATAATTAATTATAAAAAAATAATATAAATTTTTGTCCCCGAAAAAGAGGAGTTCAATTGACTCCTACAATGTGCTTGGCGCACATGCGCACTAGCGAAATTTCAAAATAATATTAAACGATTAACAATTATATTTTAATAATCAGTTTAATTTTTAATAACAAATTAGAAAATTAATATTAAATTAATAATTTATCACGGGAGTGAAAATTCGATACGTTAGGTTAGGAACGTTAGGAACGTTAGGAATAAGTGTTTTTTCGAATAATTGAAAAAAAAAATCTAGCAATTTAATAAAAAGTTTATTGTACCAACAATATATGGACAAAACACAATAGTCAATCTTTATTCTATAAAATCAATTATAAAGTTATTTCTTCTATAATAAAAACAACTAAATTAATACTTTTTTTTTTGAGATCTTTGGCGAGATTTGTATTCAAAATTGTCATAAATATAATAATAATTTATTAAACATTAATATTCAATTAACCTAAAAATTCAATTATGAACGAAAATTTGAAATATAGAAAAAATAAATAGTCATCGTCAATTTGATAAAAATTGTGTTATATCAGCTAATTGATTAGTATAATAATCGGGAACAATTAAACCATTTGATTCGGCATTTGATTGTGTTAATTCAGTGACATTTTCTTGATTGGTGACTCCTGATAATACAAGTAAAGTTTGAAATCCACAACGTTTTCCCAATAGAATATCAGTATTGCAACTATTAAATAATAAAAAAAGGTATGATTATATAATTATTAATTCTATTCTATATAATTATTAATTCTATTCTACATAATTATTAATATATATATAAAATAATAAATTTTTATCTTTAAGATTATAAATATTTAAATCAAAAAATTTATATTTACGCAACATAACCTAAAAAATATTTTTTTGAAATCGCAAAAATATATAAATTTTTATATTTCGAATTAAATATTATATTTAAATCAAAAAATTTATATTTACGCAACATAACCTAAAAAAATATTTTTTTGAAATCGCGAAAATATTTTTTTGAAAATATTTATATCGTTATTGTTATTATAAATAATTTTTTGTAAATTATTATTATTAATATTTTAAAAATAATAATAATAATAATAATAATTTTCAAAACTTTGATAATTTGTGAAATAAAATAAAATAAGTAAATTTTTTATTTACTTGTCGCCAATCATGAGAGTTCGTTTTGGATCCAAATTATAATTTTTTATCAAATAATCACTAATACAAGATTCAGGTTTTCCCAAAATTTTTGCTTTCCTTCCAGCTGCAATTTCGACTATCGAAATGAAACATCCAGTTCCTATTAAATAATATTAATAAATTAATTATTCATTAACAATAGTTAAAATAACAAAAAAAAATTTTTTTTTAATGGAATAGAATTTTAATTAAAAATAAATTAATAAATTAATAATAATTACCTAATTAATTATTTATTAATTGATATTACGAATAAAAGTTAATAAAATAAATTAATAAAAATTAATTAATTATTAATTGATATTAATAATAAAAGTTAATAAAATAAATTAATAAAAATTAATAAATTAATTGAAATATTATTTATTAAAATAATAATAATTATTAATAATTTTAAATAAATTTTTTAAATATTCTTTGAATTATAATTACAAAAACATTTTTTTTTTTTTTTTTTGAATGAAGCAAAAGAAAAAGAAAAATTATTTAAACTTTAATTTGAAAAAATATTTTTTTTCCATTCTTTTAAAAATTAATAAATAAAAATTTTTTCGAAAAATTTCACCTGGAAATGTATTTTTATTTGGCGATGGTCTATAAATATCAGGATTCATTCCCAAAAATTGAACATTTGGATTTTGTAAATAAGTTGCAGCTTGCACTAATTTTGAGTAACTGAAATGTTCATCGAATCCAACTGCAACTGCACCCACTTCCGGATCAGGTTTAAATTTCGTTATTATTTCCAAAGCTGTTCCTTGAAGTGGATCTGGCTGAAAAAAAAGAATTGTCGAATTTTTTTTCAAATTTGATTGATAAATTTTATTTTCTTTTAAAATTTAAAATATTCATATTTAATAATAATAAATAATAATAAAAATATATTTTTTTTTTAATTAGAAAATTTTTAAATTAAAAAAACTGTTTTAGAACAAACAATAATTAATAAAAATAATAATAATTTAATATTTTTAAAAAATATTAAAATATTTTTCCTCCCGGTAAAAGAAATATTATTTAATATATCTATTTTATGAAATATTTATTTATTAATATTTTTTAATTACTTTCGTATATAATGTACGTAATTAAAATAAACATTAATTTTCTATCTTTTATTATCGAGAAAAAAAAATTCTTTTATTTGAATATGAATATTCCAATTTTTTTAATGTGAAAAATGTTTTTTTTTTTTTTTTTTTTTAATGTTTAAAGCATAATATTTTTAATTGGTATACAAATAAAAATTATGTTTTATTTTTTAAAAAGGAAACTTTTTATTATTGAATGAATATTCAATTTTTTTTTTTTTGCATTTAAGTTTGAAATAAGGAAAAAAAATATTTCTTTTTTTTCTATAATTCACTCACTCCGTATCCACAATGTCGAATTCCAACAGCTTCTAATTCCTTAGCCATTCCGGAATTGCCAATTAAATAGACTTTTTTATCAAATCCCTGTTCCTTTAGATACATTGCTGCCAAAAATGATGTACAAACCATTTCGTCCTGTTAGAAAAATATTCTTATTAGTTTGAATTTGAATTTATCGTTTTTTTATTTTTTGAAAATAATCATTATTAATTAATTATTATTAATTAATAAAATTATTAATTAATTAGAGAATTATAAAAAAATTTTTATAAAAATTATCATAACTTTATTAATTCTTAATTATTAATGAAATTTGAATATTTGAAATTTTTTTTAGTAATTTTTAGTAATTATTAGTAATTTTTAGTAATTATTAGTAATTTTTAGTAATTATTAGTAATTATTAGTAATTATTAGTAATTATTAGTAATTTTTTTTAGTATATTATTTAGTATATTATTTAGTATATTATTAGTACTAGTAATTAATAATTACTAATAATTTTTAAATACAATTTAAATTCGTAATTTTTTTTTCATACAAAATTTATAAATCGTTTAATATTAATTTAATATTAAAATTAACAAAAATTCGAAATTATTTTCGAAAATGATTTTTTTAATAACAAAAATTTTTTTAAAAATCATTTCAATAAATAAAAGAGGAAAAAATTTTTTTTATTTTTTTTTTCCAAAAGTAAACAAATTAAAATAACATTTTTTTTTTTTAAATTAAAATTAAGCTTTTTTTTAATTTTCGGTAAAAAAGAGGAGACTTACTATTGTTGCAGAATAATTTAATCCTTTACATTTATTTACAAGGTCAGCTCTCGTTTTTCCATTATTATTTGTAACATAGAAAAACTTCTTTCCATTTTCTTTCAAGTGATTAACAGCCTCCGGTGATCCTTCAATAACATTTGTTTCCTCCCAAAGAACACCTGACAAAAGAAAAGAAATTTTATAATTTTTTTTACGTGTAATATTTATTGAAAATTACATTATTATTATTATTATTATTAATATTATTTTATTTTTTTAATTGTTACTATTTTTGTTATTATTATTATTATTATTATTATTAATATTATTAATAATTTTTTTATTAATTTACTAATTTATTATTAATTATTTATTAAATTATTATAAATTATTCATTAAATTAAAATATTAACTATTTAACTATTAATTTACTATTTTTGTTATTATTATTATTATTATTATTATTATTATTAATTTTTTTATTAATTTACTAATTTATTATTAATTATTTATTAATAATGATATATATATATAATAATTATTAATTCTGTTTCATTTAATATGAAATCAATTTATTGATTTCGTTTGTCAATAATGAAAAATAATTATACGTTTATCAAAAATATGTCAAGTTTTTGAAGATATTTAAGTTTACTCAACGGATTTTAATTTATCGTTTATTTCGATCCTAATGAATATATGTGATATCTCTTGAATACTAAACTATTATTTATCACTTTCAAATAGTCAAAAAAGAAAAATATTTATATTCATTTTACGAATTATCATTAAAAAAATAATGCCACTAGTAATTTGAAAATACCTATTTTAATAAATAATTAAAATAAATTTTATAAATAATTTTAATAAATTTAAAAAAAAAATATTAACAATTTTATAAATAATAATTATTTATAATTTATTATATAATTATTATTTAGCTATTTTTATAATTATTTTTATAATTATTATTCAAATAATTAAAATAAAATTGTTAAATAATTGAAATTTATTTATTTATTTATTTATTTATATATATAAATAAATTTATTTATTTATATATATAAATAAATTTATTTATTTATTTATATAAATAAATAAAACAATTTTATCAATTATTAAATTAGCGAATACAAATTTCTAATAATAGTAAAAAAATATAGATTTCAAAAAAAAAATTGTCGAACATAAATTTTTGATAATTAAGCAAATATTGCTTTTATTATAAATTCGTTGACAATTGGAAAAAAATAAATTCGTGACAAAAAAAAATATATATTTTTTTCTTGTTAATAATTACGAACCATCACAATCGGATAAAACAACATCAAAAGAATTGAAGAAACTTTGAAATTCCCCCTTTGATAGAGATGTCAGTCGTTTGGCTGCCATCGTATGACTACCTGTGAAAATTTCAAGTTTGAAAACTCGAGTAGAATTCCGTTTTAAAGTTTATACACTCAAACTAAGAGAGAGAGAGAGAGAGAAAATTAATATGTGATTTGGTCGATTGCCAATTATACTTGACAGAACGACCTTCCTTATGCAATGTTATGTAACTAATATAACACTTATATATATATATATATACATAAGACCAATGAATGAAGCTTTTAAATTAATCACACTGGAATAATGTTCATTTATTGCACTATTCACATATAGTTATATACATTTCTTATCAACTTTTGTCCATAATTTAGAAAAAAAAAAGAAAAGAAACTATAAAATACTATATTTAATAATGCGATAAATATTTTCCAACTGCGTGGAAAAATGATAATAACAATAATAATAATTCATCACGTGTGAATATATATGAAATAATATACATTGACGAAAGAGATAGACGCACAGAAACACGTGGAAAAATCCTCGCTCTAAAATTCTTGCTTTGAAATAGATTTTTGATTTTGAAATTGTTTTTTTTTCTTCTTTTTTCTTTTGAAATAGTTTTCAATTTTTATACGAAATTTTCTTTAATCTTTGCCAGAGAGTAATTAACTAATATTTATTTAATTACAACAAAAATTTGATTAAGAAAAATATTAAATTAATTTTTTCTAAATTTAAATTTTTAATCTTAATATTTTTATTTTTTTAATTTATTAATAAAATTGTTTCTAACAGTAATTTTTTTAAATAGATAAATTTAAAAAAATTTTTTAATTTATTTTTAATATTTTTAATCTCTTTACTCTCTTTATAATCTCTTTATAATATATAATTATAATAAAAGAATCGAGTTTTGTTATATACTTTCGTATAAAATACAAAATGCTATTTTTAAATTGTACGGATAGAATTTTTTTTTTTAAAGTAATTTACAAAGTACAAATTGTCAAAAAATTATTTATTTTCTTTAGTTATTTTTATTTTTTTTATTGCAAATTTATTTTAATTCCCCTTTTTTTTGTACTTCTCTTGCATTTTTCTTTTTATTTTTAATTTTTGCAATTAAAAAAAAATATTTTCGAAATATATTTTTGTCACTTTTTTATTGTATTTTCTTTGCTATTTTTGAATTTTTCGAAATTTTTTAAAAACTATTTTTTGTCTCTATATTTATTTCTAAAAAAATTTGAGCGTTTTCTATTTTTCTCTATTTCAAATTTTACAAAAAATGTTCATTTATACTATATTTTATTTTGTTATTTTTTATTTTTATATTTATTTTTATTTTCTATTTTCAAATTTTACAAAAAAATTTCATTTATACTATATTTTATTTCATTTATTTTTATATTTATTTTTATTTTCTATTTTCTATTTTTCATATTTGTTCGAATTTATTAATTTTTTTTTTCCTTTGCTTTTTTACTTTTTTTTCTATTTTTGTTTTCTTGTTTTAGTTTTTGAAATATTTTCGGGATTTTATAAATTTTACGAGAAAAAAAGCAATTTTTTTTTTTTAGTTTTTGTTCCTTATATTATATAACTTCTATAAACGTTTTTATAATTTTCTCAAAGTTATGTATATATGCATTCATATTATTCAATATTTTGTTCATTGCGCATTCATTATGTAATATAATTGTATATAAAATTCTCTATATACAATGTAGTCTTGACAATTTGACTGTGATTGACATTTATTTAGTTTGTCGTTTAAAAGTTAAACAAAATTTTGATATATTTCTGTTTTTCGAAAAAAAAGAAATATAATATAAAAATGATAATATCTATCAATAATAATAATAAAATAAATATTATGTCAGTGCTTAAAATATAATCTCATAATTATTCAAATAAATGCGCCAATAAATATTCGAAAATATTCGTTAATAATAATAATAATAATAACACTAATTTAATTATCTACGATATTTTAAAAATAACAAAATACATTTACGGAAAAAAAACCAATTCTCTAAAAAAAAAAATTTGTGCTAAAATAATAATTGAAAAATTACAAAAAAATCAATCGCTTTTTTCTGTTTTATATTTTTCTAGCATTGATAAAAGATCGCCCAATTGATCGGTATAATAATCGGGTATCCATGTTTTTTCCTCTTTCGAATCAGATTTTTGCCATTTTTCCAATTCTTCTATTGACGTCACACCCGTGAGTACAAGTAATGTTTTAAATCCACAACGTGTGCCCAATAAAATATCCGTATTCGCACGATCACCAATCATTAATGTACGCTCGGGATTAATTTTATAATCTTTTTTAATTACACTACTCATATATGTCTCTGGTTTTCCAATAACAGTCGCTTTTCTTCCCGAACAAGTTTCAATTGCTTTGATAATTGCTCCAGTTCCTGGAAAAAAAAAAAAACAAAAATCATTTTTCGGAAAGAAAAATTTCCATTCAAATAAATTCTTCTAGTTTTTTTTTTTTTTCATTTAAAAGTTATTTGAATAAAATTTTCTTTTTTTTGGGAAAGTGATAGTGATAATTTTTTACCAGGACAAACAATTGTTTCGGATGGAAAATTCTCGTCGGTATTTGTACCGATAAAGTGAATTTTTTCATTTCTCAAATAAGTCGCTGCTTTTGCCATTTTTGGATAACTTATGTGCTCATCAAATCCAACAATAACTGCATCGACATTCGGTTCGGTTTTAATATTCAAAATATCCGATAAACAATTGAGAGAATCGGAACCCCAGCCAAAACTTTCGATACCAATGCTCTTTAATTCTTTTCCAATTGCTGGATAAACATAAAAAAAAAATTACCTTATTTTTAAATTAATTAATAAAATTATAATTTTTTTAAATACTGTAATAAAATTATAATTTTTTTTAAATTACTGCAAATAAAATTATAATTTTTAAAATTAATGTAATAAAATTATAATTTTTTTAATTACTGTATTAAAATTATAATTATTTTTTTAAAATTACTGCAAATAAAATTATAATTTCTAAAATTAATGTAAATTATTATAATTTTTTTTAAATTACTGCAAATAAAATTATAATTTCTAAAATTAATTAATGAAATTATAATTTTTTTTTAATTACTGTAATAAAATTATAATTATTTTTTTAAAATTACTGCAAATAAAATTATAATTTCTAAAATTAATGTAAATTATAATTTTTTAAATTACTGTTTTAAAATTGTAATTAATTTTTGTAAATTGAGAATTATAATTACTTTTTTTTGTAATTTTTTCTCATTTTTTTCATTTTGTGGATTAAAAATTTTTTTTTTACCTTCACTTCCAACAACGTAAATTTTTCCCTTTAATTCGAGATCCTTGACATAACGTGCAACCAATTGTGCAGTACAAAGAATATCTTCCTCTTGGGCAATAAAATTCATATTGTCACATTTTGCCGCAAATTCTTTTCTTGTTTTTGTACTGTTATTTGTCACGTAAAAAACACGTTTTCCAACATCCCGGAAAGTGTTCATTACTTCCGAGGCATTATGCAATTTTGTTAAATGTATCCAGAGAACTCCTTTATTTTTTTTAATAACAAAAAGAAATCAAAAATTTTATTAAAAATTCTATCAAATATAATTTTTAAATTTGTATAAATAATAATAATTAGTAAAAATTTAATTTTTATTTTAAATTTATAAATATACAAATGGACAAATTAAATAATTTTAATAAATTTAAATTAGGTAATTAATTATATAATTTTTCATAAATTAATTAACTAAATAATTTTTATAAATTATTTAACTAAATAATTTTTATAAATTACTTAATTAAATAATTTTAATTATTTCTAATTAAAAAATATTAAATGGAATAATTTTAATTATTTCTAATTAAAAAATATTAAATGGAATAATTTTAATTATTTCTAATTAAAAAATTTTAATGGAATAATTTTAATTATTTCTAATTAAAAAAATATTAAGTGGAATAATTTTAATTATTTCTAATTAAAAAATATTAAATAGAATAATTTTAATTTAAAAAATAAATAATTACAATTTTATTATTTATAAATTTAAAAATTCCTATATAAATAGAAATTATATATTATAAAAATTAAAATTTCCATTATAATTATATATACATAATTTTTTTTTTTAGAAAAAATTTTAATTTGAAAAAAAAATAATTACCATCGCAATCTGTTAAGACGGTGTCGAATGAATCGAGAAATTCCCTAAGCTTCTCATTATTTAAAGATTTTAAATAAGTTGCACTCATTTCTCTCTTCAAACTTTCCACAGAACACTGAATCAAAAGAATAGGGAAAAATTTTTTCTTTTCTTTTCTTTTTTATTTAAAAAATGATAAGCAACAATTTTTTTTCTTAATCATTCAGTTAACATTGTTTGAGCAATTTAATCTTTATATACAAATTGCACAAATTTTTATTTACAAAAGCGCATAAATATATATAATTTTTAAAAAAGGAAAATTTTTCAATTTTTTTGTTCGGCAAATTTTATTTAATTTCAAAAAAATTTTCAATTAATGGGTAATTTACATAAATTAATAAATTAAATAAATAAACAAATAACAGCAAAATATAATATAATAATAATAATAATAATAATAATAAATAAATAATGAAATAAATAAAAATATTTAATTAAATTAATTTTTTTACACATTAATTATAATAATAAATATTAAATGTTATAATAAATTATAATAATAAATTATAATAATAAATTAATAAAAATAAATAAATAATCGTGTGTGAAAAAAAATTATTTTAACTTTGTATGAAAAAAAAAAGGTAAAATTTACAAAAATTTCGATTTGTTTTTTGACGATATTAGATGAATAAATAAACAAATCGCAAGTCATTTACTGAATCATTGCTTAACTCTTTTATCATGACAAATAATAATCATTTAGTAATTGAATAAACACGTGTCAAATATCACGCAATAATAATAATATATAAAATAGCTATAACAAGAAACTTCCTCTCAATTTACACGCATACAATCTTTCATTAAATTTAAATAACCTAACCTCAATTCTCAAATAATTCGATTTTTAATACAATATAATAATTATGTATATACATAAAATCAAAAGAACGCGAATAAATGATGAAACAATCATTTATAAAATTTAATTACATATCATCATCTTACAAAGTGATTCTGACCTTGAAGGTTATGTCAACTTTTACTAAACTACAAGTTCAGGGAATTATAATTGTATATTAGGAAATTAAATACTTTAATTAAATATTGATAAAATATTTACTTTTATAACTCACCTTTAGAAAAATAGAGAAATCTTTTTTTCCTGATATATCGCAAATAATAAAGTTAATATAATAAAAAGGGGAAATTAAACCGCAATGTGCAAATCTGTTTTACCAATCAAGAGCTGTCAAAAATAGTTGTAGAGGGCAGTGTGATAGTTAGGAAAATCAGCTGTTTAGAAACGAAAACAAAACGTAAACGTTTCATATTTTTGTTAATTTATTATTTCTAAAACGTGATTATTTAAAAAAGAGCAAAAATGTCGTATATGTTATCACATCTTCATAATGGCTGGCAGGTAGATCAGGCTATTTTGTCCGAGGAGGATCGAGTTGTCGTGAGTTTATTTTGTAAAACCTAACCTATAAAATTCGTAAACGTAAACTATATAAACAAAATTCAATTGTTTTTTTTATGTTTTTCTAAAAATACAAATTTTCAATTACAATAAATTCAATACTATATTTATTTTTGCTTTATTAAATATTGACAAAAATATTTACTTTTATATTTAACTCATCTTTTATACTTTTGGTAAAAAGAAATCGTATAGATATCGAAAATAAATATACTTTTTTTAAATAATAATATGAAAATTAAATTTACAATTAGTTGAAATTGAAGGCAAATTTTTTTGTTGTAAAAAAATGTTAACTTTTTTTGGTTTATTTTTTAAATAAATAATATTACAGGCCTCGGATCGACTTTAAAAGGCACAAAAAAGTCGATTTTTCTTACGAAAGAAGTTGAAAAAGTCGATTTTTTTAACAAAATTTAATTGGTTAATGAATATTTTACTTTAAATAACTAATATTATTAGATAATTAAATTCATTTTATTAATTCTGTATTTAGAGTAATTCTATAAAAATATTATTAAGAAAATTTATTTTCATTTCATAATCGAACTAAAAGACAAAATTTCAAAATTTTATTTAGAACAAATTTAAAAAAAACAAAATTTCGTAAAGTTCTATTTTTATAATTTTTTCAAGTCCTGATTTAAGCAATTTATTCGAATTAAAAATTTTGTCATAGTTTTTAGTTTTGATGGTAAAAAAAATTTCAGGCAATAAATCAAGTTTTACAGAATTTTAAATAAAAATTTTTGTTTAAATAATAATTTTGAAAGAATTGAAGTTGAAATTTTTAGAAATAATTGAATACGAAGCTTAAATACGCAACGTTTATGACAAACGATTTTTAAAGAAATAATTTTTAAAATGAAAAATTCTATAATTCTTTGCCTAAAAAATATTTCTTGTAGTTTTCATTAATCAACAAATTATAAAAAAATATTTTTTAGGCAAAAAATTATAAAATTCTTCATTTTAAAAATTATTACTTTAAAAATCGTTTATCATAAACGTTGCGTACTTCAGCTTCGTTAATTGAATTTCAAAAAGGAAAAAAATTTTTTTAAATAATTAATTTTAATTTTTAATTTAAAATAATTTATAAAATAATTTTTTAGATAACATTTTTTAAAAGTAATTGAATTTTCAAAAGATTTACAATTTTGATTTTTGAAATATTAATTAAACTTCAAGTGATTTTTAATTTGAATTTTTTTTTTAATGATTTCTGTTAGCAAAAAAATTTATTAAAAATTGCAATCAAAAATACAATAATTTGAAAAAAACTATTTTTAAGTGAAAAATGGTTTCAGATAGTTGGATTTTTCGAAGAATATTAATAAAAATAAAATAATTGAATTTCACGAGAATTATAATTGAAATTATTAAAATTCAAAAAATTTTAGATGAAAAATTTTGGAAATAATTAAATTTTAGAAGTTTTTAAATTGAAATTTTTGAAAATAATTGAATTTCAACAAGATTTTTGTTAAATTTCAGACAATAACAATAAAAGCAATTTTTAGTAATTTCTGTTGATGAAGAATTTATTAGAAATAACTTAAAAAAAAAAAAATGAATTCCAAAAGTTTTTAATTGAAAAATGCTTTCAGATAATTGAATTTTCAAAGAATATAAATCATTAAAAATAATAGTAATTAAAAATATTAAAATAAATAAAGTTAATAAATTAATTTAGCTAAGTAGTTTAATAAAAACATTAATTTTGTAAATTAAAATTAAATAAATATTTTTTAGCAATGGAATTACATTTTTTTTAAGATTTAAAAATTAATATAATTTTATGTAAGCAAAAAAATTGATATTTTAAAACAAATTTATTTTTAATACCTACTAATAAAAGGATTTGAATTTAAGAATTAATATAATTTTATGTGCAAGTAAAAAATTGATATTTTAAAACAAATTTATTTTTAATACTAATAAAAGGATTTGATCACATAAAAAAAAAAATTGAATTCCAAAAGTTTTTAATTAAAAAATGCTTTCAGATAATTGAATTTTCAAAGAATATAAATCAATTAAAAATAATGGAAATTTTTGCAAATAATTAAATTTCAAGTGATTTTGAATTACAAATTTTTTTGGTAATTTTATTTGCTAATTTTTTTTTTTGAAATTATAAACAATTATTAAATTTCATAAAAATTTTCATTGAAAAATAGTTTTAAGATAATTAAATTTGTGAAGAATTTTAGTTAAAATTATTAAAAAAAATAATTAAATTAGTGAAGAATTTTAGTTAAAAATTTGTTAAATAATTGAAATAAAGAAGATCTGCATTGTATACCAAAAAAAACGTATTTTCTTAAAAATTTTTTTTTTTTAAATGTAAAAAAAAGTCGAAAAAGTCGCATTTTATTAAAATAAGTCGAAAAAAGTCGTATAATCCGAGGCCTGATTATAGTAATAATTAAATAATATAATAAATAATTAAATAAATAAATATTTTTGTTTTATTTATTAAATTATTAAATATAATAAATAAATAAATATTTTTGTTTTATTTATTAAATTATTAAATATAATAAATAAATAAATAATAAAATTAAATAAAATAAGTAAATTACTTTTTCGATAACAAAACAATTTTCTAAAAAAAAAAATAGGTGATTCGATTTGGTCACGATTGGGATCCAATGTGCATGAAAATGGACGAGGTACTTTACAATATTGCTGAGAAGGTGAAAAATTTTGCCGTCATTTATTTAGTTGACATCACTGAGGTGCCGGATTTTAATAAAATGTACGAATTATACGATCCATGTACAGTGATGTTTTTCTTTCGCAATAAACACATTATGATTGATCTTGGCACTGGCAATAATAATAAAATAAATTGGACACTGGAGGATAAACAGGAAATGATTGACATTATTGAGACAGTATATCGTGGCGCAAGAAAAGGACGAGGTTTAGTAGTTTCACCAAAAGATTATTCTACAAAATATCGATATTAATTTATTGTTGCGTTTCTCTTTTTTAATACGAAATAACATTAATTAATAATAATAATAGTTCAATATTATTATTTATTATGCAAATATAATTATTAATAAATAAATATTAATAAATTTTCAAAATTAATTAATTTAATAAATTAATTATTTTTGTATATATATAACATAATTATTAATAATTACTACGAAATAATAATTATTATTCTATATGAATCTAAAAGAGAGTGATTTGTACTCGTTGACAAAAAAAAAATGATCAATAATTTTTGTTGGTCATGATTAATAATGATAATTCAATATATACAAATGCGATTGATTTTTTTTCATTTTTAAGTAGATTTTACTTATAACTATAAACTTACAAAAAAAATACATTTTCTCTTTTCATTTATACAAATTTTCTACACGAATATCGTTTTAATAATTAACTATATTTACAAATTTTTTATTTTATTTCCTATTATTAACAGCCTTTTTTTGTGATTAAATTAAGTCATAATCATCAGCATTTTTTTGTTACTTTACAAAATTTGTTCTATTTTGAAATTTTCAAGAAAGAAAGAAAAAGGAAAATATTGCTTTGGTAAATTTTTTTTCTTTCTTTCTTTCTTTCTTGAGAGTCATGCGATGATTATTGATTTATAATCACATTTATTACTGATAACACGTTCAGCTCGAGACTTTATCACAAAAAATGTCGCTTCTTTCAAGTTCATGAAATTATTTTTTTAGAGAGATGTATCTTTTTCCAAATTTTCTGGAACAAAAAAATTTTTAAATTATGATAAAAAAATATTTTATTTTATTTAATTTATACTTTATAAATTGAAAAAAACTTTTTTTTTTTTGAGGAAATAAGTTTTTGAATTTTTCAGAAAATGAAAAAAAGAGAATTAATTATTAATTAATATATTAATTCTTTTTGCAATATTAAAATTAAAATTACCTTCTTTGGCTTCGTAATAATTTATCCCACTCATAAAAACATCATTGACATCGAGCAATTGATCTGATTTTGATCGAAAGAGAGGACGAACATTTTCGTAAATTGATTTTCGTGATCCTTGTAAATCGCTTGCGCTTAAACTTGCATTGCTTGAGCCAAAAGATGAATTTTTTATCGATTCATAAGTCACATATCCCTGGCTACTTGTTTTAACTAGAAAAGAAAATTAATTAATAATTTTTTTTTAAACTTTAAACAATGTTTTCTTTTTATACGAAAATTATTTTCACTTTTTCTTTCATTAAAAATAATAATAACAAAAAAAATTTAATAACTCACCGACGCGAGTTTCTAGAATTTTTGGATCTAAAGCACTCATTGATTTACTGCATCTGAGACCTGAAAAATATTATATTTTTTTGTAAACTAAAAGAGAAATAGAAAATATTAAATAAAGAAAAAATAAGAGAAATATAGAAAACAAATTTAAAAAAAAAATATATTTTTAAAGAAACAATATTTTTTGTGGAAATGAAATTATTTTACAAAAAAAAATATATTTATTAAAGAAACAAAATTTTTTGTTTACAAATTTTGTATACAAAAAACTAATTTTTTATAAAAACAAAATTTTGTTTATAGAAATAAAAATTAAAAAAAAAAAATGGGAGAAAGTTTCTATATTCGGAACTTTTTTTTTTAAATAGAATTGTATTAATTTGATAATTAATTAAATTGTCAATTAATTTGATAATTAAGTAAATTGTCACTTAATTAATTTGTTAATTAATTAATTACCTTCAATGTGATGACCATTACTTTTTGGAGTATCGAGCGTTGAAGACGGAGATGATTGATACATTGGCTCCATTGAATCAGCCGAAAGTGAGATGCTATCTTTCCTCCCTGAAATGATAATTAATTTTTAAAAAAAATTTCCCAATTAACGGGATTTTTCTTTTTCTTTTTTTTTTTTTTTGCGAAACGAAAAATTAAAAAATAAAACCTACAATCTAAACTGTTGACTAATCTGAGACTCGAATTAGCAGAATCTTTTTTCTTCTTACTATTTTTATTAATTAAATCCATTGGCGGGGGTTTATCTGTAAGAAAAAAAAATAAAGTTTAAAATTTTTCAATAATTAAAATTAAAAATTCTTAATTAAATTTAAAAATAAATTAATTTTTCCAAAAAAAAATTTACTTACAATTTTTAAGAATGTAGGGATTTTTAAGTACTTGTCGTACGCAATTATAAATATAAGCGTATTGACTCTGAAAATAAAAAAATATTTTTTAATTCTTTACTTTTCTTTTTTTTTTGTCCTCAAAAAAAAAAAAAAAACATTTTTTTTCTCACCTCTCTTTGAACCATATTCAATCGATGTCTTCGCAATCGATAAACTGTTCCAAAAACATCCAATTTTCTATTATCTCTCATACTTTGTAAAAGCATATCAATTGTTATTAATGTTCCGGTCCTTCCAATTCCAGCGCTGGAAAATAAAAGAAAAATTATTTTTTCACATTTTAATTGAAAAATTAATAATTAATTAATTAAACACATTTTGCATTAAAAATTTGAAAATTCCCAAAAAAATAATTATTTCAATCAGTGAAATATTATTTATATAAAAAAAAATCGCGGCGATCGTTTAAATCTTTATAAAAAAAAAGTCCATTGTTTTTTTTTTAATTTAAAAATTAAATTTAAATTCTGGAGTGTTTCGATAATTTTTTTTTTTTTATTTTTGAAATCGCGCAATTTGTCCAGCAAAACTTTTTATCATTAGTTGCAGGCAAAGGTTAGTGATATTTTTTTATTTAAATTATTATTTTGATAAAAGCAGCGAACGAAAATAATTTCATAGCTCAAATAGAATTTAATTGAAAATTCATTAGACAGATTTTATTTTTAAATTATCACTATACCTAGAAAATTAATATAATATATATATGTATACCTGCAGTGAATTACAACGTGTCCCTTATTGGCCGTAATGTGCCGACGCATTATTTGACAAAAATTAATCATTGGATCAAAATCCTCAGGTACATCGTGATCTGGCCAATCTTTAAAATGCATATGCATTATACTTCTTTTTTGCTCGTCCTGCAATTAATTCGATTATTTATTTACTTTTTCCGAATTATTAATTAACTAATAAAGAAATTCTTTAAAAAAATTTTTTTATTATTAATTAACTAAAAATATTTTATTATTATTTTTAAATTGAATTAAAATTTTAGACAGTTCCAAAAATACTTAACATATTATTATTATTTCCATTATTATTATTATTATTATTATTTCTATTATTTCCATTATTATTATTATTATTATTATTTCTATTAATTAATAATAATTATTATCTATTAATTAATTGACATAATTTTGAAAATAAACGAAACCTACCTTTTGCAAAACCAACGTTCTTTGGGTACAAGTGCGAAAATCTAATTCACTTGTGCAGCGAATTGACATTTTTTCATACGTGAAAGTTTCACGAATTGTTGGAAAATATTGATGACATTTTTCCTGGAAACAATAAAAAAAATAAAATTAATTAATTAAATTAAATTCCGCTGATAAGTAATTTATTGACTCGAATATCATAAATAGATTTTTATCTTTAAAAAAAAAAATGAGTAATTTAAAATTAGATAAAACTAAATTATAATTTCTTTGTAAAAAAAAAATTATTACTCACCTTTCCTTTTTCAAAAAGTTGAGTCAACATTATAATTATTTTCACATCATATTGATCAATCATTCGCCAAAAATCATATGTTGTCTCTTCCTTTGGACCCTGACATGCAATATATTCATCTTCACCGGAATAGCCCTGAAAACAAAAATTAAAATATTTTTTTATATCTTTACTGAATTTAATATTTTTTGACAAAAAAAAAGTAAAATTTCTATTTTTCTTTCAGAATGATTCTTTTTTTTCTCAAAAATTCGGAAAATTTTGTATTATTTTTTTTTTTATGTAAAAGAAAGTAATAATTTTTTTTTTATTTGTATTTATTTATCTCAATATAAATAAATGGAAATAAAAAAATAATTTAAAACAAAATTCTTTTTGAAAAAAAAATACTTTTTATTTTTTTTTTGAGAATTTTTAATTCTGACAATTTTATTTTTTATTTTATAATTATTAGGTATTGTTATTATTATTATTATTATTATTATTTTTATTATTATTTATTTATTTATTATTATTATTATTTTTTTCAAAAATGAGAAAAAATTTTACTTACGGTAATAAAAGAAGCGTTAATATAATCCGTGTTTGGATCATTATCAATCACATCTAATTTCACTCGGGAAAAATCATCTGCAAATAATGAAATTTAATTTTAATTAATAATAAATAGAAATTTCATAAATAAAATTCTACCTCTAAATAAACAAAAAAAATTCTTCAAAAAAGGAAATTCTAATCAATAGAAATTTATAATAAATGAAATTCGAATAAAAACAAAATTATAATAAATTAAATTCTAATTAATAAAAATTGTAATAAATAAAATTCGAATAAAAACAAAATTATAATAAATTAAATTCTAATTAATGAAAATTGCAATAAATAAAATTCAAATAAATAAAATTATATTAAATACTATTCGGATAAATAAAATTCTAATTATTAAAAATTTAAATAAATAATATTCGGATAAAATTAAAATTCTAATTAATAAAAATTCAAATAAATAAGAAAATTTGATATTAAAATGAAGAAAAATAAATAAAAGTAATAATGTAAAATAAATTGACAATAATAATTACAGGGTAAAATGTCGGAATAACGATTTTTCTTTCTGTTTGCCTGAAGACATGCGGCGTTAGTTGGCATTTGAAGGTCCAAACTTAAAGTTTGTAGTAACTGAAATTCACAGCTGAGTTTACCAGGATTGTCAGCGAGTTGCTGACAATGACTGATAAATTTTCTCCTCGTAAATGGCGTTGGTACCGGAGATCCCGGCAAATCCGAATGCAAAAATCGTCGGAGAACACTGCAAAAAAAAATTATTTTTTTTTTTCAATTAATTAAATTGCTATCGAAATTTCAAATTTTTTACTTAAAAATAAAAACTAATTAAATTACCAGTGAAATTTTTTACTAAAAAAAAGAAAATAGCGAAATTTAAAATTTTTTACTTAAAAAAAAGACTAATTAAATTACCAGCGAAATTTTTTACTAAAAAAAAGAAAATAGCGAAATTTTACTTTTTTACTAAAAAAAAAAGAAATAGTGAAATTTTTTTTGCTAAATAAAAAGCAATTAAATTTTACTTTTTTGCTAAATAAAAATAATGAAAATTATACACAGTAAAAAAAAAGAGGGAGAAATAATTAAAAATCAAAGCACAGAAAAAAAGATTCAAACACAAAAAAAGGAAAAAAAAACAAAAAAAAACTCAAAAATTAAATTAGGGAAAAAATTTTCCAAAAATCAAATGAAACGTAAAAATGAAATAAAAATAGGAATAGAAAAAAAAAACAAAAATTTACTTTTTTCATATTAATGAATCGATGAAAACGCAAAAATGATGACACACACACTCGATTACAAAAATCATTTGAAACGTAAAATACGCGAAGAATGAAAATTCGAACTAAAATGCAAAAAAATAAATAAAATAAAATAAAATAAATAAAATAAAATAAATAAAGAAAATAAAAAACAAAAAAAAACGTGAAAATTATAAAAACGTAAATGAAATTTTAATACTAAAAATACACGCACTTGGAGAAAAAATTAGCGAACGTCTTTTGATTCCGAAAATGAGAATTCATTTTTTATTTCATTAAATTTTTAATTTTTCACCAAAAAAAAATATATCGATAATCACTTTTTCGAATCAATAATACTATCATTTTCTCTCTCTCAAAAAAAAGACTACTCTCTTTCTCTTCTTTTTTGAATGCTCTATTCACCTTCTTCTTGTGTGTTTAAAAATATCCATGCTTAAAAATAAAACGCTCTTTTAGAAATATTATATAGAATATAAGTGTAAGAATTATTTTCCGAGTGAGATATATATATATATATATATAGTATTCGTTTTGAGATGCGGTTTATATTTGTGTACGTGTAAAAAAAAAGAGCAAAAAGAGCCCAGGCCGCAAACCAATAAACAGTTTGTCGTCAACTAAACGCATACATTTTTAAATTGCGTATGACACTTGATGCATTACATATATATATTGAATGGCCTTGTCTTAGAAGTCTATATAGTTATTCTTCGTCTCTGAGTCACAGGACAAATATTGATTATTTCCTATAAGTGTATATAGGAGAAGGTACACTTACACCTGATTTTATACTTGCCGGAGATCCTTACATGAGATTTGTCATGAAATCTCGCTCTCTTATCTCTTTTTTTTTTCTTTTCGTTACGGAGAATTTTATCGCGCGTAGCAAAATTTTGTCTTAAAAAAAAAAATCAAATTTTTTTTCTCACTTTTTTTTTAGAAAAACAAATTTTTTTTCATTTTCTGACTTTTAATTAGTTTTTACTATTATTAATATTTTTATTATTAATTTTTTACTATTATTATTATTTTTATTATGAATTTTACTATTATTATTATTATTATTATTTTTACTAAAATTTTAATTTTTTTTTCACAAAAAGCGAAGCTAAAAGAAATTTATTTTTTGTATTTTATTCGAATTTACTTTTTTTTCATTATATTTCTTTGAAACGAAAATTAAAAAGGAAAAAGACAAAAGTAAAATTTGAAAAATCCCTTTTTTTGCCCCAAAAGTGGAATTATTTTTACTCGTATATTTTTTTGGAATGGAAAATATGTGAGAAAAATAATATTGAAAAGAAAGATAAATAAACGAAAAGTATTTTTTTTGTGTTGAAAATAAAATTTGGTTTGAGTATTTTTTTTTTTTAGAAAAAAAAAATATATTAAATTATAAATTTAATTATATACTTACGCGTGTAGAGAACATTTTCTAACTAACAACATCATTGTCGTTAAAATTCCAAGTACCATGATTCCAATCACAATGCCAATTATTATCGGAATATTTAATTCAGCGTCTGTAAAAAAAAATTTTACCTTAAATTAATTTTGTTGTTTTTTTTTAAAATATTAATTCAATTTTTCATTGTAAATAGAAATTTATAGAGAAAAAAAACGAAAAAATTGCAACAAAATGGAAAAAAACAGAAATTTTAAACTAAGAAACAAATTACTAATAATTATTAATTATTATTATTATTCTATTTTTATTATTATTTTATTTTATTCTTTTTATTTTTTTCTTCTATTTTATTATTATTTTTACGATTATAATTATTTGTTTAATTATCATATAAAATTTAAATAATAAAATAATAGTTATCAAAAATAATAATAAACAATTAATAATAATAATAATAATAAAATAGTAACAATTATATAATTAAAAAAATATTAATATATTAATAGTAACAATTATAAAAATAAAAGTAATAATAATAAATTAATAACAATTTTAATAATGAAAAAAATATTAATAGTAAAAAATCTAAAAATTGTATTCATAATTAATAATTGAACTGGTAGCAATATTAAAATTTTGTAGATTATTAAAAAGATATTTTTTTTTTAATGTTAATCGAAACTCACTGGTTTTGACAACAAAAATAGGAGAATCCGAATAACCGCCATCAGTAAATGCTCTCATTCGAACATCATAAAATGTCCCTGGCTTCAGGGGACCATTGCAATAAAGTCTCGAGTCCGTATTAACTGAAAGTTCTTGACAATCCGTGTCCTGTCCAAGAACAAATTTCACTGCTTTTATGTGACCATAATCAATCACATAACTTGCTAAATAAAAAAAAAAAAAAGAAAATTAAAATTAATCCTCTCTAATATTAGTAATAATAATAATTTAATAATAATAAAAATAAAAAAAAATATACTAATAATAAAATAATAAATAAACCGAAAGAAATGGACTAATTAATAATAATAATAATAATATTATCTAATTATTATACAAAAAAAATTTAGTAACTGAATTTTTTTTTCGTTAGTAATTATTTAATTTTTTAATTTAATTTTTGTATTAAAAAATAAAAGAAAGAAAACAATTACTTACGAATTTAATTTTTGTATTAAAAAATAAAAGAAAGAAAACAATTACTTACGAAATGGATTCCATTGAGGACTTGTCGCCTGATATGGAATTGAAAAATCCTTAACCATTGATTCTTGCCAACATGATGAATTTGGCCATTCATTGCCCTTTAATTCATAACGTGTTCTTGATCCTTTATTATTTCCCGTCGTTGACACCATAACAGCATAATATTTAATATTTCCATTTGTCATTGGAAATAGTGGCAATAAAACTGTTGCCGAAGTTGTTGTTCTTATTGCTTTTTGTGGATCAATTGTTAACATTTTTACATACTCAACACCCGGTTGATCTGGTACTGAAAGAGGAGAAATTTGTTTTTTTATCGTCAAATTAAAAATAAAAATTTTTTACAAATTTAAAAATTGATAATTATTATATAATAATAAAATACATATTGCATTTCTCGTAATTGGATAAATCTACAAAAAAAGAAAAAAAAAGAAAAGGAAATTGAAAATATTTTAATTAAAAAAATAACAAGTAATACCAATTTAATTTAATTTAGACAAAAAATAATTTCTAAATATTTATTATTTAATTAAATTTTAGAATTATTATATAATAATAAAATGCTTGGTCTGTCCTTCTGTCCTAACTTGAAGTTGGCCTTTTCTAATTTCACGTGTTTTTTTTTGAATAGTAATCTTATGACGTCTCAAATTTTGACAATTCTTTTTCTCATTTTTGCCAAAATTGTATAATTGTGTTTCCTTTCGGAATAAGTTTCTTTAAAATTCCAAATTCGAAAATTCAATTCACGAAGCTGAAGTACACAACGTTTACCAACGAAATTTTTTTTAAACTTGTATATTAATTCAAAAATTGGATACAAATACAAAAAATTTATGATGAGAAAAAAGATGCGCCAGGAAATTTCGTACAAGATAGTAATTTGAAAAAAATTTATTTTTCAAAATTAATTTTTAAAGTACCAGAGGCCAACGAATACCTATTAAATATTAATTATAAAAACACAGGCCTCGAATCAACTTAAAGACAAAAAAAGTCGTTTTAGTCGATTTATATTCCAAAAAAAAGTGGATTTGTTTTTTATTTTAACAAAAATATTTTACAGATTTTTAAATAAAAAATTTTTGTTTTTAATAATACTCCTTTTCGAAAGGGTTAAAGTTGAAATTTTTAGAAATAATTAAATTTCAAAAGATATTGTTAATTTTCAAACAATTTTATAAATTTTACAGAACTAAAAAAAATTTATCAAACAATTTTTGGAAAATATTTTTTAAATTTAATTGAATTTTCAAAGATTTAAAATTGAGATTTTTGAAATTAATTGAAACTTTAAGTGTTTTGTAATTAAAATTTTAAATGATTTCACTAAAAATTTATTAGAAAATGCGGACAAAATACAATAATTTGAAAATCATTTTTAATTGAAAAATGGTTTCAGATAGTTGAAATTTCAAAGAATATTATTAAAATAGTTAAAAATAATTGAACTTCCTTAGAGTTATAATTGAAATTATTAAATTTCAAAAAAAAAAAAAAATTTCGATGGAAAATTTTAGAAATAATTAAATTTTAGATGCTTTTAAATTCAAATTATTGAAAATTCAATTAATTTTGAATTCAAATTTTTGAGAATAATTAAATTTTATTTGATTTTAAATTTGGAAAATAATTGAATTTCAGTTCATTTTGAAATGAAAATTTTGGGAAATTATTGAATTTTAATTGAAATTTTGGATAATAATTTAATTTAAGTTCATTTTTGATTGAAAATTTGGATAATTAATTTTGAATAGAAATTTTAGAAAATAATTGAATTTTATTTCATTTTAAATTGAAAACTTGGTAAATAATTAAATTTTAAATTGAAAATTTTGGATAATTATTGAATTTTAATTGATTTTGAATTAAAATTTCGGGTAATAATTGAATTTTAGTTTATTTTGAATTGAAATTTTTAAAAAATAATTCAATTTTATTGTGATATTTTTTTTTTTTAATTATAAACAATTGTTAAATTTCATAAAAATTTTAATTGAAAAATAATTCTGATATAATTGAATTTGTGATGTATTTAATTAAAATTATTAAAAATAATTAATTTAGTGAAGAATCATTTTAGTTCGAAATTTGTTAAATAATTGAATTGGAGAAGATCTGAAGAAGATCTACATGTCGCATTTTATTAAAATAAGTCGACAAAAGTCGTATTTTTGAAAAAAGTCAGAAAAAATTTTTTTTTAGAAATTGCGGACAAAAATACCATAATTTTGAAAACCATTTTTAATTGAAAAATGATTTCAGATAGTTGAATTTTCAAAGAATATTACAAAAATAGTTAAAAATAATAAAATTTCGTTAAAGTTATAATTGAAATTATTAAATTTCAAAAAAAAAAATTTTCTATGGAAAATTTTAGATGCTTTCAAATTCAAATTATTGAAAATTCAATTAATTTTGAATTCAAATTTTTGAGAATAATTAAATTTTATTTCATTTTAAATTAAAAACTTGGTAAATAATTAAATTTTAAATTGAAAATTTTGGATAATTATTGGATATTTAATTGATTTTGAATTAAAATTTCTTGTAATAATTGAATTTTAGTTCATTTTGAATTGAAAATTTTGGGAAATAATTGAATTTTAATTGAAATTTTTTGATAATAATTTAATTTAAGTTCATTTTTGATTGAAAATTTAAATAATTAGTTTTGAATAAAAATTTTAGAAAATAATCGAATTTTATTTCATTTTAAATTGAAAACTTGGTAAATAATTAAATTTTAAATTGAAAATTTTGGATAATTACTGGATTTTTAATTGATTTTGAATTAAAATTTCTTGTAATAATTGAATTTTAGTTCATTTTGAATTGAAAATTTTGGGAAATAATTGAATTTCACTTGATATTGAATTAAAATTTTGGAAAATAATTGAATTTGAAAAGGAGTTTCGAAAAATAATTGAATTTTAGTTAATTTTAAATAGAAAAATTTGAAAATAATTGAATTTTAATTGAAATTTTGGATAATAATTTAATTTAAGTTCATTTTTGATTGAAAATTTAAATAATTCATTTTGAATAGAAATTTTAGAAAATAATCGAATTTTATTTCATTTTAAATTGAAAACTTGGTAAATAATTAAATTTTAAATTGAAAATTTTTGATAATTATTGAATTTTAATTGATTTTGAATTAAAATTTCTTGTAATAATTGAATTTTAGTTTATTTTGAATTGAAATTTTTTAAAATAATTGAATTTCACTTGATATTGAATTCAAATTTTGGAAAATAATTGAATTTGAAACGGAGTTTTGAAAAATAATTGAATTTTAGTTAATTTTAAATAGAAAAATTTGAAAATAATTGAATTTTAATTGAAAATTTTGAAAAATAATTGAAATTAGTTGATTTTAAATTGAAAATTTTTAAATAATTGAATTTCAATTAAAATTTTGGTAAATAATTGTATTTTAGTTAAATTTTAGTGGGTTTTCGAATTTAAATTTGGAAAATAATTGAATTTTAGTGGATTTTGATTTGAAAATTTTGAAAATAATTGAATTTTATTTGATTTTGAATTAAAATTGTTTGGTAATTTTATTTGTTATTTTTTTAAATTATAAACAATTGTTAAATTTTATAAAAATTTTAATTGAAAAATAATTTGAAATAATTAAATTTGTGATGAATTTCATTAAAATTATTAAAAATAATTAATTTAGTGAAGAATTTTTGTTAAATAATTGAAATAAAGAAGATATGAAAAAGATCTGCATTTTATACTAAAAAAAAATTTATTTTTTTAAAAAATTTTTTAAAAAATATAAAAAAAAGTCGAAATAGTCGCATTTTATTAAAATAAGTCGAAAAAAGTCGTATTTTTGAAAAAAAAAGTTGGAAATAGTCGAAAAAGTCGTATAATCCGAGGCCTGTTAAACACTCAATTTGGCGCGCGTTTAATTTTGCTAGTTCAATTAATAATATATAATTAATACTAATAAATAATAAATGGTAATAAATAAATAAATATTGAACTCACTTCCAGCGGGATAAGTTGTATAATATGTAGTGCCAGCTCCTAATTCAGTGACATTTTTCACTTTTGTTGTCAATATAAATGTATAATAATATGATGGTTTCAATTCCTCAAGATCAACCATAAATACATCGTCTTTATGAATTTCCTTTCCTGTTTCGAGTATTCGTGTAAAATTATGTATAGATTCATTTTTGACGCCATGCACAGAAATATTAAAATATTCAATAATTCCATTTAATTCACATGGTAGACCCCATTGTAAAATTGTACTCAAAATATTAGCATCATTTTTACTTCCCTCGTGTTTATAAGTAAAATTCGTCACTTTCGATGGAACTAGAATATTAAATTTTTTAATTAATTAATTAATTTTTATAATTATATTCAAGAATATTAAATAGAATTTATTCATTTTTGTTTAATTAAATTATTAAATATTAAATTTTTCAAATTAAAAAATTTGAAAACAAAAGTAAATTAAATAATAAATTAATTTATATACGTAAATTAATATATCAATTAAATTGGCGATCGATTTGAAAAAAGTAAATAAATAAAAAAAATTATTTACAAAAAGGTATTTGTAAATATTTTTTTTTTTTTTTTTTTGTCGGGGAAAATTTTTTTTCTCACCTCCAGCTTCACTGGTGAAAAATACTGATTCGCTGTAACTTCCATAACCAGCTCTTGTTTTAGCTCGTATTCTCGCCTCATAATGCGAAAAAGGCGAACCCTTCTGATGTGTATAATTTACCATTGAACCATCGATAATTGTCAAATTATTTTTCAAAGAATTACATTTATCCGGTATGGGATACAATGCATCCCACATGAATTCAATTTCATAATTTAGTATTTTTCCCGGTATATATTCCGGTAAAATCCATTCAAATGAATATTCCAAATCCGTCACATCAGTTACATTGAGTTGTGGCGCAGAAGGCACTTTGAAAATTGAAAAAAAAAAAAAAATCATTTAAATTCATTGCCAAAATTTTCTTTTTTTAAGAATTTTTCAAAAAAATAAAATTAACCTTTCTTAAATAATAAAAAAAAAAAATCAAAAAACCGAAATCTCAAAAGAATTAGAAAAAAAAATAACCAAGCGAAAAATTTTTTTAATAATTTGAAAATTGAAAAATAGAAGAAAAAGAAGAAAATACAAAAGAGAAAAATTATCAAATTGTTTGAATAATAATAATAATAATAATAATAATAATAATAATAATAATAATAATAATAATAATAGTTGTAAAAAAATAATAAATGTTTTAAACCATAAAAAAATATTTATATTATCTCCTATATAAATATTTTTATTTTTTGTAAAAATATCAAAATTTTTTTTTAAATATTCTCTTTTTAGGCAAAAAAAAAAAAAAAAATTTATTTCTTATAAATAAAAATAAATAAAATTATTTTTACCATCTTCCTCGGTTATGACATTAATAGAATCACTGGCTATACTGTCTCCCGCTTCATTTATTGTAATTGCATTACAATCATAAGTTGTAAATGGAGTTAAATTTGTTAATTCAACATTAACAAAATAACGTGGTACATGATCGATAATAATTAATGATGAATTTCCCGTTCCATTAACAGGATTATAGCCAATTCCTTCAAATTCTTTGACACTATAGTAACAATGAACAATAACTGATTTTACTGTACAATTATTTTCATTTCCAATATTCCAATAAAGTGTCATTGAATCTTTTGTATATGTTGGAGATTTTGCCCTTATTGGCTTTGGATGAACTAAAAAAATTAATTGAAAAAAATTATTTATCAAACAAAAAACAAATATGTTTTTTTTCATCTCAATTCTATTAGAAATTTTTTTTATTTTATTCTTTTTTTCTATTAAAGTTTTCTTGTTCAATTTTTTCTCAAAAAAAAAAAAAAAAAAAATGTTTTTTTTCTCAATTCTATTTTTGGATTTATTCAATTTTTTTTGAATTTTCTTCATTGCAGGCCTCGGATTGACTTTAAGGCACACATGAAAAGTCTTTTTAGTCGATATTTATATATTTATTCGAAAAAAAAGGCGAAAAAGTCGATTTTTTCAATTTTTAACAAAATTTAATTGGTTAATAAATATTTTTACATTAAATAACTAATGTTATTAGATATTAAATTCATTTTATTAATTATGTAATAAGAATAATATTCTACTAGAACATTATTATGAATTATTAGAATTAATTGAATTTCAAAAGATTATGTTAATTTTCAGAGAATAATTAAATTTTATAGAATTAAAAACAATTTGTGTTTTGAAAAAAAAAAAATGATTTCACACAGTTGAATTTTCAAAAAATTGAATTTTAATTTTAATTGATTTTAAATGAAATTTTTTTTCAAAAAATTGAATTTCACTTGATATTGAATTCAAATTTTGGAAAATAATTGAAATTCAATCGAAGTTTTGAAAAATAATTGAATTTTAGTTGATTTTGAATTTAATATTTGGAAAATAATTGAATTTTAGTTAATTTTATATAGAAAAATTTGAAAATAATTGAATTTTAATTGAAAATTTTGAAAAATAATAGAAATTAGTTGATTTTAAATTGAAAATTTTTAAATAATTGAATTTCAATTAAAATTTTGGTAAATAATTGTATTTTAGTTAAATTTTAGTGGATTTTGAATTTAAATTTGGAAAATAATTGAATTTTAGTGGATTTTGAATTGAAATTTTTTAAAATAATTGAATTTCACTTGATATTGAATTCAAATTTTGGAAAATAATTGAATTTTAGTTAATTTTAAATAGAAAAATTTGAAAATAATTGAATTTAAATTAAAAATTTTAGAAAATAATTGAATTTTAGTCTATTTTGAATTGAAATTTTGGAAAATAATTGAAATTAGTTGTTTTTGAATTGAAATTTTTTTAAATAATTGAATTTTAATTAAAAATTTGAAAAATAATTGTATTTTAGTTAAATTTTAGTTGATTTTGAATTTAAATTTGGAAAATAATTAAATTTTAGTTGATTTTGAATTGAAATTTTTGAAAAAAATTGATTTTCAATTAATTTAGAATTGGAAATTTTGAAAATAATTGAATTTTAATAGAAAATTTTGGAAAATAATTGAATTTTAGTTTATTTTGAATTGAAATTTTGAAAAATAATTGTATTTTTGTTAAATTTTAGTTGATTTTGAATGGAAATTTTTGCAAATAATTAAATTTTAGTTGATTTTGAATTGAAATTTTTGAAAAAAATTGATTTTCAATTAATTTAGAATTGGAAATTTTGAAAATAATTGAAATTCAATAGAAAATTTAGGAAAATAATTAAATTTTAGTTTATTTTGAATTGAAATTTTTAATTCAATTGAATTTTAGTTGATTTTGAATTCAAATTGTTAGAGATAATTGAATTTCAAAAAATTTTAGATGGAAAATTTTTAAAATAATTAATTTTTAGAACCTTTTAAATTGAAATTTTTGCAAATAATTAAATTTCAAGTGATTTTGAATTAAAAATTTTTGTTAATTTTATCTGCTGATTTTTCTTTAAATTATAAATAATAATTATTAAATTTCATATAAATTTTAATTGAATAATAGTTTAAGATTATTGAATTTGTAATGAATTTCATTAAAAATTATTAAAAATAAATAATTTAGTGAAGAATTTTAGTTAAAAATTTGTTAAATAATTCAAATAAAGAAGATCTAAAGATGATTTGCATTTTATACTAAAAAAAACGTATTTTGTTAAAAAAAATTTTTTTTAAATGTAAAAAAAGTCGCATTTTATTAAAATAAGTCGAAAAATGTATATTTTTGAAGAAAAAGTCGGAAAAAGTCTTATAAATTCGAGGCCTGTCATTGAAAAAGTAGAATAAAATATTATTTTGAAAACAAATTTTGTAAAAACTAAAAGAATAATTTTGTTTGTTTTTTTTTTAAATTCTTAATTTTTTTTTTTTTTCTAATTGAAAATAATAAACTTACCGCTCGGTAATGTTGGCTTTGTATTTAAAATTCGTTCCAAATCACTATCTCCATTATTAATATCAACTGCATTAATTTGTAATGCATACGATGTGCAGGGAAATAAATTTTCAAATAATATTTCAGTTTTATTTGTTGTATTCGTAAGAACAGCTAATTTAGGAACATTAGTATTTAATGTAATTCGATATTCTTTCACACAACTTGCACCAATTTCAGGTGGTGACCATACAATTTTTAATGTTTTCTCCGTTGTTCGAATGTAGGATAAATTTCTCGGTTTACTTGGTTCTATGATGAAAAAAAAGATAAAATCAATATTCACGAAATATAATAAAATTGGTTTTAATGTAAGAAAAAAAAATTTACAAAAAATTATTTCCAAAAAAAAAATTTTATTATTATTTATTTGAAAAAAATATTTGTAATAATTAAATGAAAATAATTATATTGTTAAAAATAGTTTTTATTAATTATTAAGTAAAGTTCATAAAAAAATAAAAATAGAAAGAAATACAAAAATCTAGTTAAATAAAATAAAAACAGAAAAAAAATTATAAATTGGGAAATCTTTTCTTTTAATTACAAAAATTGGGAAAATAATAATAATAATATTAATAATTAGTGAAAAATTGACTTACTGATTAATTTTGTAATCACAGTGGCATTTGTTTCTTTCGATGATTCGGAATTTTCCAATACTTTCACGACAATTGTGTATTTTACACAGGGTAAAAGATTAATTGCATTAAAATAATTATTTTTCGTCGTTTCATTATAAACAATTTCTTCTCTTTCACTAGTGGAATTAAATATCAAAATCAAATATGGAATTACACATTCATTATTTCCAGACGATGTCCACGAAATATTGACAGAAGTTTCCTTAACAATTGTAGTTAAATTCTTCACTTCATTAAATTCTGTAATTTAAAAGCAAAAAAATCACATTAAATTTAAATTAATAACTTTTCCTATTTTTTCAAATAATTGGAAAAATTTCCAATTTTTTTTGCAAATTAAATTAAATTTTTAATATCTAATAAAGTTTATTTAATTAAATTTTTTGTTTAATTAAATTAATTAAATTAAAATTTTTTTTACTCACTTGAGGATTTAGTAAATTCGGTTACAATTTCTCCCTCTGATAATCCACTATCTCCATCTGCTTTAACAATAAAATTATATTTTCTACAAGGCATGAGATTTTCAACAAGAAATGAATTTATTTTTGTTCCTTGTTGTGAAATTAAATTATTTCCACTGTCAAAAATTTCCACTATATATTGTGTAATACATTTATGATTTTTTGGCAAATCCCATGAAATATTTGCCGTTGTTTCACTTGTTTTTACATTTAAATTTAACACTTTATCAGGAACTGTGAAAAAAAAGAGAACAAATAATTTATTTTTACATTTTTTTTTTTTTAATTTAAATTTTACAAATTTGAATTTATTTTTTTATTCAAAGTTGATTTGAAATTAAATTTAATTGAATAAATAAATAATTAAGTAACTTAATAATTAGTTAATGAATTTAAATAAATAATTAATTAGAAATTATTAATAATTTAGTTTCTTAGGAAAATAAAAATTGAAAAATTAAAAATTTTCAAATCTCCCAAAAAAAAACTTACCAACAGATTTTGTTGTATTTTCAATAATACTTTTCTCCGAAAATCCAATATTTTCTTTGCCTTGTGCAACAACAATAATTATATATTTTGCGCATGGTTGAAGATATTCGGCATTATAATAAAGTTTGTCTGCTGTTATGTTAATTTTTTCAAAATTCATATCATCAATTACTTTTACACTATAATTTGACACACATTCACTATTTTTTAATGGCAATAGCCAAGAAATATTTAAAAAAGTTTCCCCAGCTTCGACACTTAATTTTTCCACTGCGCTAGGAACTAAAAAAAAAACAAAAATAAAAATAATTTTAACAATACATTAATTTATTTATTTTTTTGAAAATTATTTTCCAAAAAAAAAAATTTCGTTTTTCAAAATAAATCAGTAGGTATTTTATTTATTTTTAATTATTTAATATTTTAGATTCAAATTCATTAGTTGGTATTTAATAGTTAATTAATAATTTTAAAAATTTAATTTTTATTTCAAAATTTTTTTCAAATTTTCTTTTCTTTTTAATTATTTATTAAGTATAATATAATAATAATAATAATAAAATTATTAAATGTCCTTTGTGGAAAAATTTCGAGTCTTTATCTAAAACCAGATATCTTTATTATTATTATTATTATTATTTCTCTGATATTAAAAATTGGGAATAACTGCGAATATTATCAGATAATCAAGAGTCAGAAAAAAAATTTTGTTTCCCGTTTTTTTTTGTAAAAAGAAACTATTTTTTTGGGAAAATTAAAAAAAAAATTTAATTGTAAAAATATTTTTTTTTATTCAAAATGGATTTTTTTTTTTTAATTATTTTTTAAACCACACTTTTTTTTTTTTTAATGTCAAAAAAAGAGAAATTTCCAAAAAAATATTTATTTTGAAAAAAGGAATTTTTTTTAGTAAATAATTTTCAAGAAAAAAAAAAGAAAAGAAAAATAAATGAATAAAAAAAATTAAATTATAATTTACCAGCAGCATTTGTTGAAGATTCGAGAATTTTTGTCTCATGCGGCTTTTTATCATCTTTGGGATCCTTTTTTCCTTTGTAAATTTTAATTATATAAATTGAGCATGATTGTAATTTTGTAATTTTATAAATAGAAAGCTCTGTTGTTTTTGATAAAAAATTGTTGGAATTTTTTTTGCCCCATTCAATTGTATATAATGGAACAATATCTTCTTTCACATCCCATGAAATTGTTATTGAATCTGTAGTGACGTTAATTATCGTCAAATTCTCCATAGGAACTGAAAAAAATTTGAAAAATCTAATGAAAAAAAACACACACAAATTTTAGTTTAAAAAAAAAATTAAAATTTTAATTAAAAAGGAAATTTTTAATTAAAAAAAAAATCTTATTACAAAAAAAAGGAAATATTTTAAGAAAACGAAAATTTAAATTTCAAATATAATTTTTTTTTTTCAAAAAATTTTGAATACACACCATCTGGAGGTTTGTGAGATTTAATATCCTCATTTTCCAATTCGATTTGATTGATTTTCAATTCATCGTCAAATTCATCGGAGATAATATTTTCATCTAAAGAAATTTGCGTTGTCTCGTCTTGTTTCGAAAATGTCAAAAAATTCAAATATGAATCATTATTATTATTATTATCATAATTCAACGAATCCAATTGATTTTTATCAAATTTCGTTTCTTTAATTTCATTTCCAAAAACGTAGAGAATTTGCAAAATATACAAAAATCCCTGCAGTCGTTTTCGAGGAATCATTTTTTTTTCTTCCTTTTAAGTCCTGAAAAAATATAGTAATTAAAATTTTTTTTTTTACAAAGAAACTTTTATTTTCTCTCTTTCATATTTTTTCTTCTTATACTTTTTTTTAACTCTTAAATAAATAAATAAATTTTTTTAATTCATAAAAATTAATTTTTCTTCAAAATGAAATAATTTAAATATTTTAGGTGCAAATATAAGAACTAATTTTTTTTTTTTAATTTACAAATATAAAAGATAATTAGCAGGAAAAAAAATTTTTCAATTGACAAAATCGAACGATTTTTAAGCTTCCGAAGTTTTGACAATATATTGAAAAAAAAAAAATAAAAGATGTTTTAAGAGATAATCTAGTTTCATTTACGACTCAATATATGAATGACTGATCATTCAGTTATTAAAGATTATTATTATCTGCCGAAAACAAAAAGAAAAATAAAAAAAAAATTCAGGTACTCATGATTTTAAAAAAATCGTTTTGACGAGAAAAATGAAACTTATTTCATTTTTATGATGCCAATAAAATTAAATTAACGATAAAAAAAATAGATAATAATAAGTCAAATTAACGAGAAAATAATTAAAAAATAAAAAGTAAAAAAAAAAAATGAGGAAACAAAACAATTTGTATTCTCTTTTTATCGAGTATTTTTTTTATATATAAAAAATAATAATTTACCACCTTTTCGACAAATTTACCTTTTCGTAAATATAATAATTAATAATAATAATAAATAATAATTAAATAATTTATTAATAAATGAAAAAAAAATTTTATTTATAAAAATTATATTATTATTAGTTAAATTAAATTGTCACTATTATTTGTCAATTATTATTATATGTATAAAATCCGATGGTCAATTTTATTACTTCAAATAGCTTTTGATAAATCTTATCAGTCTCCAATGTAAATTGCTTGTGTCAGTGTTAAACAATTTTTCCATTTTTTTTTTTACTTTTCTACGCGAAGTCTTGAATATTTCTCATTATTTTTATAAAATAATAAAAATAATAATATAATAATATATTATTAATATAAAAATATAAAAAAATATAAAATAATAAAATAATAATAATAATAATAAAATTTCTAATTTAATACGTTTGAAATTTAAATAAATTTATTTATTTTTAATTTATTTACGTGACGAATAATAATAATAATAAATATTATTATTACCATTATTTTATAATTATACTATTATTAATTATTAATTAATTATTATTATTATTATATTAATATTTATAGAGTATTATTTTATATAAATATAAAAATTTAATTTTGTTTTTGAATTTTCGGAATTTTCAAATTTTTATAAATTCAATTTAATTTTGCAATATTATTAAAAATTTATAATCTAAATCCTAATTGAATTATTATTATTATTATTATTATTATTAATTATTTTTGAGAATCGATTATTATTTATTTATTATTTTTAATTTTTATTAAAATTATATATATTAAAAAAATATTATTATTATTTATTAAAAAAAAACTCTAAAAAAAAATTTTTTTTTTCCAATAAGAAGAATTTGTTTAGTAAACAATTATTATTTTATTGTCGTTTTGATATCGTTTGATATATTATATTCTTGTAATTTTCTCGAAAGAATTTAAACACCTTGAAATCACTGTTTCTTGTGTGTGTATGTTCACGCGATTAATCATCCATTTGAGAAATTATTATTATATCGATTGATATAGTTTTATCAAAAGTCCAATATCTATCGATTTGCTTTTTAAGTGATTTGTATCATCATGTATTTTGATTACAGTAGGAAAACTATTTACCAAAAAAAAAAAGAAAAATATAAAGAAAAAGACAAAAAAAAGAAGAAAAAGAAATGTCTTAATTTCAAAAAAAATAAATATTTTGCAAAAAACAATATCGACGAAAAATCCTTATCAATATTTTATTTTCAAGAAATCAATCATTTTTTTATTTTTTCCGAATTGAGAATTAAATTTTGTTTTCAAACTGGAATTTTTGTAATATATTTAATACTAAAATAGGGGGAAAAATTTTTAATTGTTCTAAAAATAATTTTTCAAGATTTAAAAAATTTATTAATAACTAAAATATTTTTTGGAAAAAAAAAAGAGAGGGAAAAAAATTCTGTGTATTAAAAAATAAAATTTTCTCGAAGGAAAATAATTTATTCAAAACGCAAAGAATTTTGAAAAAAAAAAATTCCTTTTTCTTTTGCGCAAAAAATTAGTTGAAAACAAAAAAAAAATACTCACGAAGGTATTTTAAGAATTATTAATCCATCCAAAAGATTTTTTCTATAAAACGTATTCCACATATTTTTCTTTTTTTTATCGTCTCTATGAATTTTTTTTTTTTAAAGAATCGTTTTTATTTAATATCCTGTTACACTTCACTGTTTTTTTTTTTCTTTTTTTTTATTTATTTTTTCACTATTTTTCTTTTCATTTTTACCCTTTGACTATTTTTTCGCGCCAATTTCTTTTTTTGTACCACTAAATAATAAAAGAAAAATAAATTAAAATAAAAAGAAAATAAAATAAACAAAAACAAAATATTCAAAAATTGGGAAAGAAAATAAACGCGATTTAATTGTAAAGTGACTTGAATAGTCAAAAGTATAAAGAAGTTTTGATAAGCATGAGTGTCCAACAGTAACTGGAACTTCCTGTCTCGTTATGTCCTCCCTCCTAGTTCACTGATATCAGCGATAACATAAAAAAAAAGAAAAAAAAAAAACTCGCACAGCAGTTGCACTCTCTTCACAACAGTTTATTAATTATTCTTATTCGATAGAGAGAGGAGTTCATTATTATTCTCTCAAAATGTGGTTTCTATAAATACTGTGAATTTTACAATTTTGTCATTGCAAAAAATTACAATTTCGAAATTTTACATTTTACAATGTTCTTTTTTTAATTTTTCTTTTTTAATTTCAATGTTGTAAATTATTTTTTCTAGTCACAAAAATGGGAATAATAATAATTTAATTTTTGAATTTAATTTACAATGAAATTTATTAATAAATAATAATAATAATAATAATAATAATAATAATAAACAAATTCTAAATTTTACAATTTATATATTTATTTATTTTTATTTAATTTATTTTTTTTGTAAATTTTCTAAAACCAAAATTGCAAATTAAAAAGTATTTTTTTCTAATTTCAAAATTAGCAATAATAATAAAAATAATAAGATAATTTATAATAAAATTTGTCTATGAATCGCGTAAATTTGAAATAAATAAGAAATAATGATATTTAATAATAAAAAAATATAAAAATAAGTAAATTAAGTTTTTTTTGGAAATTTTTAAATTCCAGTATTGCAAATTAAAAATTATTTATTTCATAATCACAAAAAACAACAATAATTTAGTTTATTTTATAACAAAATTTATATTTATAATTAATTAATTATAAACAAATTCTATAATTACAATTATATCAATTATAATATTTATAATTATTTTTTTATAAGTTTAAAATAAATATATAATAATAATAATAAAAATAAAAATAATAAAAAAACAAAATTAAGCAAATGGAAAAATTTTACAATCCTGATATTACAAATATTAATCCGGAAGTTGTAAATTTTACAATTATTTTTTTTGTAAATTTTTTTAAAACCAAAATTGCAAATTAAAAAGTATTTTTTTCTAATTTCAAAATTAGCAATAATAATAAAAAATAATAATATAATTTATAATAAAATTTGTCTGTGAATCGCGTAAATTTGAAAGAAATAAAAAATAATGATATTAATAATAAAAAAAATATAAAAATAAGTAAATTAAGTTTTTTTTTGGAAATTTTTAAATTCCAGTATTGCAAATTAAAAATTATTTATTTCATAATCACAAAAAACAACAATAATTTAATTTATTTTATAACAAAATTTATAATTAATTAATTATAAAAAAATTTTATAATTAAAATTATATTATTTATAATTAATTTTTTTATAAGTTTAAAAAAAATATATAATAATAATAATAAAAATATAATAAAAATAAAAATTATAAAAAAAAACAAAATTAAGCAAATGGAAAAATTTTTACAATCCTGATATTACAAATATTAATCCGGAAGTTGTAAATTTTTAAATTCCAATACCGAGAAAAAAATTAAAAAAAGACAAAAAACAACAATGAAACACGAAATAATAAAATATAAAAAAATTAAATTAATAAAAAATAGAATTAAATACATAAAAAATAAAATATATATTTTTTTTGAAATATAAAAGAAAATAAATTATAAACAGTAGAAAAATTTAATTTATATTCGCATAAAAAAAAAACTCCGAATTTTTTTTTCAAATATAAAAGAAAATAAATTAATAAAATTTCATTTACTTGCATTATTAATTTAAAAAAAAAAATTCATCAAAATTACTTCGTATCGAAGTGCCCAGTAAAATATCAAAAAAAAAAAGAAAAATATTTCCCACCTACCTGTTGCACTAAGAAAATTCGACGCTTGGCGTCCTCCACTTTCTATTTTCCTTCTGGACCATGAAAAACTCGGGGGAAAAATTTCCCTCCACTAAAGATTTAGATTTAAAAAGAAAAATATTCACCACTTTTTTTTCTCCTCATAAAAATACAATTTTCACATCCTGCGGAACCGAAAAAAAAAATTCAAATTTATTATTTACAATTACGAATAAAAAAAATAAATAAAATAAAAATTGCCACCAAAAAAAAAAAATTTGAAAAGAGAAAAATTTATTTCAACTCTCTTTCTATACCGTGGCTTGGACGATTTGGAACTGGTAGGCGCGCGCGAAACAGGGAGAAATATACAACAAGGCCATGTGTTTTCTTCAAAAGGAAAAGAAGATATCTGTGGGACTACCCCCACAAAGAAGACTCGGAAATAGAATGCTTTAACGGTATATATATATATACATGTGCGATGGGGACCTTTCCACACTTGTAAAAATGCACGCAGGCCACTTGTGTATATATATGTATGTATATTTACAGACACTCAAATACACTTCACAGTCTCTTTGAATAAGCTGATGGACCCTTTGGGCCTTAAGGTCCCCTTTTCTCCCCTCTCCCTCTTCTCTTTTCTCCTCGGCTCCTCCTTCTTCAAGGATTGTGAACGAGAGATGAGAGAGAAAAAAAAAAAAAAAGGAGGAGGAGGAGGGGGATTCATAGGGGCTCAAAAACAAGAGATCGTATTCATGGACACCTGCGCGGTTATTTCTTTCATCCCTCGCGCGCGAGGCTTCCAAAAAATTATAATATTATATTTAGTGGTTTTTTTTTGTGGTGGGCAAAAAAAAAAAATTGAAATCAACTCTCGACAATATTTTCCTGCAAAAAGAAAAAAAATTATTTAAAAAATTTTTTTTAGTTTGCAATTTTTTATGTAAACAAAAATAGAATTTTTAAATGGTGAAAACTAGATTTTTCGAATAAAAAAAAAACTGAATTTTTAAATAAACAAAAACCGATAAAAATAGTATTTTCAAATAAACAAAAACTGAATTTTTAAATATATAGAAAAATAGAATTTTCAAATAAAGAAAAAACAGAATTTTTAAATAAACAAAAACAAAACTTTTAAATATAGAAAAGTAGAATTTGCAAATAAACAAAAATAGAATTTTAAAATTTACAGACCTCGGATCGACTTAAAGGCGTTTTAGTTTTAGTTTTAGTCGTTTTAATTTAGTTGAAGTCGATTTATATTCCAAAAAAAAGTCGAAAAAATCGATTTTTTTTTTATTTTAACAAAAATATTTTACAGATTTTTAAATAAAAATTTTTTTTTTTAAATAATAATACTTTTGTAAGGGATAAAATTGAAATTTTTAGAAATAATTGAAATTCAAAAAGATTTTGTTAATTTTCAGACAATAATTAAATTTTACAGAACTAAAAATAATTTATTAAATAATTTTAGATAACATTTTTTTCAATGTTATTGAATTTTCAAAGATTTACAATTCACATTTTTAAAATTAATTGAATTTCAAGTGATTTTTAATTAAAAATTTTTGATGATTTCACTAAAAAAATTTTTTTTTTTAGAAATTGCGGACAAAAATGCAATAATTTTGAAAACCATTTTTAATTGAAAAATGGTTTCAAATAGTTGTATTTTCAAAGAATATTACAAAAATAGTTAAAAAATATTTAAAGTTCCTTAGAATTATAATTGAAATTATTAAATTTCAAAAAATTTTCGATGGAAAATTTTTAGAAATAATTAAATTTTAGAAGCTTTTAAATTCAAATTTTAGAAAATAATTGAATTTTAATTGAAATTTTTGATAATAATTCAATTTTAGTTGACTTTTGATTGAAAATTTTGATAATTAATTTTGAATTAAAATTTTTGAGTATAATTGAATTTTAGTTGAATTTGAATTGAAAATTCGGAAAATAATTTAATTTTATTTGACTTTAAATTGTAAATTTGGAAAATAATTGAATTTTAAAAGATTTTGAATTGAAAATTTTGAAAATAAATGGATTTTCTTTGATTTTGAATTGAAATTTTGGATAATAATTAATTTTGGGTAATAATTGAATTTTAGTTGATGTTGAATTAAAATTTTTGAAAATAATTGAATTTTAGTTGATTTTTGATTGAAAATTTTGATAATAATTAATTTTAAATTAAAATTTTTGAGTATAATTGAATTTTAGTTGATTTTGAATTGAAAATTCGGAAAATAATTTAATTTTATTTGACTTTAAATTGTAAATTTGGAAAATAATTGAATTTTAAAAGATTTTGAATTGAAAATTTTGAAAATAAATGGATTTTCTTTGATTTTGAATTGAAATTTTGGATAATAATTAATTTTGGGTAATAATTGAATTTTAGTTGATGTTGAATTAAAATTTTTGAAAATAATTGAATTTTAGTTGATTTTTGATTGAAAATTTTGATAATAATTAATTTTAAATTAAAATTTTTGAGTATAATTGAATTTTAGTTGATTTTGAATTGAAAATTCGGAAAATAATTAAATTTTATTTGATTTTAAATTGAAAATTTGAAAGATAATTGAATTTTAAAAGATTTTGAATTTAAAATTTTGAAAATAAATGGATTTTCTTTGATTTTGAATTGAAATTTTGGATAATAATTTAATTTTACTTGATTGAAAATTTTGATAATAATTAATTTTGGGTAATAATAATTGAATTTTAGTTGATTTTGAGAATTAAAATTTTTGAAAATAATTGAATTTTATTTGATTTTGAATTGATTTATGGTTTTGAATTAAAAATTTTTAATAATGTTATTTGATATTTTTTTTAAATTATAAACAATTGTTTAATTGAGAAATAATTTGAAATAATTTAATTTGTAATGAATTTCATTAAAAATTATTAAGAATAATTAATTTAGTGAAGAATTTTAGTTAAAAATTTGTTAAATAATTGAAATAAAGAAGATTTGCATTTTATACTAAAAAAAAATATATTTTATTTAAAATTTTTTTTTTAAAATGTAAAAAAAAGTCGAAATAGTCGCATTTTATTGAAATAAGTCGAAAAAAGTCGGAAATAGTCGAAAAAGTCGTATAATCCGAGGCCTGAATGTAGAAAAATAAAATTTTTGAATAAAAACAGAATTTTTAAGTATATAGAAAAATAGAATTTTTAATTTCCAATATTTAGAATTTTTTCAAATTTACTTTACTGGCATTTAAAAATTTTTGCAATTTTATTAAATAATATTTAAAAAACAATACCGATCTGGAAAATTTTGTATCACACATCGAAATTTGTTTATAAAAATTCATTTTTTTTTAATAACATTTAATAATTTACAATATTTGGAATTTATTAAAGAATATTGTAAATTTTTATAATCCCGGAATATTAAAATTTATATCGAAAATTTTTTTGCGAATTCCCAATAGTTATATTTTTTACTTCACTTTTAAATTTGTTCAAATTTTTATGGCGGATAAAAAAACTCGCGGATTAATCGCGAATATTTTCCATGAGAAAAAAAAATATAAATAAATTTTATGATTTAATATTTTTTTTAAAAAAATGTTAAATATTGGAATTTTTGAATTTACAATAATTGTATTTTCAAATTTCTAATATTTGGAGTTTTAAAAATTTACTACAGTTGCAACGCAAATTTTACAATTTTAACGTATTAAAAATTACAATGCCAGTATAATTTTCAATTTTTAAATTGAAATAATTCTAAATTTCTAAAATCGATTAAAAAAAATTTTTAGTTTTTAAAATTTACATTTGTATTTTCTTTTATAATATAATAAACATTAATGTTATAACAAACCAGTATAATAAAATAATTTATTGTTAATTATTACCAGTATAATAAAAAAAAAGTATTGTAAATTTTCTAATTCTAATATTGTAAAATCTTACGAATTTCTTATTTTAAATTCTGTTATTGTAAACAAAATTAATTTTATTAAATAAATATAAAAGAAACGGTAAAAATAAAAAAAAATGTACAAATAGAAAACAATAAAAAGTGAAAAATAATTTGTAAAAATTAAAATTTTTAAATAAAATCAAAATTAAAATCAAATAAAATAAAATAATATTTAAAAGGAAACTAAAAATCTAAACCTTAAAAGCCGGTGAAAAGACTGTTTCCGTGTTCCGAAAAAACAATCCAAAAAAAGAAACACCTATTTCCGAAATGTAAACGAGAAGACGACGCATATCCTGTTCCGTTTGAAATCCGGATCTTTTTTTTTTCTTTTTTGAAAGAAATAAAATCACATCTGGCGACAGCGTGTCTTGTTTACTTTCCCATCGTCTCTTCATCATTCACCTCTCTTCGAAATTGTAATAGAGAACACAAAACGCACGCACAGCCCGCATCCTTTTTGAATTCAGAAAAAAAAAGAAAACCAAACACAAACAAAAATTAATACAATAGGCATATTTATATATATATATATATATCTTAAAAAATTAACATGGAAATAAAAAGAACGAAAAATTTCCATTTCTTTATAAAAATGCTCCAATTTCTTCTAAAATAAAATTACAATTTTTAATTTACAAAAAATTCGTCATATTTTAATTTCTATTTTTTCGAAAATAAAATTTAAGCAGAAATTCGGAAAAAAAAAATTGAAAAGCAGTTTTTATAAATCAAAATGTTTGCCGCTTTAAACAGGAATTGGATAAAAATTAAGAACAAAAAATATTCCGGTAATTTTGTATTTAAAAAAAAAGAATCGTTTTTTATTTGCAATTTTCATTATTCCAGTGATAAAAAGGAAAATTCTTTTTCTTTCCCCACTTTGTCGCGATTTTTTTTATCTACTAAAATTTTCTTAAAAAATCGAAATGAAAATTTGGCGTTTTTATTTACAATTTCCATTTTTTTTTTCAATAAAATAAAAGGAAAATTCTATTATCTCTCGACTTTGAAACGATTTTCTATCAAATTTCATTAACCAATTGAGATGAAATTTTTTTTTTTAAATTTCGTAATTTTTTATTATAATTATTATAAAATTTTCATTTATTTCATTGAAAAAAAAGGAGGAAAATTCTATTTTTTTCCCCCACTTTGTTCTGATTTTCTATTAAATTTCTCTCTAAAATTAGTTTAACCAATCGAAATGAAAATTTTTCATTCTTAAAAATTTCGTATTTATTATGTATTATATTCTATAATTTTAATTTTTTCAATAGAAAGAAAGAAAAATTCTATTTTTTTCGACTTTTCCCCGATTTTTCATTCAATTTTTCCCAAAAATTTCCTTAACAATAAAAAAAACCTTTAAAAATAAATTTTGTATTCATTATTATTATTATTAAATTTTCGTGCTTTCAATTTAAAAAAAAATCCGCTTTTTCTACTCTTTTTTTTTTAAATTTGTACCAAAGAATTTGGTAAAATTAAAATTTGTAATATTCAATTTCGTTATTATAAACTATAAAAAAAATAATTTTAAACTTTAAAAAAAAATTTTTTTTTTAAATTTAATGTCTCGATGACATTTCTTTTTTTTCCATCGTAAAATAAAAAAAATCATGAGAATTATTGGTGTAGAAAGAAAGACAATAATTTTTTTGTTTCCAAAACAATGTTTGCTTTTTTCTTTATTTTAAGAGAAAACATTGTTATCGGAGTGGAGTTTTCTTTCTTTTTTTTTTTATCATCGAGTTTTTGTTAAAAAATAACAAAATATTTAGTAAAGTCTTTGTGGTGGACCCATTGACGATTTGATGTGAAGTGATCGTACATTTTGCCAATGTTTTTTCAACAATGACACGAGGAAATTGATTGACAAATGAATATTGTGGACGAGCTCGTCTTGTGACATGTCCACGTGTCCAACGGCAACAGATAGACATAATACCTATAAAAAAAAAAAGAAAATCGAAAATTATTTCCCCACTTTATTATTATTCAAATGTAAATATTAAAAAAAAAAAAAAAAAAAGAATCAATATAACTCCAATAAAGAATAATTATTATAATTTAAACATATTTGAATAATTATTACCTAAATAATAATAATTATTATTTAATATTTATAACAATAATTATTACCTAAATAATAATAACAATTATTAAATAAATTTATTTCATTGTATACCCAATACAGGGTTTTTATAAACTTTTTGCCTTCTTTAACAGGGTGTCTACTAAAAATCTGAATTAAAATTCCAGGACTTTCCAGGACAAATTTCTTATTTTTCCAGGACCTTAAGGAATAAAAAAAATTTTAGTTTAACTATTGTTTTCAGAAATTATTAAAAAATTAATTAATTACTTAAGTAAAAGTTTCATTTTACTTATTTAATGAATTTTTTTTTAACTTGATTGACAAAATTAGAAATTTTTGAAAATTTAAAAGCAAAATATAAAAAATTCAAGGACAAAAATTAAAATTCCAGGACTTTCAAGGACATTTCCAGGACTAGTAGACACCCTGTTTAATTACAAATAAATAAATAATTATTATCAGGGTGTCTAACAAAAATTGAGAAAAAAATTCCCTGACTTTTCCCTGACTCCTCCCTGACATTTTTTGATTTTTCCCTGACTTTTTAATAACCTTATTTCTGCTTTTTTTTTGACAAAAATATGATTACTGACATATTTAACAATAAATTCATTTCTAATGGTAGTAACAAATGGTAATAAAAACCATTCAAGTTTTTTTAGATTTAAAAATTTTTAAACTCACAAAAAATTTTAATTTTTATAGAAATTTACAGAAATTTCCCTGACTTGGAATTAAATTTTCTGAAATTCCCTGACATTTCCCTGACCAACAAAATTCCCTGACTTTTCCCTGACTTTCCATGACTTCCCTGACCGTTAGACACCCTGATTATTATTAATAATTGACAATATATTGAATAATTTCAAAATCCAATTAATTTAATTTAAATCAAATTTAACCGAATATTAATTTAGCAGAATTCTCAATTAACAGAATTTTTTTTAATTAATATTAGAATTTTTTTTTCGAAATTTATGTTTTATTGTAAAAAAAAAGAAAGTAAATTTCGAGGAAAATTCTTTTATAAAAATTCACAATTGAAAAATTGAAGAAATTTGTTTTTTTTTTTACCTTCTTCATTTGAAATTTGATGGTGGCTTTAACTTCGTCGATTTTTCCGACCATTGACTCCTGGTGAGAAAGAAGACCAGGGAATTTACCGGCTTTATTTAAGCCTGGACCCAAGAGACGTGGAATTTGCTTGATGAGCGATTCACTCGCGAGAAAAGCGTCGTATTTCTTTGCTATAAATTAAAAATAAAGAAAATTTTTTTTAATAATTAATTATTAATTAATTTTAATTCATCTAAATTTTAATTTAAAAAGAAAATTATTTTTTTTAAATTAATAATATTAAATTAATAACAAATTTTTCTTTTGTATTTTTCTATTTTTATTATAAAAAAAAAAAAATATGAAAAATACAAAATTATTTGTTAATTGAAATTAAATATTCTTTTTTCCTAATTTTCATAAAAAAAATGTCTCAACACGGATTGAGGCTCAATGCGATTTAGCGCAATGTCCACACCTAGTGAAGAATTTTAATCTCCTTCCACTGACGACCAACTCTGCAATTTTTTTATACACAAAGCTGGTGCTTTTGGGAAGGAATTATTATTTTTAACAATAATATTGTTTTAAATAATTATTATTTTTATTTATTTATTTATTCAGAGTATACGGGCAGTGCCCATTCGTACAATGTATTTTTATATTTTAATAATATTGTTTTAAATAATTACTATTTTTAACAATATTATTTTAAATAATTATTATTTTTAATATTTTTTAAAAATAATTATTATATTATTAATAATTTACATAAATTTTTTTTTTTTTACATTAATTGACACAAATTTGCTTTAGTGTCAATAAAAAAAAAATAGATTTATTTTAAAAAAAATATTATAAAAAATCTTCTTACCAAGTTTCTTGACAAGTTTTTTGTTCTTGTTAAGTTTCTTTAAAGCTTCAGCATCCATAAATGGAATATTATTGGCTTTTGCTTCGTCACAATGTTGTTGATCTCCCAAAATGCAAACCTGCATTTTTGGCCTTGGGATATTCTTCAACCTTTAAGTAAATATTAAATAAACAATTGAAAATAATAATTAAAAAAAAAAATAAATCCTCGTATAAATTTCAAAAATTATTTTTTATTACAAAAAACCAATTAATAATAACAATAATAATAATAAGCCTCGGTTCGATATTAAGGCGCCAAAAATGAATTTCAAAACTTTTAAATAAAAAAAAAAATATATGAAAGTTAATTAAAAAATAAATGTAAAAAAATAAATATATTTAAAAATATGCCAAAGATTTATAAATATATTTAAAAAATATGCAAACGGTAAATAAATATATATTTAAAAATACGTGAAAAATAAATATTATAAGAAAATATATTTAAAATATTTTAAAATATGGAACAAAAACTAAAAGAAATTGTAAAGAAAATTATTTTAAAATTTGACGAAGCTGAAGTACGCAACGTTTATATAAACAATTTTTAAAGAAATAATTTTTTAAAATAAAAAATTCTATAATTTTTTGCCTAAAAATAATTTTTTTTCTAATTTGTTGATTTTATAAAAACTACAAGAAATATTTTTTAGACAAAAAATTATATAATTTTTACATTTTAAAAAATTATTTCTTTAAAAATCGTTTATCATAAACGTTGCGTACTTCAGCTTCGTAAAATTTGATAATAAATATTTATAAAATAAATAAAAATAAACACAGTAAATACAATATTTACTCAATTACAATCCCATTAAGAAAAAAATTGTAATTAACGTTGTGAAAATGCCCTCAGAATGAAAATTGATCAACATTGATGAAAATTCTGTTAATACATGCTAAATAAACCATCATTGAACGTTTTACACAACGCGATTATAGAGAAAAAAAAAATATGTAACTTACCTCCCAAATCACGTGTGGAACGTGACCCGGAGTTTTTTTTTTTTTTTACGAAAAAAAATAAAAAATTTGTTCGGTATAAATACCTCCCCAATTTATTTAAGACCCTGGGTGCAGGTCCGCCGAGCTTCCTCGGCTTCCTGATTATAAAGAGACAACATTTTTCGGAGTTCGATTCATTTTTTTTACACTTTCGATTTTACAATTAAAAAATTCAATAAAATTATTTTTTTTGTCAAAATCTATTTTTCTTTTCAAAAAAGAAATTTTCCCCTACCGAAAAATGATTCTCAAACAGGTTAGAGAACATACTTGACGGTGCCTGAGAAACGCTTGTCCTTCTGTGGATCGTAATTCTTCAAGCCAATTTGAAGTTCCACTGTTTCCAAGAATTTCCTCTTTTTGTCCTGGGAATTCTGAAGGATTCCATTTACACACTCGTAGAGAGTATCACGCGATACTTTCGACCTGTTTTTGATTTATTAATTTTTTTTTTATTTAATTGCACAATTTTTACTGTATTCTATACATTTAGAGAAAATTTTATATATATAAATTAAAATTACAATGAGTTTTCGATCTTTTTTCCCCCCCATGAGGAAATTTTCAAAAAAATGAACGTTTCCCGCCCTAACCTAAAAATTGCCATTTTTCGAGAAAAAAAAGAATACAAAAAAACTAATTTTCAAAGTAAAATTAAATTTATTTCAGTAAGATAATTAAATGCTTCTATTTTCCATATGGAATTGGAAAATGAACACGTTCTACGTTTCTAACCTAAAAATGTCAATGTGGCAAAAAAAAAATTAGAACGAGACGCGATTGAAAAACTAATTTAAATGAACGCTAGATTTGAAAGAATGAAAAATATAATTCTAATAGGTAATTTCTAATAAAATATATGATTCTTTTACAATAAATGGATATAAAAATACATACGCCATGATAGCGAAGAAAACGAAGATTCAACGACGAGATGTTCACTCCAAAACTACTCAAACTGGAAAGAACAGAAAGCAAAATGGCGGACTATTTATATATCGTTAGTAGTTCCGGTAATCGACACTGTGGCGCAACAATCGCTCTGCCGCCAAATTTCAAAAAAAAAAAAATTCTATCAAAAATTAATATTTATTCCCTTTATTTATTTATTTAACTTAATTAGTTTTTAAATAATTAATTTTTAATTCTATTTATCAATTTTCCTAAAAGAAATGTTTTTTTCTTTCTGAAAAGAATATACGCGTTCCTTGTTCCACCGTTCCACTTTTAGTCGAAAATTGACAGCCTGTCAAAATTATTTCCTAAAATGTGATTGTTTATTTTTATTATTACTATACAAATAAGGGGGCGTCAGTTGTGCCTTTTTTTATTTACAGTTAGAGAGTGAAATTTAATTATTTAAAAATTTTTTTTTTATTTAAATCGCCATTTCGTATATGCGGGTAAAAAGTGAAAAATATAATCTAACCTAAAAGAATCCTGTTTATTGTTATTCTTCTTTTGGAAAAAGATATTTTAACAATTAGTGTTTTTATAAAAAAAAAAAGAAAAAATGAGTCCTGCATTATTGGACAATGAAGACCGATGTTTAGGTGGAATGACATTTTTTGCTCGTTGTCATCCAATTGAACTTTGTGGCAGCAATGGACTTCCATTGACACCAAATTCAATAACAATTTATGGAAAATCACAATTTTTAAAAACAATTCATCATAAACATTTGTCAACTTATCTCGATATTATTAGAAGTAAACATGGTATGTAATTTTTTATTTTATAGAGTTTTATATTTTTTCTATTTTTTATTATTTACTTAATAATTATTCTTGTCTTTTATTATTATTTCTAATTATTAATTATTAATAACTAGGTTTTTTTTCTTTTTCTCGTTTTATTCTAATTTTCTATCATTTTTCTTTACTTTTTTCATTTCTCTCTCTCTTTTTTTTTTTTTTTTTTTTTAATAAATTAATGCCATTAAAAAAATATTCTTTTTCGATTAAGTGAAATTTTTTTTCCTCTTAAAAATATAATATTTTCGATTAATTTATACTTTTTCAATTAATATAATTTTACAATTAAAATAATAATTTTCTACTTAGAAATATTTTTTCCGTTTAAAAAAAGAAAAATTTATATTTTCGTTTAAAAATATTCTCGTTGTGAATAATAATAATAATAATAATAATTTCCTATTTAGAAATATTTTTTCCAATTAAAATAAATTTATATTTTCGTTTAAAAATATTGTCGTTGTAAATAATAATAATAATAATAATAATAATAATAATAATAATAATAATAATAATAATAATTTAGAAATATTTTTTCCAATTAAAAAAAATTTATATTTTCGTTTAAAAATATTCTCGTTGTGAATAATAATAATAATAATAATTTCCTATTTAAAAATATTATTTCCAATTAAAAAAAATATTTATATTTTTGTTTAAAAATATTCTCTTTATTAATAATAATTTATGTAATAATAATTTTCTACTTATAAATATTTTTTCCGATTAAAATAAAAAATATATATTTTTTTTCGTATTAAAAATTTATTCTTTTTTGATTTAAAAAGAAAAAAAATTATATTTTCGTTTAAAAATATTTTTTGTTTTGATTATTTTGAAATTAAATTCTTTTTTGCATTAAAAGAAAAATAATTTTTTTTCCCCATTTGAAAAAAATTTTTAATGGAAATTAATTTTTAATTGACTAATAAAAAAATTTTGTTTCTTTTTTTTCTATTTTTTTTTTCTTTTTAAAGAAAGAACAGTCGTAGTGGCCGAATGTAGCGGAAAAGCATTGCACTATATGGAAAATTTATCATTGGACAATATTATAAAAATTGCCTATCAATGTCTTTTGGGCCTAAAACATATGAATAAATTTGGATTGGTTCATCGCTATTTGAGTCCTGAAAATATTTTAATAAACAAAAATGGTGATGTACAATTGTACAATTTTGGATTGTATTACATGACCGATGGTGGAAAAAGCGTCTCATTTCCAATTGGGTATTTTTAATCATTAAAAAAAAAAATAAATTAAAAAAAATTTTTAAAAATTAAAAAAATTAATAAATTTAAATAACAATTAAAAATTTTAAAATACATTTTTTAATTATTTTTTTATTTATATTATTTATTATTTATTATTATTAATAATAAATAATAGATATTTATTTTATTATTATTATTGCTATTATTATAATTAATAATTGATAATAATAATAATAATAATAATAATAATAATAATAATTAATAAATAATAATAATAAATAAATAAAATAATTAAAGTTAGAAAAACATTTATTCTAATTTAAAAAAAAAAAAAATTGAAAGAGAATTATTTTTTAAAAAAATCGTTTTTCTTTCAGTTATCCAAAATACACGGCACCTGAAGTATTTCTTGGATCAGGCGCAAGTGGAATGAAAGTTGATTCCTGGTCATTGGGAATAATTATCGCTGAACTTTTATTGAGACAAACAATTTGGCCTGGCGTTAAATTGTCTCAATGTTTGCGTAAAGTTTTAAGTCTCATTCATTGTAAATCGAGTATTTTCGAACGTTTAGCAAGGGAAAATAATTGTTACGACATTTATGCGGTAAAAATTTTTTTTTTTTTTTTTTTCTAAAATTATAATTAAAAATTAATATATTCAAGAAAAATTGTAATTATTTAATTATAATTACAATTATCAAATTTTAAATACAAATTTTTTAAATATAATAATTGTAATTTAAAAATTAAAAAATTGGAATTATTTTATTTATAATTACAATTATATTATAATAATTATATTATTAAATTATAGCTATAATTATATTATTAAATTATAGTTATAATTATATTATAATTAATTATAGTTATAAAATTATAATAAAAAAAGAAATATTTTCTTTTATTGTAGAAATATTTTGTAATATAGTAACAATTTTTTTTTTTTTTTCAGGCTCTTCCCGAAAATGTAAAGGAATTTATTGAAAATTGTCTAAAAATTCGTCCGTCATCGCGTAAAATTCCTGAGGAACTTTTGCAATTGTCGATATTTGAGAATTTAATTGCAATAGACAAGAATTTCGATGACGATAATGACAATAATGAAGCATATAGTAAAATAATAACAAGAAAAATGGATGAATTATATTATTTATGGCAACTTGCTGGCGGTGATATAACAGTTGAATTAAAAAAACAAGGATTAATACGATCGAGAGCGCCAATTCTTTCAATTCCAAAGTAAAATTAAAAAATATTTCGAGAAAATTATCAATTTTTTTTTCCTATTTATTTATTTAATATTAATATTTTGTTTTTTATTTTCCACCATTTTGCATATAACTATTTTTATTAATTTTTCAATTTTATTTATTTGTAATAGAAAATATAGAATTTCTTTATTCAAAATAATTTAAAAAAAAAATTATTTTCACCCAAAGAAAAGTTGTATTACTTTTATTAATTTTAAAATGTTTATATATGCATTAAAAATAATAATAATTATGAAAATTATTAATAACGAAAATAAATTACCATTTATATATTTAATTTTTTTTTTTTTATAGTTTGGTGATACTTTTGGGACACATGTTTGGAAGAAGGGACACTGCGGGATTATTGGATCTTCGAGTGGTAAAAGTTCCACTCGATACTCTTCGTCAAAGATTATCTCACATTCCATTTATTGCTAATTATCCAAGACTAACAAATCAGTAAATAAATTATTATTATTATTATTATTTTTCTGATATTTCATATTTTTTGCAAAATTTTCTTAAATTAATTTAATATTTTCCTACTAAATTACAAAAAGAAAACTAAATAGGAAATTTTTGTAACTAAATTTCAATTTTTGTTTAAAAAAAAAAGTATTTATTTATTTACAAAAAAAAATGAAATAACGAATTTTTTTTTCATTTAAATTGCAATGATAAATAATAAATATTGTAATTAAATTACAAGAAAAATTTCTTTATTAGAATATAGAAATACTTTATGTGAATATTTCTTTATTCAATTAAATAAAAATTAATATATATTTATTTAGAATGCACGTACAAGCGCAGGATGACTTGACTGATTCGGCTTCTCAGCTTCCGTTAATAATTCGCGAAAGGGACACGGAATATCAATTTTATAGAATTGTTCTTTACGATCGATTGCTGCAGGTAAATTTTTAATTTCACAATATTTTATATTTATTAATAAATTCTTAAATAATAAATATTTAGAAATTATTTTTTGTCTAAATTAAATTAAATTCTTTATTCGTTTAATTAAAATATTTTCAATTTCCTTTTCTTTTCTTTTCTTTTTTTGTAGATTTATCCAATTACGAGAAATGCAATAAGTCGAGAAGCGCACAAGGATATTCCTCCACCTGTTAGAGGTGCCGTTTGGGCGGCATTACTCGATGTTATTGGAGATATTGAAAATAATTACGAGAGAATCGATAAAGAAACTCCAACTCACACCGATCGACAGGTAAAAAATTTTCTATTTTATTTAATAACAAAAAAAAGAATATTTTTTTTTTCCAAATTAAATGGAAAATTTATTAAAGTATAGTTGAAAAATATTGTTTTTTAAATTTCTAAATCGAAAATTATCGAATTATTTATTGTAGGGTCAACTGGGGTAAATCCGAACGCTTTTAGTAAGTTTCAACAATAACATAAGTTTTTTCTTTAAAAAAAAAAATACTTCCGGTATTCTGGTGCATGAAGTTGTTACTTTACTTCCATAGAACAATTTTATGGGGTAGAAAAATTTTTTGATAAATTACAATCGCAGGAAACTTAGCGTTCGTATTTACCTCGATACTTTGCAACTTTCCTAAAATATGGGGGTAAATACGAACGCCACTGTATTTCAGAAAAATCTTAGGGAAAATAAATTTAAAGTATTGCAATTGTTAAACTTATATAAAAACTCAAAAAAAATACGATAATAAACCTATTATGTAATAATGCATCATATATAAATACAAAAATCAAACAGGTTAAAAATTAAAATGCATTACACAATTAAAACCTTCAATAACTTTATCAAATCATAACGGATTTTTGCAAAACTTGGTACAGAAAGTATTTTGGAGTGATTGAATGTAAATACAAAAATAAAAGTCAAATTTTTTAAATTCAAAATGGCGTACTTTCCTAAAACTTATTTTTAAAAATGATCAAATTTGCTAACCCTGAAACCCCCCGAGTAACAATTTTCGAGCGAATCCAATGAATTTTTTAATTCTCGTCCGCCATTTTGAATTTTGAAAAACTGACTTCAAATTGGTAATTAGCGACCCCAAAAACCGTAGAATACCAAATTTTATTAAGATCCTGAAAAACTTTTTTCAACAAACCATTTGGCAAAAAAATTGAAACACTCCTTCGAGAGAACAGAGATTAAGTTTCTGCTTATTAATTACTAACGAGGATACGTATAGAAAGAAAAACTTTTTTCTATGTACTTTTACAATGTTAAAATAATAGTGTAATGAAATAAAAACAATTTTGTGTGGCTTTGAAGTAAAAAAAAATTATTAAAAATACCGTTCGGATTTACCCCAGTTTTCCAATTTTTTTGGGTAAATACGAACGGTCTGATATTATTAATAAAATTTTACAGAAGGCAAAAATCAAATATAGTTTCTGTTCTAGTATTCATAACAAACAATTATAAATAATAAAATGAATTTTTAGCTTCTTTTTCTTCAAATACGAGACAAAATACTGAAAGAGTGTCATCTTTGATTTTCAATCTTTTTTGCAATACTCGTTATCTTTGTTTATGCTGTTGCTAATTAACAAACAAAAAATGGGATAATACTTAAAATCTCTTCAAGAGGATCTGAGGTAAAAATTCTCATATCGAACTTATTTTTAAAAATTTTAATTAAGCTGAAATAATTAGCGTTCGGATTTACCCCCCGTTCGGATTTACCCCGACTGACCCTAATTGATTTTTTTTCTTTATAAAGTAATTTTGCATTGTAATTTTAATAGATAAACATTTATTATTATTTTTTTTTCTGTTTATTTTTCTAAATTCAAATTTTAGATTGAAGTTGACATTCCAAGATGTCATCAATACAGTGAATTACTTTCATCCGGCACTGGACACGAAAAATTACAAAGATTATTAAAAGCCTGGGTTCGTGATAATTCACACTATGTTTATTGGCAAGGACTCGATTCATTAACGGCGCCTTTTCTCTATTTAAATTTTAATAACGAAGGTAAAAAAAATGGAAATTTTTTTAAATATTAATATTTCTTTTCACTATTTTTATTATTATTAATATAATAATAATAATTATTATTATTATTATTATTATTATTATTATTAAGAATAATATTAAAAAATTGAAAATTTTCAAAAATATTTAGAATATAATAAATTAGTTAATTATATTTATGTAATTAATTTTCTTTTTAGCTCGAGCCTTCGCATGTCTCTCGGCATTCATTCCAAAATATCTTCATAAATTTTTTTTAAAAGACAATTCATTTGTGATACAGGAATATCTTGGGAAATTTTCACAAATTATTGCATTTCACGATCCACAATTAGCAAATCATTTGAAATCAATTAATTTTGTACCGGAATTATTTGCTATTCCATGGTTCTTAACAATGTTTTCACGTAAGTGAGAAAAACCATTTTTTTATACAATTTACAGATTTTTTTTTCTCTATATAGAAATAATATGAAAATTATTTCATTTCAATTTTATTTCAAATACAAAAAATAAAAAAAAATCGCAGGAATTAGATAAATATTAAATAATTTAATAATTTAATAATAAATAATTATTATAATTAATTTAATAATTTATTATTTATTTAATAATAAATTTTAAATCTTTTTTTTAGATGTATTTCCACTACATAAAATTCTACATCTTTGGGATAAACTTTTATTGGGCGATTCATCATTTCCCCTTTTAGTTGGACTTGCAATATTAAAACAATTACGTGATTCTTTACTTAATTCAGGCTTTAATGAATGTATTTTATTATTCTCTGATTTACCGGAAATTGATATTGAATTGTGTGTTAAAGATTCAATGACAATGTATCAAAAAACACCGACCAGCATCACTTACAGAAAACATCAATTCGATCAATCTAAGGTATTTATTATTATTTTATTATTAACTAGCAATATTAAATGCGCGCAAGCGCAGCCAAATTGACTGTTTCATTATTTGTTATAGAGAAATTAAAAATTAATATTATCAATAATTATTTAAATTTATTAGAATATTATTCCATATTAAATAATAAAAATAAAAATTATATGTTTATAGGCCTCAGATTATTAATTATTAAATTATTAAATTTTAAATTCAATGTCTTTTAAAATTCAATTATTTTCTAAATTTCAATTTAAAATCAAATGAAATTCAATTATTACCCAAAATTTTCCATTAAAAAACCAACTAAAATTCACTTATTTTCCAAATTTTCAATTTAAATTTAAATAAAATAAAATTATTTTCTAAAATTTCATTTCAAAATTAATTATCAAAAATCAACTAAAATTGAATTATTATTTAAAATTGTAATTGAAATTTAATTATTTTCCCAAAATTTCAATTCAAAATCCAAGACAATTCAATTATTTTCCAAATTTTTAATTCAAAATCTTTTAAAATTCAATTATTTTCCAAATTTTCAATTTAAAATCACATAAAATTCAATTATTATCCGAAATCTTAATTTAAAATCAACTAAAATTCAAATATTTTCCAAATTTTTCTATTGAAAATTAACAAAAATTCAATTATTTAATTATTTTCCAAAATTTCAATTCCAAAATTAACTAAAATTCAATTATTTTCCAAAATTTTAATTCAAAATCAAAGAAAATTCAATTACTTTCCAAATTTTTAATTCAAAATCTTTTAAAATTCAATTATTTTCCTAGTTTTCAATTTAAAATAAAATAAAATTCTTCAATTATTTTCTAAAATTTCTATTCAAAATTAATTATCCAAATTTTCAATAAAAAATGAACTTAAATTAAATTATTATTCAAAATTTTAATTAAAATTCAATTATTTCCCAAAATTTCAATTCAAAATCAAAGAAAATTCAATTATTTTCAAAATTTTCAATTCAAAATCAACTAAAATTCAATTATTTTCTAAATTTAAAATCAAATAAAATTTAATTATTTTCTAAAATTTCAATTCAAAATTAATTATCAAAATTTTCAATAAAAAATCAACTAAAAATGAATTATTATCCAAAATTTTAATTGAAATTTAATTATTTTACGAAATTTCAAATCAAAATTAAAGAAAATTTAATTATTCTAAAAAATTTGAATTCAAAATTAATTGAATTTTCAATAATTTGAATTTAAAAGCATTTAAAATTTAATTATTTCTAAAATTTTCCATCGAAAATTTGTTGAAATTTAATAATTTCAATTATAACTCTAAGGGAATTCAATTAAATTTTAATTAAAATTTTATATGATTTCACTAAAAAATTTATTAGAAATTACAGACAAAATACAATAATTTGATAATCATTTTTTAATTGAAAAATGGTTTCAGATAGTTGAATTTTCAAAGAATATTATAAAAATATTTAAAAATAATTATTTTTAAATATTTTTATAAAATAATTATAAAATTAAAATTAAATTAAATTATAATTAAATTATAAATTAATTAATAAAAATAATTATTTTTAAATATTTTTATAATATTCTTTGAAAAATCAACTATCTGAAACCATTTTTCAATTAAAAAATGATTATCAAATTATTGTATTTTGTCTGTAATTTCTAATAAATTTTTTTAGTGAAATCATATAAAATTTTAATTAAAATCACTTGAAGTTCAATTAATTTCTAAAATCTCAATTTTAAATCTTTTGAAAATTCAATTAAATTTAAAAAATGTTTTCCAACAAATTTTTTTGATAAATTATTTTTAGTTCTGTAAAATTTTATTATTGTTTGAAAATTAACAATATCTTTTGAAACTTAATTATTTCTAAAATTTTCAAGTTTAATTTGACACAAATTTGACACGTTATAAGATTACTATTCAAGAAACACGTGAAATCATAAAAGATCAACTTCAAGTTAGGACAGAAGGACAGACCAAGCATTTTATTATTATATAATTACAAGAAGAAATTTTTGAATTTTTATTTATTATAAACATGACTTTGGCAAAAAATAATCTAATTAATCTTTCTTTTTTTTCCGCAAAAGTCAGCGAATTGGATTGAACCAGAAATGGGAACAGAAAAAATGCCACGAATAAGTGTTGAGGATTTTTTGAAATTATTAGATGAGAATCCGGAAAAATTAATTGTCGTCGATATTCGCAGTAAAACTCAGTAAGATTTTTCTCTTTTTATTTTGGAAAAATTAAATAAAAAATTTTTAAAAATCGTTTCAAAATTTGTAAAGAAATTTTTTTTTGCTATTAGATTTGAACGATCGTCAGTGAAGGGAAGTATTAATATTCCATTTACAAGTGTTCAATTATCGCAAACAAATCTCGAAACACTTGGACCACAAACAAGACCATTGGCGGAAAATAAAGAACGTATTGTCGTTATAGTTAGTCCAAATGATCAAAATAACGCTCTCGTAAGTTGAATCTTTTTTTAATTTTCTTATTATTAATTATTTTAAATGATAATTATTTTTTTTTGTTTCACATAAAATTACCTTTTTTGAGTTTTTTCTTTTCTTTTAATTGTTTATTTCTTCTAGTGCAAAAATTATTATAATTTAATTAAAAAATTTAATTTTAATTTAAAAAATTAATGTTTTTACCTTCGTTATTATAATTTAATTTAATTTTCAAAATTTCAATTAAAAATTAAATTAATTTGGTTTATTGAAAAAATTACAATTCCCTTTTTTTAATAGAAAAAAAAAAATAAAAATTAATTTTCAATTTACAGTTTGCGGAATTTTTAATGAGTTGTCAAGTTCCTGGAATTTGTTCTCTTCAGGGGGGAATTTACGCTCTTCGATCAAAATCGCCAAATATTTTAATTTCCTCTCGTGGAAATTAGATTTTTTTTTTACAATAATTTCATTGAATTGTATATAAAAATTTCTATTTTTTATTACAAATATATTTATATGAAAATTAATTATAATTATAAATTATTACTAATATTAATAAATTAATATTAAAAATATTAATATTAAACTAATATTTAATAATAAATTAATATATTAATAATTTTAATATTAAATTAATATTATTATTACAAAATGTTAATTATAAAAACCGAATTATAAAAAAACAATTTGTAAATAAATCTTGAAAGTTTATGTAAAAAAAATTATAATTAATTAATTATTAATAATTGCTTGAAAAAAAAAAAAAAAACTTTTTTCCCTGCTCGACTTTGAAAAGTTTCAAGTTCTCCGCGCGCGCAACAAAATTTCGTAACCATGACAACAAAAGGAAAAAACAATGACCACACAATTGAAACGTGCTTTGTGTTCAGAACTCTAATTTCTATTTTTTTAAATGATAATAAACAAACTTGATGAAAAATGGAAACAAATATCACCGCCGATTTTCGAAAATGGATAAGAAATTGTCTCGTTGAACAATTTAAAGAAACAATTGATAAAAATTTGAATAATGAAAATTACGATGATAATGATGATAATAATTCAAAGGAAGTGGCAAAAAAAATTATTGATTCCAAAGAGATGAAAGATTTAATTCATGTAATAAAAACTTCAATAAATAATGACGAGGATGAGGACGACGACGATGATGATGATGATGATGAAGAAAAATTAGAATTTCCCGATGGAACACGTTCATTGACATCAATTTCATATATTAGTGATTTTTCCAATGATGAATGGCTTTCATTTAAAGGTAGTTCAAATCGTTATGAACAATTAATGGAAAAAATTGATACAAAACAACCGGTACATGTGCGATTAGCTGGCTATGAAGCATTATTAAAACGTGAATTATCAGGTATTTTTTCCATTCAAAATTGGGATTATTTTTTAAAAATATTACGCGATGGTATTGCCGATGATAGTCGACCTGTTTTTGAGGCAAGTTTACAGATGCATGCAAAATTATTAAATTCACCGCAATCAAATGAAATTTATGGTAATTTAATGTTGGCATTTAATGAACAATATCAATCGAAAAAAATTCAAGATATTTTACCAACATTAATATCGGGTGTGAATTTTAAAATTTTACTACATGAAAAATTAGTGAGAATTATGTTTTTAATTGTACGACATCAGGAGGAAATTTTGAAAGGTGTGAGAACTATTGACAAGAATTTGGAGGAATTAATTGAACAATTTGTCGTTTTTGTCAGTACTTATAATTGTGCAAGTCCAATTCAGGTAAATAATTTTTTTAATTGAAAAAAAAAATTTATTTAATTTCATTAAATAAAAATTTATATTATTTCTAAATTTAATTTATAATTTATTTTTTATATCTTTTAATTTATAATTTATTATTTATTTCTAAATTTAATTTATAATTTATTATTTATTTCTAAATTTAATTTATTCCAATAAAAATTGTGTATGAAAAAAAGAAACGAAAATAGTTTTCCTAAACAAAAGTTTAAAATTGTCCCCGAGAAACTTTGTCCTTGATTTTTAAAACGATAAGTCGACCTCGTTATAACCCATCAAGATCTTGACCGTTCATAATGTTTATAATTAACTTTATAACTATATATAATTAACACGAAAAGTGTTTAAAACTTATTTACAAGATAAATATATATATAATTTCAATACAAAAAAAATACAAACAGTTTAAAAAAAAAAAAAATCAAATATTGTTTTATCAAAAAATTCAATTTTTATAAAAATTTCAATTAATAAAATTAATTTACTTTAAAAAATTTAATTATTAATAAATTCCCTTTTTTAAAAAAAATTTAATTATATTACAAATTATTTATAATAATTAAAATAAGTACTAAACAGAATTTATTCGTAATTAAAATAAAATTTTTCATAATTTTGAAAGAAAATTTTAAAAAAATATAAATAAATTAAATTGCAGGCCTCGGATTATACGACTTTTTCGACTATTTCCGCCATTTTTCGATTTATTTTAATAAAATGCGACTTTTTCGACATTTTTTTTTTTAACAAAATTTTTAAACAAAATACGTTTTTCTTAGTATAAAATGCAAATCATCTTCAGATCTTCTTTATTTCAATTATTTAACAAATTTTGAATTAAAATTATTCACTAAATTAATTATTTTTAATAATTTTAATACAATTCATTGGAAATACAATTATTTTAAACTATTTTTCAATTAAAATTTTTATGAAATTTTTATAATTGTTTGTAATTTAAAAAAAAAATTAGCAAATAAAATTACTAAAAAATTTTAATTTAAAATCACTTGAAATTTAAATATTTGAAAAAATTTCAATTATTTTTAATGATTTTTATAATATTCTTTGAAAATTCAATTATCTGAAAGAATTTTGCAATTAAAACGATTTTTAAGTTCAATTTTTGTATTTAATTTCTAATAAATTCTTTAATTATATGAAATTCAATTATTTTTAAAAATTTCAATTGCTATTCAATTATTTTCAAAATTTTCAATTCAAAATCAACTAAAATTTAATTATTTTTAAAACTTTCCATTGCAATTCAATTATTTTCAAAATTTTCAATTAAAAATCATTTAAAATTTTCAATTCAAAATCAACTAAAATTTAATTATTCTCAAAAATTTCAATTCAAAATTAATTATCAAAATTTTCAATCAAAAATCAACTAAAATTAAATTATTATTGAAAATTTCAATTGAAATTCAATTATTTTAAAAAATTTTAATTTCAAAATCTTTTAAAATTCAATTATTTTCCAAATTTTCAATTCAAAATCATTTAAAATTCCATTATTTTCAAAAATTTCAATTGCAATTGAATTATTTTCAAAATTTTCAATTCAAAATCAACTAAAATTTAATTATTTTCAAAACTTTCAATTGCAATTCAATTATTTTCCAAATTTTCAATTAAAAACCTTTTAAAATTTTTAATTCAAAATCAACTAAAATTTAATTATTCTCAAAAATTTCAATTCAAAATTAATTATCAAAATTTTCAATCAAAAATCAACTAAAATTAAATTATTATTGAAAATTTCAATTGAAATTCAATTATTTTAAAAAATTTTAATTTCAAAATCTTTTAAAATTCAATTATTTTCCAAATTTTCAATTCAAAATCATTTAAAATTCCATTATTTTCAAAAATTTCAATTGCAATTGAATTATTTTCAAAATTTTCAATTCAAAATCAACTAAAATTTAATTATTTTTAAAACTTTCAATTGCAATTCAATTATTTTCCAAATTTTCAATTAAAAACCTTTTAAAATTTTTAATTCAAAATCAACTAAAATTTAATTATTCTCAAAAATTTCAATTCAAAATTAATTATCAAAATTTTCAATCAAAAATCAACTAAAATTAAATTATTATTGAAAATTTCAATTGAAATTCAATTATTTTAAAAAATTTTAATTTCAAAATCTTTTAAAATTCAATTATTTTCCAAATTTTCAATTCAAAATCATTTAAAATTCCATTATTTTCAAAAATTTCAATTGCAATTGAATTATTTTCAAAATTTTCAATTCAAAATCAACTAAAATTTAATTATTTTCAAAACTTTCAATTGCAATTCAATTATTTTCCAAATTTTCAATTAAAAACCTTTTAAAATTTTTAATTCAAAATCAACTAAAATTTAATTATTCTCAAAAATTTCAATTCAAAATTAATTATCAAAATTTTCAATCAAAAATCAACTAAAATTAAATTATTATTGAAAATTTCAATTGAAATTCAATTATTTTAAAAAATTTTAATTTCAAAATCTTTTAAAATTCAATTATTTTCCAAATTTTCAATTCAAAATCATTTAAAATTCCATTATTTTCAAAAATTTCAATTGCAATTGAATTATTTTCAAAATTTTCAATTCAAAATCAACTAAAATTTAATTATTTTTAAAACTTTCAATTGCAATTCAATTATTTTCCAAATTTTCAATTAAAAACCTTTTAAAATTTTTAATTCAAAATCAACTAAAATTTAATTATTCTCAAAAATTTCAATTCAAAATTAATTATCAAAATTTTCAATCAAAAATCAACTAAAATTAAATTATTATTGAAAATTTCAATTGAAATTCAATTATTTTAAAAAATTTTAATTTCAAAATCTTTTAAAATTCAATTATTTTCCAAATTTTCAATTGAAGTTCAATTGTTTTCCAAATTTTCAATTTAAAATCAACTAAAATTCAATTATTTTCCAAAATTTCAATGGGAAGTAATTATCAAAATTCACAATTCAAAATCAACTAAAATTAAATTATTATCCAAAATTTCAATTGAAATTCAATTTTTTTAAAAATCAAAATTCTCAATCCAAAATCAACTAAAATTAAATTATTTTCAAAAATTTCAAATTTAATAATTTAATAATTTCAATTTATAACTCTCCTGAAATACAATTATTTTTAACTATTTTTATAATATTCTTCGAATATTCAACTATTTGAGATCATTTTTCAATTAAAAATGGTTTTCAAATTATTTTTTTTTTTGTTCGCAATTTCTAATAAAATTTTTTAGTGAAATCATCAAAAAAATTTTAATTAAAAATTACTTGAAATTCAATTAATTTCAAAAAAAAAAATTCAATTGTAAATCTTTTGAAAATTCAATTATTTTTAAAAAATGTTATCTAAAATTAATTGATAAATTATTTTTAGTTCTGTAAAATTTAATTTTTATCTGAAAATTAACAAAATCTTTGTAAATTCAATTATTACTAAAAATTTCAATTTTAACTCTTTCAAAAATTATTATTATTTGAAGAAAAAATTTTTATTTTAAACATCTGTAAAACTTTTTTATTAAAATAAAAAAAATCGACTTTTTTTTTAATATAAATCAACTAAAACGACTTTTTGTTGGTGCTTTTAAGTCAATCCGAGGCCTGAAATTGATATAAAACAGTTTTCCGAGAAAATTAAAAAAAAATAAATATAAATAATTAAAAAATAAAAGAAAATAAATAATAAAAAATAAATATAATATAATATAATTGTTATAATTAATTACTATTAATATTAATATTAATAGTAATCAATTAACAATTAACAATTATTAAAATAATATAATAAATATAATAAATAAAAAAAAATAATAATGAAATAAATAAATATATAAATACGAAACGAATTTTTTTAATCAAAATAAAAAAAAAAACATTTTTCAGGTGAAGACACTGAGTCCATTGAATATACTCTCAATTCTCGAGCCAGAAGCATCGTGGAGTGAAAAATGGATACACAGTTTAACAACGAGAAAATCATTTTGCAATACTCTGGCAAAATCACCATCGTTACTTAATACAATTATACAAATAACAATGAAAGGTCTCACCGATGCTCCATACACAGTTTCCTTGTCAATAGTCGACGATCCCGGTGAAGTATTCATAACAGGCGAAACAATTGAAACAATGACATATCTTCATTCACTCACACTAATCACACAATTGACAAGCTATACAACTGGTCGTAATTTATTATCCGAGACACAAATTGAAAATCCCTTTTCAATAACGGATTTTATTACCGCTCTATTAACACAACTCAATATTCTTGCATCATCAGAAATACCAAGTGTTATCTATGAAATTTCACGTAAAGCATTACGTTATATTCTCCTGAAGCCAACAATTCTTTACGATGCAAGATTCTATCATATTGCATTTAATCCACTAATGACAAATTCAAATGAGAGAAAAATTTTTCCCCACACATTGGATGTTACAATGCATATGTTGGATACGGCCGATGGTGTTTCATTTATGAGTACAGAGGCGCGTTTAAGTTCGGCAAAATCTGAGGAATTAAATTCATCATCATCATATCCGGCTGTTGCAATTTTGGAATATATTTCGGATTTATTACGACAACCATTGTCGGTGATGAATATTGAACTTGTTGTTGATCTTTTTACATATATTGGAAGATTGGTGACAATTTATGATGTCTATGAAATAATACAGGAGACAATTGAGGGGAAATTTTATCCGGCTTTGGCGTATTTTTATGGAAAATTAGATAAATACGCGGTGGAAAATGAAATTAAGACACAATTTCTCAATAGGTGAATTCATTTTTTTTTTTTTGGTATTAATAGAATAATCCTTTTAGTCTTTTTCTTTCTTTTTTTCTTCTTTCATTTTTCTCTTTGTTTCTTTTTTTCTTTTTCATTCTCTTATTTGTTTTTCATTTTCTTTGGAAATTTTTGTTTTTGATTCTTTTTCTAAAAACAAAACTTTCTTTACAATTTTTCACAAATTTTCTAGTTTCAAAATATGTTTCTCATTTTCTTTAGAATTAATTAACAATTCATTAATTAATCCTTCTATCTAATTATTTATACAAAATTTCTTTAAATATTATCCTCTTCTTAATTATTATTATTATTATTCAATTAATTTTATAAATTATTTCCGTTTGATAAAAATATACAGGGGTTTCTACAAATTTGTTTCAATTTTTCAAAATTCCATGATTGGAAATAACAAAAATTTTTACTACCAAAAAAAAGGATATTTTGGTTAAATGAAATTTGATTTTTAATTTTTTTTATTTTCCAAATAAAATTCAGTTTCAATAGAAAATTCCCCGAAAAAAGTAAAATTTAGCAAAATTTTCAAAATAAAAAATCAATTTTAAAAGAAAATTCCTTAAATAACAATTTGGCAAAATGAAAAAAATTCTATTGAATCAAAATTTGGTTCAAAAAAAAAAATTCCCCCTCAAATAAATGAAAATTAGTTAAATAAAAATTAATTTCAAAAGAAAATTCCCCAAATAACAATTTGGCAAAATGAAAAAAATTTTATTGAATCAAAATTTGGTTCAAAAAAAAAATTCCCCCTCAAATAAATGAAAATTAGTTAAATAAAAATTAATTTCAATAGAAAATTCCCCGAAAAAAATCAAATTTAGCAAAATTTTCAAAATAAAAAATTAATTTCAAAAGAAAATTTTCCAAATTTGGGGTGGAAAAAAAAGCTTTGGCAAAATGAAAAAAATTCTATTGAATCAATATTTGGTTCAAAAAAAAAAAAAATCCCACTCAAATAAATGAAAATTAGTTAAATAAAAATTAATTTCAAAAGAAAATTCCCCAAATAACAATTTGGCAAAATGAAAAAAATTTTATTGAATCAAAATTTGGTTCAAAAAAAAAAATTCCCCCTCAAATAAATGAAAATTAGTTAAATAAAAACTAATTTTAATAGAAAATTCCCTAAAATATCAATTTGGCAAATTTTTCCAAATAAAAAGTAGTTTCAACAAAAATTTCCCCAAATAACAATTTGGCAAAATGAAAAAAATTCTATTGAATCAAAATTTGGTTAAAAAAAAATCCCCCCTCAAATAAATGAAAATTAGTTAAATAAAAATTAATTTCAAAAGAAAATTCCCCAAATAACAATTTGGCAAAATGAAAAAAATTTTATTGAATCAAAATTTGGTTCAAAAAAAAAATTCCCCCTCAAATAAATGAAAATTAGTTAAATAAAAATTAATTTCAATAGAAAATTCCCCGAAAAAAATCAAATTTAGCAAAATTTTCAAAATAAAAAATTAATTTCAAAAGAAAATTTTCCAAATTTGGGGTGGAAAAAAAAGCTTTGGCAAAATGAAAAAAATTCTATTGAATCAATATTTGGTTCAAAAAAAAAAAAAAATCCCCTTCAAATAAATGAAAATTAGTTAAATAAAAATTAATTTCAATAGAAAATTCCCCGAAAAAAGTAAAATTTAGCAAAATTTTCAAAATAAAAAATCAATTTTAAAAGAAAATTCCTTAAATAACAATTTGGCAAAATGAAAAAAATTCTATTGAATCAAAATTTGGTTCAAAAAAAAAATTCCCCCTCAAATAAATGAAAATTAGTTAAATAAAAATTAATTTCAATAGAAAATTCCCTAAAATATCAATTTGGCAAATTTTTCCAAATAAAAAGTAGTTTCAACAAAAATTTCCCAAAATAACAATTTGGCAAAATGAAAAAAATTCTATTGAATCAAAATTTGGTTTAAAAAAATCCCCCCTCAAATAAATGAAAATTAGTTAAATAAAAATTAATTTCAAAAGAAAATTCCCCAAATAACAATTTGGCAAAATGAAAAAAATTTTATTAAATCAAAATTTGGTTAAAAAAAAATTCCCCCTCAAATAAATGAAAATTAGTTAAATAAAAATTAATTTCAATAGAAAATTCCCCGAAAAAAGTAAAATTTAGCAAAATTTTCAAAATAAAAAATTAATTTCAAAAGAAAATTTTCCAAATTTGGGGGGAAAAAAAAGCTTTGGCAAAATGAAAAAAATTCTATTGAATCACAATTTGGTTAAAAAAAAAAAAAAAAATTCCTCCTCAAATAAATAAAAATTAGTTAAATAAAAATTAATTTCAATAGAAAATTCCCTAAAATATCAATTTGTCAAATTTTGCCAAATAAAAAGTAATTTTAACAAAAATTTCCCTAAATAACAATTTAGCAAAATTAAAAAATTTTTCCTTAAATTAAAATTTGTGGTTCAAAAAGAAATTTCTCTCAAATTTCAATTTAATTCAATAAAAATAATTTCTTCATTAATAATAATAAAAATTAATAAAATATTAATTGTTATTAATTAATAAATATTAATAATTGTTGTAATTTTAAATAAATAAAATAAAAATTTGTTCATAAAAAAAAATATTTCAAATTTTTCCCACATCATATTTGTAGAAACCCTGAATAATTAAAAAATATTTTTTTTTGTATAATTAATATTTCAGCGCGGCAAAAAATATGTTATTAAAAATTGTCTCAATGCCATTGGGCCTTCAATTACTATCGGGCGAGACAATAATATTTGAGGAATTAATAAGAGGCTCAATTGGACCACTTCGCGCCTCATGGAATTCAAGTGATGTTGTTTCATTTATTTCAAATAGTTCATGTTTCACATTTGGTGAAAAAATTCTCTCTGAATTGGCACCACATGTTCTTTCAACACTTTTAAATGAACTCTGTAAACTTCTTGAAAATTTACATTGTTTTCACGATCCATGGAGCGAGAGAGATGTAGAAACATTTCTTCATTTACTGACAATATTTTCATTGAACACAAAATGTAAGAAAGTCCTCGGAATTTTTCTCTTTCTTTTCTTTTTTAAAAGCTGTTGCTTCAGAATTTTAAATTAATTGTTTAATTGTAATTAATTCACTGTTTTAAATTTAACAAAAAAAATTCGAAATAACTATTTTTCAGGTTTCATAGCATTTATGTCGACGGACGAAACAAGTTCTGATGATGATAATATTTATCCATTGAATTTAAATGAACTTTTTCAACATTCCGTCAATTCCGATTCGGAGTATCATTATCTTAGTCTATTGTCAACTAGAGCTGTTATTTGGAATTTGGATATTTATCTCTTTTTAGAAAAATCTCTAAATTTGGAGGTATTGAATCTTTTTTCGATTCTTTTACGTTTAACAAAATTTTCTTTACAATTTTCTAAATTTCAATTTCTACAATTTCAATTTCATTAATTTTAATTTCAAATTTTCTATTTTCAAAATTTATTTCTCATTTTCTTTGGAATTTTTTTTTTCGATTCTTTTTTTTTTTTTTTTTTCTAATTGAACTTTTGTTCCATTTTTGTTGTTTTTTTTCGATTTTTAGAAAAGTCAAAACTGAAATTCGTTTTAAATTAATAGATGAACGGATGGAAAAAAATTATTTCTATACCATTTTTCGATTTAAAATTTTACAGAATGAACTTCTAAATCTCCAAAGATTTTGCACCATTGACAATAGTGATGAAAATTATGTGACGACGACAACAATGGAAAATCATGACACTTACATTATCGACGAGTGTAGTATAATGCGTCATCAAATTTTATCCGATTCCTATTTTATGCGACAAAAACGACAGGAATACATTAAACAACCAGAGGATTGTCTTCTTTTTTCAAAATTTCCACCTCCACAAGGACCAGAGGAGGGTTTTGTTAGAAATTCATCTGACGACACGGAAATGGAAAATTTTCTCCAAGACGATGTTCCTGGTTTACGTGACAGTGGTTGGGTTTCACAGGCACGAAAATCATTTCGTTCTTCAGCTGGTTCAATGAAGGTATTTTCTCGAAAATTGGTATTTTTCTTGTAAAAATTTACATTAATAACTGTAAAAAAACAAAAAAAAATTATTGGAATTTGTAATTAAACTAAAAATTTAATCTGATTGACAAAAAAAAAATAATTTTTTTCAAAGCGGTTTATTTAAAACAAGTATAAAAATACTAGCAAAGTAATTATTACCATACTAGTAAAGTAATTCATTAAAAAAAAATACAATAAGGTAAATATTAAAATACTAGTTAAGTAATATTATTACAAGACTAACATTAAAATCTACCTTACCGACTGATAGTAAAACAATTTTTCGAAAAATGTCAATATAAAAATTACCGACATAGAAATTTACTTTACCTACTGATGGTAATTTTTATATTTTCATTTTCCAAAAAACTGTTTACCATCAGTCGGTAAGGTGGATTTCTATGTCGGTAATTTTTTATATTTACAAAATCGGTTTGAAAAATAAAAATATAAAAATTACCGCCATAGCAATCTACCTTACCGACTGTTGGTAAAACTGTTTTTAAAAAAAATGAAAATATAAAAAATTACCGACGTAGAAATCTACCTTACCGACTGATGTTAAAACAGTTTTTATAAAAATGTCAATATGAAAATTACCGACATAGAAATTTACCATACCCACTGATGGTAATTTTTATATTTTCATTTTCCAAACAACTGTTTACCATCAGTCGGCAAGGTAGATTTCTATGTCGGTAATTTTTATATTGACATTTTTCGAAAAACTTTTAATATCAATCGGTAAGGTAGATTTCTACGTCGGCGATTTTTTATATTTTCATTTTTCAAAAACTGTTTTACCAACAGTCGGTAAGGTAGATTTCTGTGGCGGTAATTTTTATATTTTCATTTATCAAACCGATTTTTTAAATATAAAAAATACCGATATAGACATCTACCTTACCTACTGATGGTAATTTTTATATTGACATTTTTCGAAAAACTGTTTTAACATCAGTCGGTAAGGTGGATTTCTATGTCTGTAATTTTTTATATTTAAAAAATCAGGTTGAAAAATGAAAATATAAAAATTACGGCCATAGCAATCTACCTTACCGACTGTTGGTAAAACTGTTTTTGAAAAAATGAAAATATAAAAAATTACCGACGTAGAAATCTACCTTACCGACTGATATTAAAAGTTTTTCGAAAAATGTCAATTTAAAAATTACCGACATAGAATAACCGACTAATAATAAAGTTTTTTAGAAAATAAAAATATAAAAATTACCATCAGTAGGTAAGGTAGATTTCTATATCGGTAATTTTTATATCGAGATTTTCAAAAACCTGCTTTACCAACAGTCGGTTAGGTAGATCTCTATGGTGGTAGTTTTTATATTTTCATTTTTCAAACCAATTTTTTAAACATAAAAATATAAAAAATTACCGACATAGAAATCCACCTTGCCGAGTGATGGTAATTTTTATATTGACATTTTTTGAAAAACTGTTTTAACATCATTCAGTAAGGTGGATTTCTATGTTGGTAATTTTTATATAGACATTTTTCGAAAAACTGTTTTATCATCAGTCGATATGGTAGATTTCTATTACGGTAATTTTTATATTATCATTTTTCGAAAAACTGTTTTATCATCAGTCGTTAAGGTAGATTTCTATGTCGGTAATTCCTATTTCGAGATTTAAAAAAAAATTCTTTACCATCAATCGGTAATGTAAATTTCTATATCGGTAATTTTTTTATATTTTTATTTTCTAAAAACTATTTTACCATCAGCCAATAAGGTAGGTTTTTATGTCGGTATTTTTTCATTTTTCAAAAAATCTCTTTACCATAAAGTCGGTAAGGTAGATTTCTATGTCGGTAATTATTACAATGCCAGTAAAAATTGAATTTTTTTTTAATTTTGAAAAAAATATTTCTTATAAACAAACTATTTTTTTTTTCATAAAACAATTATTATTTTTTTTATAAATACAAAAATTTGGTTAATAGAATAAAAAACTCCTCTTTTTTTTTAGACCGATGTTATGTTAAATTTATTGGATCAAATGCAAAAAGCAATTCCAACTGTTGAATGGGTGGATCATTTTACATGGGAGACAATTGATTACAATGAAGATTATTGGCTACCAGAAGATCTTCGTGGAATTGAATTAGTTTTGCGTTACTTCGATTTAAATGGAACATTGGAATGTAAAGATATTGGAAGGGAAAATTTGAAAATTTTCATTCAATCGTCTCATGCATTTATAAAATACAAAAAACCACATCAATACGATGGATTCGATTGGTTTTTATCGACTGTCTTCATTGCATGTAACGGCGATTTGGAAAAGTATTTTTGAATTTATTTCCTTTATTGAAATCATTTTTTCTATTTAATTTGCCAGTATTGTAATAATAATAATAATAATAATAATAATTTTTTATAATTTTTCAATATTTAATTTATCAATATTGTGATAATTATTTTAGCAGTATTTTAATATTTACCATACTAGTATTGTAATATTTACTTTACTGGCATTTTAATATTTACCATACCAATATTGTAATATTTTATATATAATTTTTTTTTACTAATATTTTTATATTTTTTTTTAATATTAATATAAAATCAATTTTTACTATTATGACTGCATGAAAAATATTTAATAAATTTATTATAATAATTAAATTAATAAATTTTTGCCTCAGATGGCCGCGAATCTTTCCCGGAGTAATGAACTTACTTTTTTCAAGCAATTTTCGTTTTTTTTTATCTTTTTTTTTTTTGCTGAAAAAAATAAGAAAATTATTCTATTTAAAAAAAATAAAAACGGGAAACAACTCGAGCTGACCAATTGTCATCATTGGCGGGTCTCAGGTTGAAAACTTCGTCCACATAACGACAACTTTTTCGTTATTATTCGGAGTTTTACATTTTCATCATTGACCAAAGAGAAAAAAATTTTAAAAAAAACATAAATTAATATAAATTTTTATTTTTCGTTGATATTTGTAAATTATTTTAAAATACTAATGTTGAAAAAAAAAATTCAAAATTACTTACACTCTTCTTTCTAATTTTTTTTATTTTTAATTCCTTCCTAAATTTCGATATTTTCACATTTATTCCTTTTTTAATTTTTCTTCTTTTTCCATTATTTAATTTTTTTTGTTTTCAATTTTTCGAATTTTTTCCATTTATTAATTTCTTTTTGTCCCTTAATATTTTCAAATTTATTTTCTTTCTTCTTTTTCTTCTATTCCATTTTGTATTTCGTCTCCTTTTTTCATTGTTTTCCATTTATTTTCCTTTTTTTCCATGGTTTATTAACATTTGAAATGTTTCTTTCATTTTCAGATCAAAAACATTTGTGACGCAAATTGTTCGTTTTCCATCGACAATTTTCATGTGGCCAGCACTCGCCAATGTTGTTGACAAAAGCAATGAAGAAGAATCAACAACACAACTTTTACTTGCTCATCTTTTGGAATTTTTAATCAGCAAAGAATTTCCTACAATTAAATATGCAATGAAAGTAAGAAAAGAAAATTTTTGTTATTTTCACAAAAAAAAGAAAAAAAATGGTAATAATTACATTACTAGTATTATAATATTTCCTTTTATTAGTATTGTAATAACTAATAGTATTGTATAAATTACTCTTACTAGTATTGTAATAATTACTTTTTTATTAGTATTGTAATAATTACTCTTACCCATAGTATTATATTTCCCATAACAAAAATTTTATTATTTACGTAAAAAAAAATAATAATGAATTTTTGCCCCAAATTCCATAGAATAAATGCGGCGTCGATTGGTGGACAATTTCATTACGACTTTGTCATCAATCATTTTGGGGAATTCTCCCTTGGGACGAGATAATTCATTTTTACGCAATTTGCATTCTCTATCCACCCGATTATATTATTTACTATTGTGTCTCGCTATTAAATCATTGTCAAAATGATTTCATGGAAAATGTAATGAACGGAAAATTGTGGCCCGAATATCTGGTGAGTCATTAAAAAAAAATTAATCTAGAAATTTAACATTTAATATTTAAAAAAAAAAAAAATTGAACGTATGTACAAAAACACATTCGCTTAGATTCTAGAAGACTACCGATGTCACAGTCAAATTGGATACATGGACAGATTGGGTAAACGCTATAGTGGTAAACTTTTACCAATACTTTCACAAAGGAAATTCAATTTTCCCGAGACGAATTAAAAAAAACATTAATAAATTGTTATTTTGTAATTATTTGGTGTCGAATTCCATTTGTTCAATTGTACAGTGTAGATCAATAATTAAAAAATATTTCAAATTGAAAATACACATCTTGTAAAAATCTCAAACCTGAAAAAATAAAAAAAAAAAAATTTTTTTTTTACTAATGCGTTCATACGCAAAAATCTATTTGAATATTATTATTCACTCTTTATTTTCTAATAAAGCACAGGTTCGGTTCTAGAAATTGGAATTAAATGCCTGCAAAAATGCACTGGGCTTTTTTTCTCTTTCCTTTTCTCTTCTTTTCTTTCTCTTTTCCTTTTAAGAGCCTTTTTTTAAATTTCCTTCTTTTCTCTTTCTCTTTCACTATCGTGTCCCTCCATTGAGGTATTGAGCGATTTAATTTTATTTCAACTATTTACAAAAAAAAAAAACCAATTCTTCTTCATTTGTAAAAAAAAATTGCTAATTTTAATCTTCGTGCATTGTAAATAATTTTGATATTTCCGATAATTCCTCATATTTCGTGCCTCTCTCAAGTACCTGACGAGAATAAAAAATATATTTAAAAAATGATTAAATTAATACAGAAAATAAAAAAGTAAATAAATTACCTGCCGCGCTATTGACATTCGTGAAAATACATTCCAAAGAACAATACCAACGACAATATCATTTTTAAGATAGAAAATAATTCCCCTCTCAAGATCATAATCTTTTCTCGTCGATGACAATGACTCCACATCATCACATTTTTCATTATCATTTGTCTGAACACTAGAATCATTTAATTTTTCAATATTTTTTTTCGATTCATTCTTTAAATTATCCTCTTTTTCTTCTTCTTCTTCTTTTTTTGTTAATTTTTCACTAATTTCCACTTCTTTTTTCTCATCTTTCTTGAGAAACACCGAGACTGTTGGCAATTTTGAATCAATTATTCCAATTGCCTCATAGCCAATATCCAATCCTAAATCCGACCAAAACATCGATTGATGTTTATATGGTTTTCTTGCGCCCGTCATATTTTCACCTGCCAAACGTCCCGATATAATTGCATGATCATAATGTTCAACACGTCTTCTTCCAAATTTAATATCATAAAAACATGCCGCATCGCCTGCCACCCATAAATTTGATCTCGCTTCTAATTCGGCATTAACGAGAAAACCACCAATTTCCGATTCTGTCTCCAATTCGGAAACTGTGGCTAAATCTGTATTTGCTTTAGCGCCAACTGCAACTATTACCTGATCGGCGTCCACCTTTTTTTTGAGAAAAAAGATAAAAAATTAATTACAAAATTAGATTATTTATTTAAATTAATTACATATAATAATCGTGAATATCTTTCGTTCATTCTGTCCACACCTGAAGTTAGTATTTGTTATAGGTCTTTTGTTTTTTTTAAATGTATTGTTTGACATTATTTTGTGTTGGTTAAAATTTTTCAATGTTTTTTTGGCATTGTTTCGATAATTAATTTTGAATCGAAATTTTAAAAAATAATTGAATTTTATTTTATTTTAAATTGAAAACTTGGTAAATAATTGAATTTTAAATTGAAAATTTGAAAATAATTTAATTTTAGTTGATTGTTGATTGAAAATTTGAAAATAATTAATTTAAGTTGATTGCTGATTGAAAATTTTGATAATAATTAATTTTGACTCGAAATTTTGGAAAATAATAAAATTTTAATTGAAATTTTCGATAATAATTTAATTTAAGTTCATTTTTAATTGAAAATTTCGATAATTAATTTTGAATAGAAATTTTTAAAAATAATTTAATTTTATTTTATTTTAAATTGAAAACTTGGTAAATAATTGAATTTTAAATTGAAAATTTTGAAAATAATTTAATCTTAGTTGATTGAAAATTTTGATAATAATTAATTTTAGTTGATTGCTGATTGAAAATTTTGATAATAATTAATTTTGACTCGAAATTTTGGAAAATAATAAAATTTTAATTGAAATTTTCGATAATAATTTAATTTAAGTTCATTTTTAATTGAAAATTTCGATAATTAATTTTGAATAGAAATTTTTAAAAATAATTTAATTTTATTTTATTTTAAATTGAAAACTTGGTAAATAATTGAATTTTAAATTGAAAATTTTGAAAATAATTTAATCTTAGTTGATTGAAAATTTTGATAATAATTAATTTTAGTTGATTGCTGATTGAAAATTTTGATAATAATTAATTTTGACTCGAAATTTTGGAAAATAATAAAATTTTAATTGAAATTTTGGATAATAATTTAATTTAAGTTCATTTTTAATTGAAAATTTCGATAATTAATTTTGAATAGAAATTTTTAAAAATAATTTAATTTTATTTTATTTTAAATTGAAAACTTGGTAAATAATTGAATTTTAAATTGAAAATTTTGAAAATAATTTAATCTTAGTTGATTGAAAATTTTGATAATAATTAATTTTAGTTGATTGCTGATTGAAAATTTTGATAATAATTAATTTTGACTCGAAATTTTGGAAAATAATAAAATTTTAATTGAAATTTTGGATAATAATTTAATTTAAGTTCATTTTTAATTGAAAATTTCGATAATTAATTTTGAATAGAAATTTTTAAAAATAATTGAATTTTATTTTATTTTAAATTGAAAACTTGGTAAATAATTGAATTTTAAATTGAAAATTTTGAAAATAATTTAATCTTAGTTGATTGAAAATTTTGATAATAATTAATTTTAGTTGATTGCTGATTGAAAATTTTGATAATAATTAATTTTGACTCGAAATTTTGGAAAATAATAAAATTTTAATTGAAATTTTGGATAATAATTTAATTTAAGTTCATTTTTAATTGAAAATTTCGATAATTAATTTTGAATAGAAAATTTTAAAAAATAATTGAATTTTATTTTATTTTAAATTGAAAACTTGGTAAATAATTGAATTTTAAATTGAAAATTTGGAAAATAATTCAATTTTATATATAATTTAATAACATATAATAATAATTTTCATTATTATCATTTAATATGAAATAATATTCTAATAAATTTAAATTATTATTGATAATATTAATCTTTAATTTCTTTATAACAAACAATTAAATACTCAATTTGGCGCGCGTTTAATATTGCTAGTTCATAAATAATTTTGTTAATTCTCACCCTTTTATTTTCCGTTGTAATAAGTGTTAATTTTCCATCGCGCATCTCAAAATCTTCAACTTCAGTATTGCCAATAAAATGAACACCAATTGCTTTTGCCTTATTTGTCGTCCATTCACTTAAATATTCAGGTAATACTTGTGCCATTATATTTTTTTCCTTACAAATTTGTATTACTCTCTTTTTATCGGGATCAAAATTTTGTGCCATTGAACACGCAAGTTCTGAACCAAGAAAACCACCGCCAATTATAACAATATTTCGTACATTTGGATCATGTACATTTGCCTCAAGTTCAAGATAATCGTCTAATGTTCTATAGGGTAGAATTTTCGATGTAACTTTCTCGTCGGCCGATTCAAATATTTCGAGATTCTTCGGTGTTGATCCTTTGAAGAAGAAAAAATTCATTACAAAATTAAACCATAAAAATTCTTTCAAAAAAAAAAATAACAATTCAGGAGAAAACAAAAAAAAAAGAAGATAAAAATTCTATTCTCACCAGTTGCAAGAAGACACTTTTCATATTTAATTTGATAACCATCGCTGAGTGTTACAATTTTATTAATTACATCAATTTTATCCACTTTCCAACCGGTGGCAACTGAGACGCCTCCATTTTCAAATTCATTTAATTTTTCTATTGGCGTAAAAAATTCCGCTGGCTCGTAAAAAAAGCTATTTTCAAAAAGAAAAATATTTTAATTAACAAAGTAATTAAAGTAGTTAATTCCTATTAAAAAAAAAAATAATAATCATAAAAAAAAAATTCACAAATTACCAATTTTTTCGCAATTTAAGTTTGAATATTTAATTTTTAAACAAAAAAATTTTTTTTTTCTAATGAAAACCTAGTTAAAAAGAATGAAAAATAATAAATTCTCTAAAAATTATCTAAAATAAATTATTTAATTTTTTTTTTACCTTCGTGGAGTTCCATGCCATTGTTTAAAACTAAATTCTGATGAACTTGTTCTATCTTTATCGTACCAAACTTCCTTTGATAAAGGTGGCTTCATATAGGGATTATAACTTTCATTTGTAATTATTAAAACCTTCGCCTTTGGATCGTTCGATTTAATTGATCTAAATGCTGAAAATGACGCTGGACCACCTCCTATTAACAAATATGGTATTTCCTTTGGAATTAAACTAGATTTTTTAGGATATTTCACTATTTTTCTTCTTTTTTTCCTCTCCGATTCATTATCTGCAAGGCGGACAAAAAAAAAAGAAAATACAAGAAAATTAAAAACAAAAAATTCACATTTTTAATGATAATAAAAACAAATTATAATAGTAATAAAAATAAATTAATAATAATATTAATTAACAGAATTTTAAAATTACCTTTCTCCTTCGATAATTTTCCATTATCATTCCCTAATTGTGCAAACTGTAAAAAATAAATAAATTATTATTAACAAGCGATTAATTAATTTTAAAAATATTTAAATAATATTAATATTTTAATATTTAAAAAATATATTATATAAAATAAAATTTAGTATAAGGAGAAAAAAATTACCGAAAATATAACAACTCCAGTGAGAAATAGAGCAATAAAAAGTTCCTTCCAATATTTAAATGGTCCATTACCATCGTTATCATTTTTTGGATCGTGTGGAAATGTTGCACCTGGACACGTTGTTGGACACGATGAATCAGGACCCAATTCACAAGCGGGTCCTGCAAATTTCTTTTTTTGCCCCCCTTTAGGTACACATTCCTCCGCTTTTAATGTAACACCCGAAAATCTATATGGTTTCTTTTCTCTTGTACTATTTAATCTCGTCGAATGAATATTAATAATACCTATATTGAAATAGAAGAAAAAAATTATTCAAAAAAAAAAGAAAAAAAGGAAAATAATAATAAATAAAAAAAACGACTCAAGCACCAAAAAAAAAATAAGAAAAAAACCAAAAACCCCTCACAAAACCCATGCAAATTATATTTTTAAAATTCAAAAAAAAAAAAAAAAAAAAAACAGTATTTTAATTAATTTTTAATATTAATACTTTTTAAAAAATAATATTTATAATAATTAATAAATAAAAAAATAATAATAATAATATTAATTGCCCGAAATTACAAATAAATAATTAATAATAATAAAAATATAAATAAAATTTAATATTGTAAAAAAATAATAAAAATTTACACAAAATATTAAAAAAAATAATAAATAAATAAAAATAATAATTAAAAAAAGTTAATAAATAAAAAAATAATAATAATAATAATATTAATTGCCCGAAATTACAAATAAATAATTAATAATAATAAAAATATAAATAAAATTTAATATTGTAAAAAAATAATAAAAATTTACACAAAATATTAAAAAAAATAATAAATAAATAAAAATAATAATTAAAAAAAGTTAATAAATAAAATAATAATAATAATAATATTAATTGCCCGAAATTACAAATAAATAATTAATAATAATAAAAATATAAATAAAATTTAATATTGTAAAAAAATAATAAAAATTTACACAAAATATTAAAAAAAAATAATAATAAATAATAAAATAATAATAATAATAATAATAATAATAATAATAATAATAATTAAATAATTATAATAATATTAATAATAATTAATTATTAAAATTAGTTACATAACAAATAATATTGCACAATTAAGGACTTAATTTAATTATTGTTAATTAATAGAAAATGTTAGGCGGAAAAAATTGGGGAAAATAAGGAAATAAAGCATTGGTTTTTCATTCCAAAATAAAAGGTAAAAAAAAAAAATTTAAACGAACCTATTGGAAAATTTGCACTGTATGTATTGTAATTACACACAATGCTATTTTTAGCTCCTGTAAATAAATAAAAATATAAATTTTTTAAAAAATAAACATACAAAAAATCGAATATTATAATAAAAAATACCGAATAGTGAAAAATAATTTATATAATAAAGATAAATATAAACAAATATAAATAGAAATTCAAATTCAAATAAATATTTTACCAAAAAAAACAAATTTTTCGAAAATAAAAATACAAGTATAAAAAAAATTATAACAATTTCCCTATATATATTCACACGCGACAAACATATACAATTTTTAGGTTATGTTCGCCCCTCATATCTGACAAAACGAAATAAATCGAAAAAAAATATGTAAATTATAAAATAATATTACAAAAATAGGGATAATAATAACAACTAATTTTTACAAATTGCCAATAAAAAAAAATATCAATTAATATTCATTTTGTAAATATTTAATGTAAAATAACAAATTGAATTTTTTTTGTAACATGAACATATTTGTATTAAAAGAAAAAATTTTTTTTTTTGTGAATTAAATTACTTACCGACATATTTTATTGTTCCACTGAAATGTTTATTGTTTAAGTGTCTTGTTATTTTTGTTAATTGTCCGATGACTTTGCCGCAACTCAACATTTTTGACGGGCCAACGAGGGCCTTATGCAATATGGAGGCAACACGCGTACCGGAATTAAAACCTTAATGACTATTGATAATTTAGAGGTTTTATTATTTAAAAAATCACCACAACACCAAATTAAAAGCTCACTCATCACAGAATACTCCATTCCCTGTTGGGTGAATTTTTTTTTTTTTTTTTTTTTTTAATTATTCATCCACTTTTTTTTTTCGTGCCATTCGCGCGGCTTGCAAAAAACTATTTTTCCACTTTTCTTTTTAAATCACAAACAATTACACACTATTGCAAAAAAATAAAAATTTCAAATTACTTTACAATTGAGAGGTGAAAATCAATGAAAATTCAATTTTGTAAATAATTTTTTTTCACGATGATAATTATTGAGAATTTAGGTTAGAATCCCGACTGTCATTTGTTTTTTTTTTCTTTTTTTTTGGGCAACGAAAGTTAATTTTTTTAAGAGGCAAAAAAAATAAAAAAAAACACAAAAAAAGATACTAAATGCGAAAAATTTGTATAATTATAGAAAAAATAAGTAAAGAATTAAATTTGAACATCTTTTTTTTCAAATAAGTCACGTGAGTTCGCGCGCTTATTAATTTCTAGCGGGAAAATTTTGAAATATTTTGTAACAAATTTTTTTTTTAAATTTCAACATTATTTATTTTTTTATAATTTATATATTATTATAATTATATATTATCACCAAGAGCCTGAATCGAATAATGGAGAATAATAACCTTTCACCATTCCATTGTGATTAATCTAAAAATTTACGAAAAAAAAGAACTTATAATATTTTTCTTTTTCGAAAAAAAAAAAATGTAATAATTAAAAAAAAAGGAAACCTACAATAAGTAGAGCGAATATAACGGAAAGTATTCCCAATAAAAGTTCTCTATTGGCTTTTTTATTATTTTCATTATAAACATCTTGCCAGTTGCCAATAAAATCAGGGCCGTAGTCCATTAAACATGGTTCATTGATGCAATAGGGCTCCTCGCAATCAGTGCTCATTTTTTTAAAATATCTCAATTTTTTTGAATGTTGCGATGTCACAATTACATGCGTATTTACAACTATATTTAAAGATTCCAAAAAAAAAATTTTTAATTAAAAAAAAATTTTTTAATTTAAAAAAATAATTAAGGGGGGGGGGAAGTATAATAGTTTCTTTTTTTTATCAAATTCTTGTTAAATTATTTCTTATTTAAAAAAAGAGGTTAGAATATTAGAATTTTTGTTTTTAGAAAAAAAAAATTTATTTTTTACTTACCTGGATTTAAACAACGGGAAAAAAGCCCGCGACTGTTCAGGAACGTAGCAGCCCTTAACATTTTGAAAATCGAAATTATTTGTTTTTTTTTTTAAATAAAAGCCTTTTTTCGCAAAAATTTTTCGGAATTATTTATTGTTTACTTTTCCATCAAAAGAATTCGATTTTCTTTTTTTTTTTAAAAAAAAAATTGAGTGCGCAAAAATAACCTTCATTTATAAATTCAAGGCAATCGAGTTTTCGATATAATATTCCTTTTTCGCAATAAATTATTTTCTTTGCAATTTCTATCGATAATTGATTATAATAAATAATAATAATAATAATAATAATAAAAAAACAATTAAAAAAACATTAAAATTAATATGATTTAGCTTTTTAGGTTATGTTAAGCGAAAATGTTTTTTTAAAACCATTTTTAATGTATAACAAAAATGCAATAATTAGTTTTATGATTACTTTCTACTTTTTCCTCTAATTATTCTAAAAAATGAAAGTAACGAAAGTTCAAGGCTCTCAGGAAGTGAATTTCGTTCCTGATGGAAGAGATTTCACAATAAACCAACTTCATTCGTTAAATTGACAGTTCATTGTAAACATTATGTTCCAAAAAAAAAAAAATTTCTTGTGATTATTCTCCAAAATAAACATTAATTCAATGATTTAATTAAATTAAATAGACAATTTTTCGGATTTTTATTATCAAAAAATTTCAAGTGACATTAATTTAATTCCCATGGTAAATGAATTCCCATTTTATTGAACATCGAATAAAGGTTATTTTCGTGAATCGCGCAACAAAAGGTAATGTTTATTTTTTCTTCTATATATTTCCTTCTATAATAATACGCATATAAATAAATCTTTGAAATTTTGTTTAAATATTCTTAAATATTCGTAATTTTTTAATTGTATTGCATTACTTTTTTTTTTATTTTCATATAACTATATTTTTGGTCCTAATTTTTTTTTCATTGAATATAAAATCGTCACTACTTTGAAAAATGACACAACAGCTGACATTTTTCTTTTTATTTGTCAACAATGCGCAAGTTTTGTTTGTAAACAAAAGAAAAAATCGATTTATTTCGTTTTGTACTAATTTCGAATTTTTAAAAAAAAATTCATTTTTCGTTTGAAATTATTTTTCAAATTATTTAATTAGTGGAGGAAAAAAAAATTATTTTAAATTGAGTTATTATATATATATACTAGTTTTTATACGGTTTCTGTTTTCGCGAGAAAAAAAAAAGTTGAATGTCAACAAGAAATTTATCCAAATTGGAGCAAAATAAAATTATTATTGTAAATAATAGTGAATTTTTTTTATTTTTATTTTCTATTTTTTTTTTATAGAAACAAATTTTTATATAATATTAATATTTAATTTATTAATAATATTAAAAAATAAATAAATAAATATTTATTTATTTATTTAGAAATAAATTAGAAATAAAATTTTATTTATTAAATAAGAATAAAATAAAATTTATTTAATAAAATTAATTTATTTTCAAATAAAATAAATGAATTTGTATTTATTAATACGAATATAAAAAAAATATTTTAAATATTTATAAATATAATAATTTTTGCCTATTATTAATTTTTTTTTATTTCCCAAAAACCGAATTTCGGAATTATTACAAATTAAATTGTAAGAAATAATTTCCAAAATTGGAAAAAATTATTTAAGAATAAAAATTAATTTCTAGAGAATTAAAAAGAAAAAAAAATTATACTTTCACTATAAACGCGCAAAATTAAATTAATTAATTAATTAGTAATTTTTTTATTTCCCAAAAACCGAATTTCTGAATTATTAAAAATTAAAAAAATTTGAATTGTAAGAAATAAATTTTCAAAATTGGAAAAAATTATTTAAAAATAAAAATTAATTTCTAGAGAATTGAAAAGAAAAAAAAATTATACTTTCACTATAAACGCGCAAAATTAAATTAATTATTTAATTATTAATTTTTTTATTTCCCAAAAATCGAATTTCTGAATTAAAAATTTTAAAAAATTTCAATTGTAAGAAATAAATTTCCAAAATTGGAAAAAATTATTTAACAATAAAAATTAATAACTAGAAAATTAAAAAGAAAAAAAATTATACTTTCACTATAAACGCGCAATAAAAGTTAATTAATTAATTATTAATTTTTTTTTTTATTTCCCAAAAACCGAATTTCTGAATTACACATTTAAAAAAATTTGAATTGTAAGAAATAAATTTCCAAAATTGGAAAAAATTATTTAAAAATAAAAATTAATTTCTAGAGAATTGATTATTAATAAGTTAATTAATTTTTTTTATTTCCCAAAAACCGAATTTCTGAATTATTAAAAATTAAAAAAATTTCAATTGTAAAAAATAAATTTCCAAAATTGGAAAAAATTATTTAAAAATAAAAATTAATATCTAGAGAATTAAAATGAAAAAAAATTAAATCGGAAATTGAAACAAAGGAATTAAATGCAGAAAAGATGCATCGAGGAAGTGCGTAGAATTCTCGGAACAGAAAAAAAAAAAAAAAGATTCATGGCTAATGCTGATTCAGAAACAGGTTGTTTTGTCCATAAAAAAAAAATTCTACACTAATTTGGTAAAAGCAAGTTCACTACTGACCACGTGTTTCACGGTCTTTCAAGAGAGCACTGCTTTTTAACATATGAGAATAGTGTCTCACTCTTGTGGGTGTTCTTTTTATAGCAGGCGTTTGACCTCCTTCTCTTTTGCATCAAGAAAAAGTTATTTTATATATTAGTCGCAACTGGTAAATCTTCCCGAGTGGACATAATATGCTTATTCACTAAATTTGTGTTTTTATTTATTTTTTTTACATAAAAAAAAAACATGCCCGCCAGGTAAATAAATAAATTTTTTTTATAATTAAAATTTTTTTAGTAAACTAGGTTTCAATATTTCGTAATTTCGCGGGTTTTCAAAAATAACCGCTAAATTGAGGTCGATTTTTATCATCAAATTTTTTTTTTTTTTTGAAGTCAAAAAATTATTTTTTTTTCAATTTTCAATTAATTTTAAAATTAATAATTTTAATTAAGTTAAAATTACTGTTTTTTTAAAAATTATTATAATAAAAAGTTCTAATATTATTTTTTAAATATTTATTTATTATCAAAAATAGAAAAGGAAAATTTTATTTCGTTTAAAAAAATATTTAAATATTTAAAAAATTAGTAAATAAATTATATTTTTAAAAAAACTATTCAACAATTACTTTAATATTAAATATAAATGTAAAAAAAAATTAAATACCAACAAAATTAATTAACAAATAAAATGTTGAATAAAAATTAAATTTTGTTTAGAAATAAAAAATAAAAAAAATAAAAATTTTGCAATTATTTTAGCAATCATAAAATGAACGGTGAAGATGACCAGAAAATTAATTCAAATGAGGCTGGATCCTCAATGGAATATTCGTCACAAGTTTCGACGGAAAGTGATGACGAGAATCTAAAAAGGTGAGAATTTAATTTTTTTTTCCCAATTTTTTTTTTTTTTAGTATTAAATTTATTTTCAATAATAATAGAGAAGTTGAAAAAAACCGAATAGTAAAAAAAATGGAAAAAAAATATTAAATATTAATAAATAATAAAAAAAAAAAAACAAATATTAAATAATTTAATAAATAAATAAAAATTGAAAAATTTAATAAATAAATGAAATTTTAATAATTTAAAATAAATCAAGAAAATTAACTACATAATTGAAATTTCAATAATAAAAATTTTCATTATTTTTTGGCATCAAATTAATTTTTTTTTTTTAATTTTAATATATTAAAGGGTTAATATATTATTATTATTATTGTATTTATTATTATTATTATTATTATTATTATTATATTATTATATTATTAAATATTATTAATTATTTATTAATTATTATTAAATTAATTTTTTTTTTTAATTAAAGGGCGCAAAATTTTATGATGGGCATAACTGGTGCATCGCCGCCAAAATTTGTTTCACTTGAGGAAATAATGAAGGCGACAAATGGATTAAAAAATATGGCGCTCGCCCATGAAATAGCGGTTGATAAAAATTTTAAACTTGAAAAATTAGAATCCGACGATAATGCATTACACAAACAAGTTAAGGAAATTATACACAAAGCATTTTGGACATTATTGGAGGAACAACTTGCCGAGGAGCCACCAAATTATACACAGGCATTGATTCTATTAAAAGAAATAAAAGAGGTTCGTCTTTTTTCTCACAAAATCAATAATTTTCCAAATTTAATTAATATAAAAGAAAAAATTTTTTTACAAAAGAAAACTATTTTTTTTTAAAATTTAATTCCTTTTCTCCAAATTTTTAGACACTAGACGAATTAGTATTGCCGCATCATAAAAAAATACGCGACAATATTAATGAAGTATTGGATGTTGATTTAATAAAACAACAAGCCGAAAATGGTGTATTAGATTTTCAACATTATGCACATTATGTTATGAATATAATGAGTAAAGTATGTGCACCGGTGAGAGATGAAAAAATTAAAGAATTACATGAATTAACAAATGTTGTTGATACATTTCGTGGTATAATGGAAATTTTACAATTAATGAAATTAGATTTGGCAAATTTTACAATAACAATGATGAGACCAAATATTATTGCATCGAGTATTGAATATGAAAAAATGAAATTTGCCGAATTTTTAAAAGTACAAACAGATGGTTTAAATTATACACGTAAATGGTTATTGTTGCATTTAGATGAGAAAAAAATTGCCACAGCATTAAATGATTCAAATACAATAAAACAAATAACACATTGTTTATTGGCTGAAGCATATTTGGATCTTTTGCAATTTGATTTTACACCAAATGCCGAGGTATATAAAAAAATTTTAATTTTTACATTGAAAGAGAAAGAAAGAAAATTAATTTTTGTTTTCAATTAAAAGTATTTTTAGTTGAAAGAAACAAAAATTTTTATTTTTAATCCAAAAAAATTCCCTTTTGGAAAAAAAATTGTATTTATTATTTTAATTAAAAAAAAAATATACTCATGGAAATTATTTTTATTTGTAAAAAGAAAATTGATTTGCAAATTTAGATACAAATTTTTCTATTAGAAATTGAAGTAATTTTCAATTGAAAAATAAAATTAAGAAATGATTTTCATTTCTTTCTTATTAATAGAATTCAAAAATTAATTAATAAATTATTATTTAGACATTGATGCTGGATCAGGGAAGACTTTTGGAATTGCGAGATAAAACAAATCGAATGAGTATTATTAGTTCGGTGCTTTTGTTAGTGAATAATATCGCGGGTCCAGCAATTCAAGGGGTATCGAGTTTTAAGATGAAAATCAAGGATCATCTTAATGTTATTTTGGAATCTGTGCATTCCAACAAGTCAGTGATTATGAAATTTATAAAAAAAAATAATTTATTAATACTAATTATTTGCAAATAAATAATTTTTTAATAATTATTTATAATTTGAACAAAAAAAAAGATAAATTTGCTATTTAAAAAACTATTTTATGTTAAATAATTTCACCTTTAAAAAGAAAAAAAAAAAATTTTCAGAGATTTGGAAACTGTGATGCCAAATGTTTTGGTGCAAGTGAAAGCGGATTTAAAAGCAACTCTCGAGGAAATTGGTGCACCGCCAATGCCATCGGAAATTGAAACAATTCTCGATGGACAAATTTTGGATCTCGTTAATCCCGAACACAAAATTCGTTATCTCGTCAGTAAGTAAAAAAAAAAAATTAAAAAAAATGTACAATTTCCAAAAATTCTAAAAATCATTTTTAAATTGATAAAATATATTAAATTTTAAATTAAAAAAAATAATTACAATTTGCTTTTCAAAACAAAAATTACATTTTTAAAAATTAATTTAAAAAATTGTTTAAAATTATTCGAAAAAAATATTTAAATAGATATTATTTTCAAAAAAATTTGAAAATTCTTTTTCAAAATAAATTGATATATTAATAATAATTTTTACACACACATATTTACAATATAAAAATAATAAAAAAACTAAATTTCACAGACCTGAGGATTCGTCAATTTTTGGAAAAATTGATTCTCTCACAATCGGCTGCACCGCAGCAAATTCCACCTGGACTCTCGTCACTTCAACAAGAATTGGCATCAATATCAGCACAATTTCTCATTTTAGTGTCACACAATCGTAGCGTTTTTGGCGATTATTATCAAGATATTGTCGCCGAGGCACTTCAACACGCTGAGAACAATAAAATCATTGCCATGGAGGAAACATAGAAAAAAAATAGACAATAGAATAAGAAAAAAAAAAGGAGAAAAAAAGAAATTAAAAGCGCTGTGTTAAAAAAAAAGAATTTATCGAAAAAAGAGAAGCATAAAAATATATATATTATACTATATATATAAAGAAAAGAAACAAATTTTTTGAAATAGTTTTCAAAAATATTTTCCAATCAATTTCTGGATAGAATAGAATAAATTATTAGATTTATCAACAATTATTGTCAATAATTATTACACTGTCCGACAAAAATGATTTTTTTTTCTGCCCCTCGGATAATTCCGGTCACTTTCGATAGATTTTTACACGCTGATTACGAATCTGCAAATAAAAATGCTCTAGCACGTCCAGTTTCTGAGAAAATTAGTGTTAAAAAGTCGAAAATGCGTGTTTTTGGCCATATTTGAATTTGAATAAAATAAAAACAAGAGGTGCTAGAATCTTGTTCTTGGGTTCAAATGAAAGCTTGAAACTTAAACAACAATTCCATGAAGGGAAAAATTAAAGGCATAATGATAAGGCTGTTAAAACTTATTTTTTCATTTGCGATTAATTTTGTCATTTTTCATATTCAACGAACACTGTATATAACCCTAACATTTTGAAACAAGTGACAAGCAAGTGAATGAAACATCATTCGAATTTGAAAATTTTTCAGTTGACTTTCAGGTTACTTATTATCTAATTAATTTTCTATTAACTATTTTCGTCAATCGTGACGAGTATAAACACACAAACTTTAATAAATAATAAATAATTATCACAAATAACAAAATTTCACAATACACCTAAAAAAGTTTATATAATTAACATCTTATTAGTTTCATTTAACATAAAATTGAAAGTTAATTATTTATTACTGTATTTTGTTAATAAAAACAATTCGGCCCAGCGTTCTGCAGAAGTCTTCAAAAAACTGTATAGTGAACATTATCTTATTTAAATATGGTTTAAAGAAGGTAAGTTTAAAAATTAATAGATAATAAGTAACCTGAAAGTCACGTGAAAAATTTTCAAATTCGAATGATGTTTCATTCACTTGTTTGTCACTTGTTTTAAACTATTAAGGTTATACACGGTGTTCGTTGATTATGAAAAATGACAAAATTAATCGCAAATGAAAAAATAAGTTTTAACAGCCTTATCATTATGCCTTTAATTTTTCCCTTCATGGAATTGTTGTTTAAGTTTCAAGCTTTCATTTGAACCCAAGAACAAGATTCTAGCACCTCTAGTTTTTATTTTATTCAAATTCAAATATGGCCAAAAACACGCATTTTCGACTTTTTAACACTAATTTTCTCAGAAACTGGACGTACTAGAGCATTTTTATTTGCAGATTCGTAATCAGCGTGTAAAAATCTATCGAAAGTGACCGGAATTATCCGAGGGGCAAAATCATTGTCGGACAGTGTTATTAGTTTAATTATTGCTAATAATTATTAGATTATCGTTTAATTATAATTATTTCTAACAATTAGATTATAATAAAATTATTATTGATTATAAATTGATTATAATTTTAATTTAATTATGATTTACTTATGATTTCATTATAATTTAATTATGATTTAACTATGATTTAACTATCATTTAACTATGATTTAACTATGATTTAACTATAATTTATTAATTATAATTTAATTATAATCTAACAATAATTATTGACAATAGTTAATAATTATTATCGATAAAAAAATTTAATTATTAATTATTAATAATTGATAATAAAAAAAAAACTTGTACAATCAATCGAAAATATAAGTAAAAAAAAAAAATACCGGCGAAAAAAAAATAATTGAATCATAAAACTATTTTTGTTAATTAAAAATTTTTTTTTTGTAAAATACTTTTTATTTATTATACTTAAAAAATTATTGTGCGAAACTAATTATTTACAATTAATATTATTTTTTAAATAATAATTTACCAATTTTTAATTACTGCGATATTTTTTTCCTTTTTTACAAAGATGGTAAAAATTTTCTTTTGAAAATGACCCTCGTTTTCCATTTTACTTATCTCTATATATAGATATACAATTATACATAAATATTACCAATAGAACAAATATTCTTCTACTCAAAACTTGGCATTTTTTTATTAACATGTAAAAAAAAAATTCAGATTTAATTCAACGAATTTAGAAAATTTCTGAAAAATAAATCCTTTTTTTGTTTTTAGATTGAATACGAAAAAATTATATATGTTATAAAAAATATAGAATTATATTAAAAATCTATTCTTTAGAAATTATAATAAAAAATGATGTTAACTAAATTCTATTGAAAAAAAAAATGAATAAAGTCAAAATATTACAAAAAAGTGTTTAATTATTTTTAGTACTTACGAAAAATTTGAGTATCATTTCCGTTGCAATAGCGTCACTTGATTATCGAACATTTGAACGTGTTGTTTTTTCACAAAACTTCTAAATCCTAAAGAAACAAGATTTTTTTCAAATTTTAACTTAAAAATTAAATAAAATAATTTTCCAATAAAAGAAAAATTAATATAAATTACTCACCAACAAAAAGGGGAAACAATTTTTCATCCTGATAAAATAATATCTTTAACGTATTTAATAATTTTTGAAAATTTTCCTCATTCGTATAATCGCGAATCATTTTGCCAAATAGTTTATAATTTTCCGTGCTCAATGATTCTTTGACCTGTAATAAAATGAAAAAAAGAGTTAATTAACAAATCAAATGTAAATCAAAAAAAAAATTTTTTTTTTAAAGAAATAATTTTCATAAAAGAAAATTTTTTTCATCACCGTTTTTAAATAAAATTTTCCAATTTCCCTCTTTCGTTCAGCGGGACTTTTCTTCTCTGTATTAACATCATTATTTTCCAAATTCTCCTCAATTTTTGATGGAAATTTTTCCATTTGTTGTAATTTCTTTGAATTTAATGATGATAATCCCGATGTCGACGGTTCAGGTTCCATTGGTTCAAAATTTTTTATCATTGTTTCGAATTTTCGTTTTTTTGCCATCACAGGCGTTGGTAAATCACTCAATAAATTACACGACACCAATGGATTATTTAATTTACAATTATTAAAATTAATCATCGAACCTTTTGTTTCGTTAAAAATACTATTGCTTTTTGGTACAATTGACGTTTCAGTTGATTTACACGCATACATAGCGGGATCAAATGTTTCTTCTTCGTCAATTATTTTTGCTTTTTCAATTTGATTATTATTATTACGTTTTGTACCCACGGTTATTTGATTAAATCGTGCTGGAACCGCTGGCAATGATATGTCGTCCATGTTGATTTTATTTTTCATTTTTGGTTGCGGTAACTAGAAAAAAAACAAATCTCAATTTTTTTGAAATTATTTCGTAATAATTTTCCCAAAAATTAGATTATAATAAATGGTTATTAAAAATTATTTTGAAAAAGAAGTAACAAAAAAGAACAAAAGGAAGAAAATTACTTCGAAACAATTTTCCAAAAAAAATTTGTTATTTAGAAAATTATTTCGAAAATACTTATTTTTAATTAGGAAAATTATTGATTAAAAAAACGCATACTTACTGCATTTTCCGTGTAACGATAAAATTCTTTTATTTCTTTCACCATCATGCCAAAATTTGAAAATTTTTTAATATGCGGCCGAATCCAAGCTGACAATTGTCCTTTAAATTGTGCACTATCGAATCGACAATCGCAAAAAATTATCGCCCCATAATCGTCCTTATGACGAATAATTCGTCCTATCGCTTGATTAACGGCTCTTGACGCTTCAAGTTGATACCACTGTTGTCCGGTTAAATTCTGCAAAAAAAAAAAAAATATTTAAAGGCCACATTTTCGAAAATTTGGAAAAGAAATAAAAAAAAAGTATCCGAAAATTCATTGGAATTGAAAAAAGAAAAGAAAAACAAAAAAAAGAAACAGAAAAAGAATTTTGTAAATAATAAATTATTAATAAATAATTAGTATTATTTATTATTATTATTTTAGTATTATTTATTTAGTAAATAATTAGTATTATTTATTAATAATTGTAATAGAACGAATAAAAAAAAATTACAATTTTTCTTCAAAATATAATTATATAATAATAAAATGCTTGGTCTGTCCTTCTGTCCTAACTTGAAGTTGGTCTTTTATGATTTCACGTGTTTTTTGAATAGTAATCTTATGACGTGTCAAATTTGTGTCAAATTAAACTTGAAAATTTTAAAAATAATTAAATTTCAAAAGATATTGTTAATTTTCAAACAATAATAAAATTTTACAGAACTAAAAATAATTTATCAAAAAAATTTGTTGGAAAACATTTTTTAAATTTAATTGAATTTTCAAAAGATTTAAAATTGAGATTTTAGAAATTAATTGAACTTCAAGTGATTTTAATTAAAATTTTATATGATTTCACTAAAAAATTTATTAGAAATTACAGACAAAATACAATAATATGATAATCATTTTTTAATTGAAAAATGGTTTCAGATATAGTTGAATTTTCAAAGAATATTATAAAAATATTTAAAAATAATTGAATTCCCTTAGAGTTATAATTGAAATTATTAAATTTCAACAAATTTTCGATGGAAAATTTTAGAAATAATTAAATTTTAAATGCTTTTAAATTCAAATTATTGAAAATTCAATTAATTTTGAATTCACATTTTTTAGAATAATTAAATTTTCTTTAATTTTGATTTGAAATTTTGGAAAATAATTAAATTTCAATTAAAATTTTGGATAATAATTCATTTTTAGTTGATTTTTTATTGAAAATTTTGATAATTAATTTTGAATTGAAATTTTAGAAAATAATTAAATTTTATTTGATTTTAAATTTAGAAAATAATTGAATTTTAGTTGATTTTGAATTGAAAATTTTGAAAATAATTGAATTTTCTTTGATTTTGAATTGAAATATTGGGAAATAATTGAATTTTAATTGTAATTTTGAATAATAATTTAATTTAAGTTCATTTTTTATTGAAAATTTGGATAATTAATTTTGAATAGAAATTTTAGAAAATAATTGAAGAATTTTATTTCATTTTAAATTGAAAACTAGGAAAATAATTGAATTTTAAAAGATTTTGAATTAAAAATTTGGAAGGTAATTGAATTTTCTTGGATTTTGAATTAAAATTTTGGGAAATAATTGAATTTTAGTTGATTTTGGAATTGAAATTTTGGAAAATAATTGAATTTTTGTTAATTTTCAATAGATAAATATGGAAAATATTTGAATTTTAGTTGATTTTAAATTAAAATTTCGGATAATAATTGAATTTTATGTGATTTTAAATTGAAAATTTGGAAAATAATTGAATTTTAAAAGATTTTAAATTAAAAATTTGGAAAATAATTAAATTGTCTTGGATTTTGAATTGAAATTTTGGAAAATAATTAAATTTCAATTACAATTTTAAATAATAATTCAATTTTAGTTGATTTTTGATAATTAATTTTGAAATGAAATTTTAGAAAATAATTTTATTTTATTTGAATTTAAATTGAAAATTTGGAAAATAAGTGAATTTTAGTTGATTTTGAATGGAAAATTTTGGGTAATAATTGAATTTCATTTGATTTTAAATTGAAAATTTGGAAAATAATTGAATTTTAAAAGACTTTGAATTTAAAATTTAATAATTTAATAATTAATAATCTGAGGCCTATAAACATATAATTTTTATTTTTATCATTTAATATGGAATAATATTCTAATAAATTTAAATAATTATTGATAATATTAATTTTTAATTTCTCTATAACAAATAATGAAACAGTCAATTTGGCGCGCGTTTAATATTGCTAGTTAAATTAATAAAATAAATAAATTTTTACCTCTCGATCCTTTAATTTATTTTCTTCAAGATATTTTCTTTTCAAAATAACACGCGGATCCATTAACGGTGGAAATGGAAGACCAGTAATTAAAACAGCTCGTCCATTTGCATCGGCAAAATCCAAACCCTCACTCACTTTTCCTCTACAAACGGCCAAAAATATTGCACCCCTACACGATGGATCGCGAATTTTTTCATAATATTCATTCATTGTATTTACAAACGTATCTTTCGATTGAGGCTCAACAAATATTGGCTAAAGAAAAAAATATTGAACATTAAAAATAACAATTTAAATATTAAACAGAGAGAGAGAAAGAGCGATAAAAAAGAAATATTTTTAATTAAAATTTTAACTGAGAATCAGAAATTTAGAAAAAAATTTACCTTGCGTTCGGCAATTTTCGTCCAAAGTCCCAATGTTTGCCATTCCTCTTGACATCTTTTCATAATAGGATAAGAGGGAAAAAAAACAAGTAAACCATTTGGAATTAAGGCACTAAAATTGTAAACCGTTTGTCCAAGTGAAGCTAAATATTTTGGATTATTTCTGCAAGTAAATAATTTTTCTATAATGAAATATATTGAAAAAATTTACAACTATAAATAAATAAATAAATAATTAATTAAAAATAGAAAACCTCGTATTGTACGATGAATTAAGTGGTTCAGAATCTGGTCCTTGAGCAAGAATTCCAACGCAAACTTGTTTACCCGTGACAATATGTGGATTTTCCAATTGAACTCCAATTGGTATTCCAAGTTCAGAAATAAATGGTTTCAATGGCGAAAGTGTTCCGCTTGTTAAAATCACCGAACGAATTCCTTGATCAACCATTTGTTGCATTCTATTCAAAAAAAAGAAGAAACAGATTTTTCTCAATATTTTCCTCCTTTTTTTCAAAAAAAAATAATTTTCAACAATTAAACGATTAAAAATTTTTTGTTAAAAAAAAAAAAAAATACCTACCCAAAACCAGGACTAAAACACCAGTAGCTTATTAATTTTCCTTCACTTTTAACAATTGTCTTCTTCTCCCAAACATCATTGTTACGATGATTTTTCTTTTGTTGATCTTCCATTTGTACATAAACTTTGTAGCATTGTTTTATTTTTTCACGCAATTTATGACCAGCAGCACCGCCTGAAAATGCAACTCTCAATAAATCATTAAATTTTTGTAATGCATTTCCCTTTCTTGCAAATGGCGATGCACTTGTTGTCGATAAATATTGTATTATTTTCTCTAATTTTTCAATTACAAATTGTTCCTTTCCCTGCGTAAGCTGAAAACAAAAAGAGGCGGAAATTAATAAATTATTATTATTTTTTGTATTAAAACTATCATTTTTGTTAAACTAATTTAAGTTCCGATAAATAAATGAAATTTAATGAAAATGAATAAAGAAAATTTTCCAAAAAAACATAAAATAAAACAAATCTCACTTGGGCCTTTTCCAAAAGTTCAAAAATATAACCACCGGGAAATGTTTTACCCTCGTCAATTTTGTCCATTTGAATTTCATCGATTGCCTTTTCTAATTCAAGAAACATTGCTTTTAAAATAAAAAGATCCTCAGCTGTAAAATCTTTTGCCACAACATTTGGAGAATCTGAGAATGCATCCTCTGTTAATTCATTTGACATATCTTTCATCACTGATGTTATTTCATCGATGCATAGTGCAACGTCTGTACTGCTTATCTGAAAAATAGTAAATAAATAAAAAAAATAAATTTATTAGAAATAATTTATTAATAATAATAAATAATAATAATGATAATAAATAAAATACACAACAAAATATAATTAATTGAAGAAATAAATTTATAAACAGAATAAATAAAACAAGAAATTTATAAATAAAATTTAAAAATTAATAAATAAAAAAAATCAAAAAGTGAACAAATAAAGTAAAATAATAACAAAATTGAAACAATAAATTAAATTAATTAAAATAAAGAACAAAATATAATTAATGAAGAAATAAATTTATCTACACAGTAGAAATAAAATAAGAAATTAATAAAAATAAAAAAATTTCCAAAAAAAAAGAAATTAATAAATAAAAAAAACAAAATAATAAACTAAAATACTTTCGAAATGAAATAATAAATAAAATAAAATAAAGAACAAATAAAACAAAAAGTTGAAAAAATAAAAAAATTTGCCAAATAAAAAAGAAATTAATAAATAGAAACAAAAAATTAACAAATAAACTAAAATAATAACGCAATTAAACAATAAATTGTATTATAATAAAATACAAAACAAATAAAATAAAAAATTAATTATAAAAATAAAATATAGAACAAATAAAAAAAATTAATAAATAAAATTAAAAAATGCGGCGATATAAAAAATACATTAATAAAAATAAAAACCACAGGCCTCGGATCGACTTTAAACCACAAAAAAAAGTCGATTTATATTCCAAAAAAGTCAAAAAAAAGTCGATTTTTTTTATTTAAAAAAAAAAGTTTTACAGATTTTTAAATAAAAATTTTTTTTTAATTAATAATTTTGGATATGAGTTAAAGTTTGAATTTTTAAAAATAATTAAATTTCAATTTTTGTTGTTGTTAATTTACAGATAATAATTAAATTTTACAGAAGTAAAAATAATTTATTCAAATAATTTTCGATAATATTTTATTAAAAGTAATTGAATTGTCAAAGATTTAAAATTTTTATTTTTGAAATTAATTGAATTTCAAGTGATTTTTAATTAAAATTTTTTGATGATTTCACTAAAAAAAAAAAAAAATTTATTAGAAATTGCGGATAAAAATACAATAATTTTGAAAACCATTTTTAATTGAAAAAAATGGATTCAGATAGTTGAATTTTCGAAGAATATTATAAAAATAAAATAATTGAATTTCAGGAGAGTTATAATTGAAATTATTAAATTTCAAAAAATTTTCGATGGAAAATTTTAGAAACATTTAAATTGAAATTTTTGAAATAATTTAATTTCCAAATATTCTGTTAAATTTCGGACAATAATAATAATAATAAGAGAAATTTTTAGTGATTTCTGTTGATGAAAAATTTATTAGAAATCACATAAAAAAAAATTGAATTTCAAAATAGTTTTTAATTGAAAAAAATGCTTTTCAGTGAATTAAAATTTTCGAAGAATATTATAAAAATCATTAAAAAATAATTGAAAATTTTTGTAATTAATTAAATTTCTTTGAATTAAATTTTTTTTGATAATTATCGTTTTTCTTTTTTTTAATTTCAAACAATTATTGAATTTTATAAATTCTTTTATTCGACAAACAATTTTAAAATAATTGAATTTGTGATGAATTTCATTAAAATTATTAAAAAAAAAAAAAATAATTAATTTCATGAAGAAATTTAGTTAAAAATTTGTTAAATAATTGAAATAAAAAAAAATTTGCATTATATACTAAAAGAAGACGCAATTTATTAAATATTTTGTAAGAAAAAAAAATGTAAAAAAAGTCGTATTTTATTAAAATAAGTCGAAAAAAGTATAATCCGAGGCCTGTAAACCAAAATAGTTAAAAAAAAATAAATAAATAAACGAAAATAATAACAAAATTGAAAAAATAAATAAAAAATTTTTTTTTTTCCACCTGCAAAGAAGCAGCTTCCTCGCATGTTTTTTCCACATTGTGCGCCTCATCGAGTAAAATTATATTATTTTGCAATTCAATTCCCTGTGCTCGTCGCGCTTTTGGATCCAATAAATAATTATACGGCATAAATGTAATATCCGCATGTTGTTTCAATTCTTTTGACAAAAAATATGGACAGCATCGCGCTTTTTGTCCCGCTTTCACTAAATCTTCAATATCCAAGATTTGCTCATGAAATATTGGATCGTCTTTTCTGGAAATAAAATACAATTAAAAATTTTATAAATTACGAAAAAAAAATTGTTTACTACTTAAAAATTAAAATTATTAAATTTTTATTTAACGCACATAAAAAAAAGAAATTAAATATATTTTTCAAATAAATTTTAATTATTAAATTTTTTTTAACGTACATAAAAAAAGAAATTAAAATTATATTTTTCAAATAAATTAAAAAGAAATTTAATTTTTCTTTTATCTTGAAAAAAAAAAAAATACCAACCGAGCCTCGACATTATTATAATAGAAGCAAGTCCTTGCCTTGACTTTTGCCTGGCACATTTGTATTTTATTAAATGAATTTTGCTCCTTCGATACTTCGGGATGAATACAAAGTTGATCTCTCGAGCCAAGAACCGCAACTTTCACATGTTTATATGAAGTTCTTTTTAATTCTTGCATTGCTTGCGAAAGTTGTGAATGTGTTCTTGAGGCATAAATAATTTTTGGCATATTCCAACTAAACGTTGGTGTTGTTTGATTTGTTTCTTTTTGCAATTCATTTGAACCACTGGCAATTTCTAATTCGCCAGTTAATTTTTTTGCAAAATTATTTAAATCCGATTTTTCATAAGCGCCAATTAACGATTGTGCTTGCGCCTGTGCTTTACGTACAAGTAGCCAACTCAATGATGAACACAGTAAACATAATGTTTTTCCCGTTCCTTAATTAATTATCGAAAAAAAAAAAATTATTATTAGAAATTTGCAAATTTTGCAATTTTTCGTTTAAAATTATTATTTATTTATTTATTGAAAATGTACTGGCAAAGCCCGTATATTTATTATATTATAAAAATTATTTAAAAAATTATATTATATTATTATTAATTTAAATATTTATTTAAGTTTTTATTCTTATTCAATTTTTTTATTTAATTATTTAATTATTAATTATATTATAAAAATATATATATATATTAAATATTATCAATTTATATTATAAATTATTATAATATTAATTATAATTATATAATTTTCCCAGTATTTTTTCGGATTTTTGATTAAAAAAAAAAAATAAATAAATTTTTAGACGTAAAAATATATTTCTTTTTTTTAAATAAATAATTCGTTTTTGAAATAAAATTTTTATTACTCCGATTAAAATTAGGTATTTTATTATTTATTAAAAATAAATAAATTAATTTTCTATTAAATATTAAATTCCGATGTTAAAAATCGAAAGACAAATAAATATTCCGAATATTCGCAATGTTAGCGAGAAATTCAAAATTTTGAGGTTAGAAACGCAAATTGAAAAAAATTTTCCAAATGAAAAATAAACTATACTAATAATTGTAAATCATTTAAATAATCATAAAAATGAAAAAAAATTGTAGAAAAAAATAACTGGTTTTTACATTTTCTTAGCGATAAAATAAAATTTTATTATATTATAAACCATAAAATTAAAAACAATCATCAAGCCGGTATTTACGATTTATTTTTACGCAAGCGTTATTTTTAATATTTCGTATATAAAAATATATAGATAAAATAATTGCAAAAAATAATTGGTTTTTTTATTAATTCTCACCAGTTGGAGACTCCAAAACACCGTGTTTTCCATTTTGAAGACATTCCAAAACTTTTGACATATAATCTTCTTGAACTTTATAAGGTTTAAATGGAAAAGTAACACTAACGCCATTTATATTAATTTCCGTCATTTTATAAAACGCAAACAATAAATTTATCACAAAAACCCAAATTTCCTTTATTCATTTGATAAAAAAAAAAAGACACGTTATGACAGGTATTATTTTCCCGCGCTAAAAAACATAAATGTCTAAAGAGAGGTTATGTTGTCAGATTCAGTTGAGGTTAGTAAAAGTCAGCTGATCAGTCGCTGCCCAACCGCGTGTCTATAAAAAAAAAACTATTTTCTCGTCTATATTTAATTCAGGTACGTCAACTAAATATTTTCCCCCAATTTTCCTAGACAAATAAGAATGAAAAATTCTTTTTTTTTTTTTTAATTAAAATTTCTAATTCAAGTTTTATAGACATTGATATATGGTTAATGAAATTTTTGGTTCAATAACCTTCAATCTAGGTGATTGACCTCGAAAATTTAGGCTGTTTTTTCTATAAAAAGAAGGTAGAAAGTTTTTTTTTTTTTTTTTTTTTTTTTGTAACTGTATACTAATTTTAAATCTCGGGTATTTTGAGATTAATTTACCGAAATATTAATTAATAATTTCTCTTGAAACTTATTTTTCATCATCGTCATTAAATTTCAATATATTTTTAAAAAGATAAAACGAAATTTCTATCGAGTGATAAGAAAAGTCGTCGCCTTTTTTTTTTTTTTTTTTATCTAAAGTTCACAGATTATTTATAATATTTGCGGTTTCTTTTTGTTTTTTTAGAATTAAATATATTTTTTACATGATTTTTTAAAAATAATAATAATATTAATAATAATAAAAATAATTTTTATAATAATAACAATAATAATTTTTATAATAATAATTGAATCGTGAATTTCGAAAAGGGCTCAACTCGAAAAAACGTAAGTGTCATTTTCGCATAACAAACGATAGCGAAAATGACACTTACGGTTTTCAGAGTTGAGCCCTTTTCGAAATTCACGATTCAATTATTAAATAATTTTTATAATAATAATTTTTATAATAATAATTTTTATAATAATAATTATTAATTTTATTTTTTCTTCTCAATAAAAAATTCGTTTTTTTTATATTAATTAATTATATTTGTAAATTTATTGCAAAATTTACATTATAATCAAATTTTTCAATTTCAGTGGGATTTTTTGTGCAATTTTAATTTTTTTTTTTATTATTATTTTTTTGTTACGAAAATGCGTTTAGTAATTTGTGATACCGTTGATCATGTTGCCGAATGGTCAGCAAAATATGTGATGAAAAAAATTAAGGAATTCCAACCAAATGAGAATAAATATTTCGTCCTTGGACTGCCAACAGGTGTGATTAACTTTCACGTAACTTTAAAATAATTATCTTTTTTTTTTTTATTTATTTTTTAAATATAAACTAATTTTCAACTACATAATTTAGATACAAATTATATAATTTAGAAATAATTATAAAATTTATAATATATTATATAAATTGCAATAATTATAATTATAAATAAAATTATAATTATAAATAATTTATAATTAATAATAATTTATTATTAATAAATGAAAAAAATTAATATTACATAATAAATTATAATTAATTTATAATTACTTTGTTTTTGTGTTGAATAAAATAAAAATTAAATTAAATTTTTTTTTAATCTCAAATAATTTAATTTAATGCAAAAAAAAATGAAAATAAAATTTTAATTATTTTTTATTTAGGTGGCACTCCATTGGGAATGTATAAAAAGCTCATTGAATTTTACAAGGAGGGAAAACTTTCATTTAAATATGTAAAAACATTTAATATGGATGAATATGTTGATTTACCAAGAGATCATCCAGAATCATATCATTATTATATGTTTAATAATTTTTTTAAACACATTGATATTGATCCAAAAAATGCACATGTTCTCGATGGTAATGCACCTGATTTAAACAAGGAATGTGAAGATTTTGAAAGAAAAATCAAAGAAGCCGGAGGAGTTGAACTTTTCATTGGAGGTTTGATAGACAAAAAAAATTTTATTAAATTTTCTCCCAAAAAGAGAAAAAAAAGAAAAAAAAACCAATTTTTTTCAGAGAAAATTTAACAAATATTTAATTATTAATTAAAATATATATTGAATTGTATATTTTTTTGAATAATATTATTTTCAACAACAACAACAACAATAATAATAGTAATAATAATAATTTTTAATAAAATTAAAAATATTTTCCATTGGATAATAACTTTAATAAAACTGAATTATTATTATTTTTAAATGTATAAATTCAAAACTATTTTTTAATAATTGAATATTTTGAAAAAATTTTCAACTTTTTCGAATAATTTAGAAAATAATTAAATATTATACGAATAATATTGAAATATATTTAAAAATTAATATTTAAAAAATTTTTTTAATTATTTGATAATTAAACAATTCTGAATAATTTGGCATATTTGCAATTTTTTTTTTTTGGAATAATCAGAAATAATTGAAATATAAAATAAATTTTAGAATGTTGAAAATAATTTTTATTACTATTAGAAATAAATTGAATTCTTCAAAATAAATTTAATAATCTTGAATATAATTTGCCAAATTTTTTTTTTAAATATAATTATTTATTTCGTCAATTTAAATAAAATAAATTAATTATCTTTTTGCAAAGAAATTACAGGCCTTGGATTATTAGACTATAATAACTCTATAATTGTTTATAATTTAAAAAAAAAAATTATCAAATAAAATTTAGCAAAAATTTTTTTAATTTAAAAACACTTGAAATTTAATTATTAGCAAAAATTTCAATTATTTTTTAATGTTATTTTTTATTTTATAATATTCTTCGAAAATTCAACTATCTAAAACCATTTTTCGCTTAAAATTTTCTCAAATTATTGTATTTTTGTTGGCAATTTCTGTAATAAATTTTTTACTAACAGAAAACATCAAAAAAAATTTTAATTAAAAATCACTTGAAGTTCAATTAATTTCAAAAATCAAAATTTTAAATCTTTGACAATTCAATTACTTTTAAAAAAATATTATCGAAAATTATTTGAATAAATTATTTTTACTTCTGTAAAATTTAATTATTATCTGAAAATTAACAAAAAAAAAAATTGAAATTCAATTATTTCTAAAAATTCAAACTTTAACTCATATCAAAAATTATTAATTAAAAAAAAAAATTTTTAGTTAAAAATCTCTAAAACTTGATTAAGTATTGCCTTAAATTTTTTTTTTTTTTTACCATCAAAACTAAAAACTATGACAAAATCTTTAATTTTTCGTTCATTTTAACGTTTTAAATTATTACATGAATTTTAATTCGTCCAAAATTTAATTGATTTGAATTTCAAATTAGTGAAATTTCAATTTTGTAAAATTTTTAATTACTTTAATTTTCAAATTAATGGAATTTCAATATTGCAAAATTGTTAATTGCTTTAATTTTCAAATTATGTGAATTTCAATTTGTAAAATTTTTAATTAATTTAAGTTTCAATTTATCCAAATTTTAGTTGATTAAAATTTTTAATTATTCAAATTTTAATTCGTTCAAAATTTTAATTAATTTAAGTTTCAAAATATTCGAATTTTAATTTTTAATATTTTCAATTGATTTAATTTTCAAATTATCTGAATTTCAATTTGTAAAATTATTAATTAATTTAAGTTTCAATTTTTCCAAAATTTTAATGATTTTTAATTTCAAATCATGTGAATTTCAATTTTTCTAAATTTTATTTTATTTCAGTTTAAAATTATCTAAATTTAAAATATAATCTAAATTTTAATTGATTTAAGTTTCAAATTATTTAATTTTTAATTGATTTAACTTTTTTATTATTCGAATTTCAATTTGTCCAAATTTTAATAGTTTTAAATTATCCGAATTTTTAGTTTTTCCAAATTTTAATAAATTTCAGTTTTAAATTATCTGAATTTTAATTTTAGTTTCAAAATTATCCGAATTTTAATTGATTAAAATTTTTAATTGTCCGGAATTCCGTTTGTTTAAATTTTAGTTAATTTCAATTTTTAAATTATCAGAATTTTTCATTGATTTTAGTTTCAAAATTATTCGAATTTCAATTTTCCCTAATTTTAATTGATTAAAATTTAAAATTGTCCGGAATTTAGTTTGTTTAAATTTTAGTTAATTTCAATTTTTAAATTATCAGAATTTTTCATTGATATTAGTGTCAAAATTATTCGAATTTCAATTTTCCCTAATTTTAGTTGTTTTAAATTTTAAATTAACCGAATTTTTTTTTTGTCCAACTATTAATTAATTTCAATTTTTAAAATTATCTGAATTTTTAATTGATTTTAATTTCAAAATTATTCGAATTTTTAATTTTCCCAAATATTCCCTAATTAAATAAATAAATAAAAAAATATTAATAATAATTGTAGGAATTGGTCCAGACGGTCATATTGCATTCAATGAACCGGGTTCATCATTGGCATCGAGAACAAGAGTGAAAACACTTGCCCAAGATACATTAGAGGCGAATGCACGTTTTTTTGATAATGATATTAATAAAGTGCCAAATGAAGCATTAACCGTTGGAGTTGGAACTGTAATGGACGCAAAGGAAGTTATGATTCTTATTACTGGATCGCATAAAGCATTTGCGCTTTATAAAGCAATTGAAGAAGGTGTTAATCATATGTGGACAGTTTCTGCATTTCAACAACACCCACGCACAATTATTCTCTGCGATGAGGACGCTACCATGGAATTACGCGTTAAAACAGTTAAATATTTTAAGGTAAAAAAAAAAAAACGCAAAAAACATTGTTTTACGTTTCTTTTTTAAATTCTCACAATTAAATTTCAAAATTGGTAAATAAAAGACTTTTTAAGTTATTATTTTTCGATTCTCGAATAAAATTCGTAATAAATTCTGTACAAAAATTTGTAAATATCTTTAAGGATTTTCAAAAAACAAATTATTTTTTTTCTCCAAATTAGGAAAAAAAAAAAAATATTTCACTATTAAAAAACATTTAGAAAAATTAATAGAAAAAAAAAAGAAAACAGAAAAATATTTATGACGAAGGAACAAATTTTTGAAGGTGAACATAAAAAAGAAAAAAAAATGATTAATTATCATATTACTAGAAAATTTCGAAATTTTTTTGTCCAATTTATCACTTTGACACAATAATAATATATAGAAATAAAAAATAGGAAAAAAAAGAAGTAAAATAATAAATATGGAAAAAAAAAATGACTTGGATAGATTGATAAATTTTTTTTTATCTCTAAATTGCGAAATATATATTATATTTCTAATTATAAATTTTCAACTTTCAGGCTTTGAGCGCTGTACATTTGAAACTAATCGAGGAAACTCCCTTGACACGTCGCTCTATATCGGGCAGTGAAAAGATTTGAAAAAAAAAATTGAAATAATTCCTCATTATAACAGTGATTCAGAAAAACAAAAATAACCTATTTTTTTTATCTTTTTGCAATTTAATTGCATACAATTTTTAATAATAATAATAATAATAATAAATAAAAAATAATTTTCACATTAAAATTTTTTTCTTTTCCAAACTAGAAAAGTTCCTTACAAAAAAAAATTCAATTCCTCAATTGCAGTAGAATAACGAAAATAAATTTTTATTTTTTTTAGTTTGCTATTTTTAATAATAATAATAAACAAAAATTATTTTTTTCCCAATTTGAAAAATTCCTTACATAAAAAATAAAAAAAGAAAAATAATAAAGAAAAACGGAGGAAAAAAAGAAGAAGAAAAATAAATACGGAAATTTAAACAGTGTAAACGTGAGGATAATTATTATTAATTTCCGGAAACTGATAATAATCCATTGAATTGAAGAATCGCGTATATATACTGTTTGAAAGAGTTTTACGTAATAATTTACACAAAGATTTAAACTCGTTGCTTATATATATTTATAAATGTGTGTGAATGAGGACAGATCAGTGACGTGTGTATTTCAAAAATATATATGTGTGTATGTTTATAAAAAGGAATATATATATGTATATCAGTGTCGAGGTACAAGTAGGGTGATGGAGAGGTGGTCACTCAGAAAATTGAGAGTTCCATTCACGCAACAACGCTTATAATCTTTATGCTTGTCATAAAATATATACAAGGCTGCGATCTCAACTTCAGTTTGTTCAAGTTCGTTGCTTCAAGTTAAACGTAACTTCTTTTTACTCGAATAAAGTTTTTTCGAAAAAAAAAAACAAAATAAATAAATAAAACATTTTTTTTCTCCGTTCTCTCAATATTTGGAATTTTGCAAAACGAAAAACCGGAAATTTTATATTTTTTTGATTTCAAATAAATTGATACCAAAAAGTTAATATAATTCAAACAAATTAATTAACAAAAAAAAATTGAATTAAAACAACAATATTTTTTTTTAAAGAAAATAAAATTGTGAAGAAAATAAATTTAAAGAAGAAAAGAAAAATAATAAAAAAAAGTAAAGAAACAAAATAAAATAAAGTAGAGAAAATAAATAGCGAAAAAAAAGTAAATCTTAAAATAGCAAAAACGAAATATCAAGGATTATTGTGTAATTAAATTAAATGTCAATTTGGAAATCATGAATTGTGGAATTTTATTTTTTTTTTTGATTCAATACCAAATTGGCAACAATATTAATTAGTAACAATTTTGGGAATATAATTAAAAAAGCAAAATTAATTTAAAAAAAGTATTGAAATTTTTCCGAAAAAAAAACTAAAACTTATTTTTTTAATTAATAGCGAATTAAAAAATTACAAAAAATAGTGAATTACTTTTTAAATAATAAAAACAAATATTAATTAAATAAAAATAAATTTCCCAACTGAATTTTTCGTTTATTCCAAAAAAAAAATTTTTATTTCTTCCAATAAATAAAAAAAAAATTGAAAAGTAGAAAAATAATTTGAAAAGTAGAAAAATAATTTGAAAAGTAAAAAAATAAATTTGAAAATAAAATGACAAATACGAATAAAAAATTCAAATAATAAATTAATTGAAAATGACAGTAAAAAAATTTTTTTGAAATAAATTACACGAAAAAAAATTACAAATTCTGAAAAAAAAATTACCGATTTGCATAATTTAACAATTTGAATAAATTTACAACAGAGAAAAAAAAAACATTAATTACAATAAATTTAGAAAATTCAAGAAAAATAGAGAAAAAATTAAAGGACATTAATAAATTTAAATAATTAATTAATAAAATTAATAAATTAATAAAATTAATAAATTAATAAAATTAAATAAAAATAAAATTTAAAAAAACTAGAAAATAAACTAAATACAAAACGAAATAAAAAAAAAACTACAATAAAGAACTAAGCTGAAAAGTTAAAAAAAAATAATTTAAATACACAATTGACATTAATAAAATAAATAATTATAAATCAATGAGATTAATAAAGAAATTAATAATTTAATTTATTATAAATTAATTAATATTTAATATTTAAAGAAGGAAAAATAAAAAAACACAAAATGAACGAAGTGGTGCTACCTGATTTACAATCGGTTCTACGTCAAGTTATGGGAAATGATTTAATTGTTGTGAATTTTTCAACTGAATTATTATTACCACCGGGTGAAAATTATGGTAGTACAATGTTATCAGTTGTGGCGGAAATAAAAAAAAATAATGCAAATAAAACAAAATCGGAACAATTATATTTAGTGGCAAAAATGTTACCGCCAACTGATTTTCAACGTGAAATGTTTGACAGTGGTTTTACATTTCGTAAGGAATGTTTTCTCTATACTGATATATTGCCACGTTATAAAAAATTGGAAATTGAATTTGGAATTAAAAAAAATGAAATTTTTGATATTGGCGCAAAATTTTATGGCGCAAAAATATCATCAAGTCCCGATATTGATTTTGATGAAGACGCTGTTATTTTATTGGAAAATTTAAAAGTTCGTGGATATTACACTGGCGACAGAAAATTAGGTATTATTATTATTATTATTGTTGTAATTATTATTATCATTGTTCATTATTATCATTATTGTTATAATTATTATTAATATTTATTATTTTTTATATTTTATATTATTTTTTTTTATCCTTTTTTGTTATTATTACTTAAGTGTAGATAAAAAAAAATTACTGAATCATTACAGCGGTGTGGATTAGATTATGAAATTGCAAAAAATAAATGTGACAAGATAAAAAAAAAAAAACCTCGTTTCCGGTATTATGGTAATAATTATATATTATATTTGTTTCGAATCTAAATTACATAGTCGTTACTTTTTCAGAAAAATTAATAAGAATAATATTTTAGCTTTTCTTTTGGCAAAAATATTATAATTATCCCAATTTTGTATTAAATTTTATTTCAAATTGAAAGAGAGATAAAAATATTTTCAATTTTATCAAAAATAATTAATTTGACATTGTTTTTTAAATTTTGGAAAATTCGCAGCTCTCTTTTTTTTCGATAAATAACAATTGAATAAATAAGATAAAGATTTAAAATAAAAAATTGTAATATATATATATATATATATATATAGAGGTAAATAAAGAAAAATTATAAGATATAAAGATAAATAATAAATTTTATAAATAAAAAAAATATAAGTTAAAGATAAATGAAAAATAAATAAATAAATAAAATAAGAATAGAAAAATTATAAAATAAAATACTGAAAAAAATTGTAATTAATTTTCTTATGACTTTGCAGTCTCTAAAATAAATTTTATTATTCATCATTCAATATTATTCTGATGATTCTGCGTAATTGTATAGATAGAATAACACCATTTTTTTTTTACTATTTCGCATCTAATCGCTAAGAATGATTGTGCATTTAAATTAAATTAAACCAACTTTACTATGATTTCAAAATTACGTTTCTTCATTAAATTGACATTATGATCGAGTTTAAAAATAAATAAAACCGACATTAATTCTAAATTATTATTTCAATTCAAAAAATATATAATTTTGTAATAAAAAAAAATTGTATCTAAAATATTAATAATAATATTATTAATTATTATTATTATAATTAATAATAACAGGCCTCGGATCGACTTTAAGGCACAAAAAAAAGTCGTTTTAGTTGATTTATATTCCAAAATAAGATCGAAAAAGTCGATTTTTTTTATTTTAATAAAATTTAATTGGTTAATAAATATTTTACTTTAAATATTTTTACTTAAAAATATTATCAAGAAAATGTATTTCGTGTATTTCCGAATCGAATTAATTGTAAGACAAATTTTCAAAATTTTATTTAAATAGGAGAAATATAAAAAAAAATTCTTAAAGTTCCATTTTTATAATTTTTTCAAGTCGTGATTTAAGCAATTTATTCGAATTAAAAATTTTGTCATAGTTTTTAGTTTTGATGGTAAAAAAAAATTTCAGGCAATACTTAATCAAGTTTTAGAAATTTTTAACTAAAATTTTTTTTTTAATTAATAATTTTGGATATGAGTTAATTTTGAAATTTTTAGAAATAATTGAATTTTAAAAGATTTTTTGTTAATTTTCAGAAAATAATTAAATTTTACAGAATGAAAAATAATTTATCAAATTATAATTTTTGGATAAAATTTTTTAAAAGTAATTGAATTTTCAAAGATTTAGAATTTTGATTTTTGAAATTAATTGAACTTCAAGTGATTTTTAATTTTAAATTTTTGATGATTTCTGTTAGTAAAAAAATTTATTATAAATTGCAGACAAAAATAATAATAATTTGGAATTTTGTTAAGTGAAAAATAGTATCAGTTAGTTGAATTTTCGAAGAATATTATAAAAATCATTAAAAATAATTGAATTTGTAAAGATTTTGTAAAATTTCAGATAAATATTTAAATTTTACGGAATTGCAAATAATTTATCAAATAATTTTAGATAATCTTTTTTCAAAATAATTTATATTTCAATTTCAATTAATTTTAAATTGAAATTTTTTGAAAAATAATTTGAATTTCAAATGATATTGAACTGAAATTTTGGAAAATAATTGAATTTCAGTTGATTTTGAATTGCAAATTTTGAAAATAATTAAATTTTAATTTGATTATGAATTAAAATTTTGGAAAATAATTGAATTTCAAAATATTCTGTTAAATTTCGGACAATAATAATAATAATAAGAGAAATTTTTAATGATTTCTGTTGATGAAGAATTTATTAGAAATCACATAAAAAAATTGAATTCCAAAATAGTTTTTAATTGAAAAATGCTTTCAAATAATTGAATTTTCAAAAATTATAAAAATCATTAAAAATAATTGAAAGTTTTTGCAAATAATTAAATTTCAATTGATTTTAAATTAAAATTTTTTGAAAAATAATTGAATTTTAGTTGATATTGAATTGGAATTTTGGAAAATAATTGAATTTTAAAATTGAAATTTTTAGAAATAATTAAATTTTAGAAGCTTTTAAATTGAAATTTTTGAAAATAATTTAATTTCAAAATATTCTGTTAAATTTCGAACAATAATAATAATAATAAGAGAAATTTTTAATGATTTCTGTTGATGAAGAATTTATTAAAAATCACATTAAAAAATTGAATTCTAAAATAGTTTTTAATTGAAAAATGCTTTCAAATAATTGAATTTTCGAATATTATAAAAATCATTAAAAATAATTGAATTTTAGTTGATTTTCAATTGAAAATTTTGAAAATAATTAAATTTTAGTTGATTTTGAATTGAAATTTTAGGAAATAATTGAATTTTAAAAAATTTTAAAATTGAAATTTTTAGAAATAATTGAATTTCAAAAGATTTTGTTAATTTTCAGACAATAATTAAATTTTACAGATTATAATTGAAATTATTAAATTTCAAATAATTTTAGATGGCAAATTTTTAGAAATAATTAAATTTTAGAAGCTTTTAAATTGAAATTTTTGAAAATAATTGAATTTCAAAATATTCTGTTAAATTTCGGACAATAATAATAATAATAATAAGAGAAATTTTTAATGATTTCTGTTGATGAAGAATTTATTAGAAATCACATTAAAAAATTGAATTCTAAAATAATTTTTAACTGAAAAATGCTTTCAAATAATTGAATTTTCAAATATTATAAAAATCATTAAAAATAATTGAAATTTTTTGCAAATAATTAAATTTCAATTGATTTTTTATTGAAATTTTATGAAAAATAATTGAATTTCAAATGATATTGAATTGAAATTTTGGAAAATAATTGATTTTTAGTTGGTTTTGAATTAAAAGTTTTGAAAATAATTAAATTTTAGTTAATGTTGAATTGAAATATTGGAAAGTAATTGAATTTTAAAAGATTTTAAAATTGAAATTTTTAGAAATAATTGAATTTCAAAAGATTTTGTTAATTTTCATAAAATAATTAAATTTTACAGATTATAATTGAAATTATTAAATTTCAAATAATTTTAGATGGCAAATTTTTAGAAATAATTAAATTTTAGAAGCTTTTAAATTGAAAATTTTGAAAATAATTGAATTTCAAAATATTCTGTTAAATTTCGGACAATAATAATAATAATAATAATAATAAGAGAAATTTTTTTTTTAAATTTCACAAAAATTTTAATTTGAAAAATAGTTTAAGATAATTTAATTTGTGAAGAATTTCATTAAAATTATTAAAAAATAATTAATTTAGTGAAGAATTTTTGTTAAAAATTTGTTAAATAATTGAAATAAAGTAGATCTGCATTGTATACTAAAAAATGTATTTTGTTTAAAAATTCTGTAAAAAAAATTGTAAAAAAAAAAGTCGACAAAGCCGTATTTTATTAAAATAAGTCGAAAAAAGTCGTATAATCCGAGGCCTGCATTATTGAATCAAAAAAAAAAAATGTACGAAAATCAATTAAAAATAAAAAAAAAAAAATTGAATACATACCTTCAAAAAAAAAGTCCTCTTCTCAATCATCCAAAAATTCAATTTTTTTTCTCTAATTAAAAAATTCATTTCCAGGACTCGATTTAGAGCACTCAATGATGGCAATAAAAGCAATGGCCAAATTTCATGCACTTGGAATGGTAATGAAATACAAATATCCTGAGGAATTTCAACATCTCAAAGAACGATGTAAATGTTTAAAATTAAATCCCGAGGCATTTGAAGATATGAAAGATTCCTTTATGGATACAATTCGTCAAGATTCAGTGATGGGTAAATATACGGATAAAATATTCCCCCTTCTTGAGGCAAACACTGACAATTGGACGGGTACACCAAATGAACCATGGTCAACAATAATACACGCCGATTTTTGGGTGAATAATATGATGTTTCACAAGAATTCCAATCAAAATGTTGACGATATAAAATTTGTTGATTTTCAAAATTATCTCTTTCAAAATCCAATAAATGAATTAATATTTTTCATTGGCGCCAGTATACAAACAGATTTAATTGCCAATAATTTGGATCGACTTTTAAATTTTTATTACGATTCATTTATTAATATAATGACAACAATGAATTGTGATATCAGTGAATTTAGTCGTGATAATTTTCATGAGAGAATTAAAATTGATGCACATAAAGAATTTAGTCATTGTGCATTTATATTGAAAATATTGACAATTGACATTGAAACTGATGGTGTTGAGGCGACAAAATTGGAAACAATGGAATTTGGCAGTGCAAATCCACGTTTTTATAATAGAATGCGACAACTTGTTTTGATTTTCATTGATAAAGAATGGATTTGAAGTGTCATTTTGTTTTTCGTTGATAGCTGAAATAAAATTTTGTTAGAATTAGCAAAAAAGATAAACAATTTTTTTTTGTTTTACAATATTAAAAGTTTTAATTCGATTTTTCTTTTTTACTGTCAATTTATTTTAAATTTTAATAAAAAAAATTGTGTAAAATTTACAACAAGAAAAAAACTGGAGAAAATATACAAAAACCTCCAAAAAAAAAATTATAATTTTTTCAATATTATTTATTTATTTATTTATTAAATCGAATTAAAAACGAAATTTTAGTTAATGTATAACAAATTTTAGAAATTTTACAAAAAAAAATAAAGTGTTATTTTTTAATAACTTTTTTAAAACAAAAAAGAATTTCTCCTTTATATATGAATTTTGTGAAAAAATATTTTAAATAATCAAAAAAAAAAAAAAAACAATTGAAATTAAGTAATCGTAAAAAAAATGCTTTTCGACCTTATAAACAAACAGATAAGAATATTGTTATATTTATGAATTATTTTATTTTTAAATTCACCAAAATATACTGAAAGTCATAAATAAACATGAAAAAAAATAAATAAGAATGAAAAAAGAACAATTGATATAAATATTAGATAACAAAAATTTGTAAATAAAAAATTATATAAAACTGATTTGCACTTTAATCAATTAAAAAAAATATTTAATATTTGATTACGCTATTATGATAATAATGATAATAATTATAAAAATCACAATAATATCATAAATAAAATCTTATCAAAAAGTCTTGATTGTACAAATATAGGAGATAAATTTCTCACCTATATTTATTTTGATAAAAGAGAAAAAATGTTACTTTTTTTTATATATTGAATATATTTATAATTTTTAAAAAGAAGTTAATTTTTAAAAAAATATTTATTTTAGAGTCTAAAAGGTGCTTATTACTTTTTTTTTTTTAAAAAGATTTTTATATATGCTTACAAAAATGTAGAATAATAGTAATAGTAAATAATAACAATAATAAAAATAAAAATAATAAGTAATAATATTAATAATATTGTAATAGTTATAATATTAATAATAACTAATAATAATAAAATAATTAAAAAGAAATGATTTCAATTTTTCGTAATATTATTAATATTTATTTTTTTTTCATTCATGATTACTTGAGAGAATTTTCATTATTATTATTATTATTATTATTATTATTATTATTATTATTAAACTGAAAAAACAGAATTTAATGATTAATAATTACAATTATTATTATTATTGTTATTAAACTGAAAAAAAATTTAAAAAAATAAAAAATTGTTGTAAAATTGAAAAATTCAAATTAATTTTCAATTTTTTTTTGTATATTTGCCTTTTCGAATATTATATTTCGAGAAAAAAAAATGTTTTCATTTCTAGACCTAAGATTTTTGCGAATATTGTAAATAATTTAGAAATAAGAATAAAAAGAACTTAAAAATTTTCAAATGAATCAATTTTCAATATATTCTATACATTTTTATATTTATATAATTATATATATAAGTATATACAAAATTTTGTTAAAAACTAATTATTTAACAACAAAAAAAATTCATTATTTTACTAGATTATAATTTTTTTTTTTGTATTATACAAAATTCAAAAAGATCTCCTAAAACTCTGAATTATTAGTCACAATTTTTTTTCAAAATTCCTCGAAATTTTTTTTCTCATAAAAAATTAAAAAAATTTTAGTATTAGAATTAAAAAAAAAAAAAATTCCATTGATAAAAAAAAGGGAATTTCAAATTTGGAAAAAATTTTCTTTTTTTCCTACTAATCGGTATTTAATTTTAAATTATTTTCTCATTTTTCTGGAAAACAAGAAATAAAATAAAAAAAAAGAGAACACGTTACCTAATTTTTCTTTGTTCTTGTAATTTTTGGAACTTTTCGATTTCGATTACGATTTTTTACATTCGATACCTCATAGAAATTGCTACCAATTTTCTTTCGTTTATTCGCTCTCTCAAGTGCTCGTCTTTCTTTACTTGTCTTCTTATTTTTTTCATTTACATTAACATTCGAAACTGCAAAAGTGCCGCTACTCGATTTTGTTTTTCCATCAAATAATTCACTATCACTCGAATCAATTTCCTCCTTTTCCATTAAATCGTAAACATTTACATTTAAAGTATCTTCTTCAAATGGAATAATATCCGCATCCGAATCATCGTCATTATTTTTCTCCTTTTCAATTTTTCCTATTTTCTCAATTTCGGTTTCGTTTTCGTTTTCATTTTCATTTTCGTCTTCGCTGTCCTCGCCGATATCAGAAGCACAAGGCGTTTGAACGTAACTATTATTCTCATCCTTCTCCTCTTCCTCTTCCTCGAAATCTTTTCTCATATCTTCGCGCGAAAATGGAAGAATAACGCGAATTTTTTTGAAATCCTGTAAAACTTTTAAATTCTCAGTTTTTTTCTTCTCCTCCGTTTTTGTCTCCTCAGTTTCATTATTTTCAATAATTTCCTCCGCATCCAATTTTTTTGGCAAAGGCTCCTCAAAGCCCTTAGGCACAACATAAAATGGCAATTTACCCCTTTGCCAATCGTTTAATATCATTTTAGCCGCCGTCGATATATCGGGTTCACCTTTTTTCAACAATTTCCCAGCTCTACGCGCATATTTCTCAAGAAAATCAACATGATCCGTCCATTCATCGATTTTATAAGTTTTCCTTATATATTCATTTTTAACACGTTCAAGAACACTGCCAATATAATCCTCAGGACATTGTATTAATTCAACACGAACAACACCTTTTAAAACTTTTTCAGTATCAGTTTCAGCCGATGGATAAACAACACCGGGACAATCAACTAAATAAATACGTTTCATTAATGTAACATATTGCCATACTTTTGTTTCGCCAGCAATTGGTGCAACTTTACAAACTTTTTTTGAACGTAATGTATTTATTATTGAACTTTTACCAGTATTTGGATAGCCAATTAAACCAACACTTATTTGTTTACGATCAATATGTAATTTACTAAATTGACGAAGAAGATTTATCAATGAACCCTTACCAAAGGGATGTGTCATTGATGCATGAAATGCAATTGTTGGATATTCTGATGAGAGAATTGCAACCCAACGTTGTGTCACCCAATTTGGTACGAGATCAACTTTATTGAGAATGAAAATTAAATGTTTATGGGCTTTTTCTGTTTTTATGTATTTTTCCACTGGCGGCGAACGTGTACCCATTGGATCACGTGCGTCAAGAACCTGAATCAAAAAAAAAAAAAAAACAAACATGGTAAGAAAATATTTGGGTTTTTTGAAATTTTGTAAAATTCTCCAGATATGAGAATAAAGTTTTTTTTTTTTAGTAAAATAGAAAGCTATTACAAATATAAAAAAACGCGATTTTGTACTATATTTCGGTTTTTTTTCCCACACAATTTGGATGAATTAAATTTTGGAAATTTTTAAAATTAAAACAATAAAAAAAAAATTGGGTATTTTGAAAATTGAACACTTAAAATTTGGGAAAATTAAAAATTTGGATTATTTGAAACTAAAATCAATTAAAAATTTAGATAATTTCAAATTGAAATTAATTAATAGTTGGACAAAAGAAAAATTCGGTTAATTTAAAATTTAAATCAATTAAAATTAGGGAAAATTTAAATTCGGATAATTAGAAACTAAAATAAATGAAAAATTCTGATAATTTAAAAATTGAAATTAACTAAAATTTAAACAAACGGAATTCCGGACAATTAAAAATTTTATTCAATTAAAATTAGGGAAAATTAAAATTCGAATAATTTTGAAATTAAAATCAATTAAAAATTCAAATAATTTCAAATTGAAATTAATTAATAGTTGGACAAAAGAAAAATTTGGTTAATTTAAAATTTAAATCAATTAAAATTAGGGAAAATTGAAATTCGAATAATTTTGAAATTAAAATCAATGAAAAATTCTGATAATTAAAAAATTGAAATTAACTAAAATTTAAACAAACTAAATTCCGGACAATTAAAATTTTTAAATCAATTAACATTAGGGAAAATTGAAATTCAGATAATTTTGAAACTAAAATTAATTAAAATTAAAATTCAGATAATTTAAAACTAAAATTAATTAAAATTTGGAAAAAACTAAAAATTCGGATAATTTAAAACAATTAAAATTTGGACAAATTGAAATTCGAATAATAAAAAAGTTAAATCAATTAGAAAACTAAATAATTTGAAACTTAAATCAATTAAAATTTAGATTATATTTTAAATTTAGATAATTTTAAACTGAAATAAAATAAAATTTAGACAAATTGAAATTCACATGATTTCAAATCTAAAATCATTGAAATTTTGAATAAATTGAAACTTAAATTAATTTATAATTTTACAAATTGAAATTCAGATAATTTGAAAATTAAATCAATTGACAATATTACAAATTAAAATTCAAATATTTTGAAACTTAAATTAATTAAAATTTGAACGAATTAAAATTTGAATAATTAAAAATTTTAATCAACTAAAATTTAGATAAATTGAAACTTAAATTAATTAATAATTTTACAAATTGAAATTCAAATAATTTGAAAATTAAAGCAATTAACAATTTTGCAATATTGAAATTCCATTAATTTGAAAATTAAAGTAATTAAAAATTTTACAAAATTGAAATTTGATTAATTTGAAATTCAAATCAATTAAATTTTGGACGAATTAAAATTCATGTAATAATTTAAAATATTAAAATGAACGAAAAATTTTACTACTTTTTTATAATTCTGAATTGTATTATAAAAAATATTTTGTTTTCTCTATCCAAAAATAAATTAATAATTTAATGTAATTAATTAATTATTAATAATCAATTAAATTTATTTATTTATTTATTTACACAATGTCCCGCGGTAATTAATAATTAATTTAATTAATTACAGGCTTCGGATCGACTTTAAGGCACAAAAAAAGTCGAAAAAGTCGATTTTTTTTATTTTAACAAAAATTTAATCGGTTAATGAATATTTTACTTTAAATAACTAATCAGATATTAAATTCATTTTATTAATTCTCTAATGAGAATAATTCTATAAAAATATTATCATGAAAATTTATTTCGAATATTTCCCAATCGAATTAATTGTAAGACAAATTTTCAAAAATTTATTTAAATAGGACAAATTTAAAAAAAAAATTCTTAAACTTCCATTTTTATAATTTTTTCAAGTCGTGATTTAAGCAATTTATTAGAATTAAAAATTTTGTCATAGTTTTTAGTTTTGATGGCCAAAAAAAATTTCAGGCAATACTTAATCAAGTTTTAGAGATTTTAAACTAAAAATTTTTTTTTAAATAATAATTTTGGAAGAGTTAATTTTGAAATTTTTAGAAATAATTGAATTTCAAAAGATTTTTGTTAATTTTCAGACAATAATTAAATTTTACAGAACTAAAAATAATTTATCAAATTATAATTTTTGGATAAAATTTTTTAAAAGTAATTGAATTTTCAAAGATTTAGAATTTTTATTTTTGATATTAATTGACCTTCAAGTGATTTTTAATTTTAAATTTTTGATGATTTCTGTTGGTAAAAAAATTTATTATAAATTGCAGACAAAAATATAATAATTTGGAATTTTGTTAAGTGAAAAATAGTTTCATTTAGTTGAATTTTTGAAGAATATTATAAAAATCATTAAAAATAATTAAATTTGGAAAGATTTTGTTAAATTTCAGATAAATATTTAAATTTTACGGAATTGCAAATAATTTATCAAATAATTTTAGATAATCTTTTTTCAAAATAATTTTAAATTTCAATTTCAATTGATTTTTTATTGAATTTTTTTGAAAAATAATTGAATTATAAATGATATTGAATTGAAATTTTGGAAAATAATTGAATTTTAGTTGATTTTGAATTGAAAATTTTGAAAATAAATAAATAAAAATGCTTTTCAGTGAATTAAATTTTCGAAGAATATTATAAAAATCATTAAAAAATAATTGAAATTTTTTGCAAATAATTAAATTTCAATTGATTATTTATTGAATTTTTTTAAAAAAAATTGAAGTTCAAATGATATTGAATTGAAATTTTGGAAAATAATTGAATTTTAGTTGATTTTGAATTGAAAATTTTTGAAAATAATTAAATTTTAGTTGATTTTGAATTGAAATTTTAGAAAATAATTGAATTTTAAAAGATTTTAAAATTGAAATTTTTAGAAATAATTAAATTTCAAAAGATTTTGTTAATTTTCATAAAATAATTAAATTTTACAGATTATAATTGAAATTATTAAATTTCAAATAATTTTAGATGGAAATTTTTTAGAAATAATTAAATTTTAGAAGCTTTTAAATTGAAATTTTTGAAAATAATTGAATTTCAAAATATTCTGTTAAATTTCGAACAACAATAATAATAATAAGAGAAATTTTTAATGATTTCTGTTGATGAAGAATTTATTAGAAATCACATAAAAAAAATTGAATTCCAAAATAGTTTTAAATTGAAAAATGCTTTCAAATAATTGAATTTTCAAATATTATAAAAATCATTAAAAAATAATTGAAATTTTTTGCAAATAATTAAATTTCAAGTGATTTTGAATTAAAGATTTTTTGGCAATTTTATTTGCTAATTTTTTTTTTGAAATTATAAACAATTATTAAATTTCACAAAAATTTTAATTTGAAAAATAGTTTAAGATAATTGAATTTGTGAAGAATTTCATTAAAATTATTAAAAAATAATTAAATTAGTGAAGAATTTTTGTTAAAAATTTGTTAAATAATTGAAATAAAGAAAATTTAAAGAAGATCTGCATTGTATACTAAAAAAAATAGTATTTAGTTTAAAAATTTTTTCGAAAAAAAATGCAAAAAAAAGTCGAAAAAGTCGAAGTTTTTCAAATAAGACGAAAAAAGTCGGAAAAAGTCGAGAAAGCGTAAAATCCGAGGCCTGTAATTTTCAAAAAAAAAGAAAATTATTTCATTCATTTTAAACGTTCAGATCGTTAAAGCATATTTAAATTAAGAAAAAAAATTTGTCGTTAAAGCACATTTAAATTAAATTAAAAAAAATAAATAAATAAATTTGTCCCATACCTGCAATACAACATCCGATGAATCAATAACTTTATAAAGTTCATTCCAAATTCGTCTACTTTGTCCAGCACCCATTACCCAATCTCTTTGCGCTTCCTTCATTCCCGTATCGGGACGTATCAAATCATAATCACAAGTATCTTTTTTCTTTTCATAATTTTCAAAATCCTCCTCAGCTTTTTTCATTAATTCATCAATTGACGATATATTTAAATTAGGACGTTTTCTCTGTTTTTTAGGACCAAATACACTTGCATAACTTTCTGTTTCTAAAATATGTACTCTCGATTTTTCCGCTTTTTCCTGCAATAATGTCACTGGCAATTGTGATGGTTTTATTATAACTTGATAGGGATTTTTTCTCACTATTCCCAATTCTTTTTGAAAATTTTGCAATGCATTTTGTGTTATTACACGTGAATTACTAAACCATCTTTGCGATGGTTCAACACGTGACATTGTACCCGATGGTACACGTCCTTGAAATGGCGCGGGACTTATTATTTTACCAGTTTTATCACGTTTTGCTTTTGAATTACGATACATTTGTAAACGTTTTATTGTCCCTTTTGTACGTACTTTTGCAACACCTTTTAAGCCCTCGGTCGATCGTTCTGGATTCATACTGTGACCAGAACGATTGAAACCCTGCTTTCGCGGTGGTTTATGGCCTGAATGTGATTTCGCCATTTTTGCTGGAAAAAAAAGAGAAATTTTTTTTTAATATTAATTAATTAAATAAATGGCAAGGTTAATTAAAAAACACAGGGTGTCTACTAAAAATTTAAATTAAAATTCCAGGACTTTTCAGGACAAATTTCTTGTTTTTCCAGGACATTAAATTGGATGACTTTAAGGATGAAAAAAATTTTTAGTTTAACTATTGTTTTCAGAAATTATTAAAAAATTAATTAATTACTTAAGTAAATTTTCATTTTACTTATTTAATGAATTTTTTTTTAACTCGATTGACAAAATTAGAAATTTTTGAAAATTTAAAAGCAAAATATAAAAAATTCAAGGACAAAAATTTAAATTCCAGGACTTTCAAGGACATTCCAGGACATTTTTTCAAGTTCCAGGACATTTCCAGGACTTCCAGGACTAGTAGACACCCTGAAATAATATTGAAATCCGATTTTTTTCGGTTTAAATCTGATTTTTTTTTAAAATTTCTATTTACTTTAATACCATTTATCGAAAAATAATTTCTAAATTGTTTTTTTTTTTTTTTAAAAAAATATTCAAACAATAAATTTAATAATAAAAACATTACAGGTCTCGGATCGACTTGAAGGCACAAAAAAAGTCGTTTTAGTCGATTTATATTCCAGAAAAAGTCGATTTTTTTTATTTTAACAAAAATATTTTACAGATTTTTAAAAAAATTTTTTTTTTTTTTTTGTAAAATCCAAATATTTTGTTAATTTTCAGACAATAATTAAATTTTACAGAACTAAAAATAATTTATCAAATAATTTTTAGATAACATTTTTTAAATGTAATTAAATTTTCAAAGATTTTTGAAATTAATTGAACTTCAAGTGATTTTTATTAAAAATTTTTTTTTTGATGATTTCACTAAAAAAAATTATAAGAAATTGCGCACAAAAGTACAATAATTTGAAAATTATTTTTAATTGAAAAATGCTTTCAGATAGTTGAATTTTCAAAAGAATATTACAAAAATAGTTGAAAATAATTCAATTTTCTTAGAGTTATAATTGAAATTATTAAATTTCAAAAAGAAAATTTCGATGGAAAATTTTTAGAAATAATTAAAATTTATAGAAGCTTTTAAATTCCAAATTTTTGAAAATAATTGAATTTTAATTGAAATTTTGGATAATAATTCAATTTTAGTTGATATTTGATTGAAAATTTTGATAATAATTAATTTTGAACTGAAATTTTTGAGAATAATTAAATATTAAAAGATTTTGAATTAAAAATTTGGAAAATAATTGAATTTTAAAAAATTTTGAATTGAAATTTTGGAAAATAATTGAATTTCAATTGAAATTTTGTATAAAAATTTAATTTTAGTTCATTTTTGATTGAAAATTTTGATAATAATTAATTTTTAATTTAAATTTTTGAGAATAATTAAATTTTAAAAGATTTTGAATTAAGGTATCACATCGGCACTAATCGGAGTCAAAAGTTTGTAGCTCGCATTACTACTTCCCGCAGTATACTTTCGCCCTCAACTCCCTATACTCTCAGCCCATACTGTACCTACTTCTACAAATACACTCGTACACGTATACCCCACACTAGCAGCGATTGGAAGGAGTAGGAGGTTTGACAACGTCGCTATAAGTCTCGCTTTGACTACTGTGGACTACTGTCTCTCTCTAACTAATGTTACCATCCTGCGATGTTGCCACATCAAAGTGGCGGGTGTGCTATATATTGCAAATGACGTCATGAAATAGAATTTTTAATTTATAATTACAAATAAACGGCACGGTAAATTATAAATTTCTTTGTATATTTTAGTTCCAAATTTATTCCTGAATTCAACATTAGTTTTTGAAAAAAATTTATAGAAAACTTCTGATGATATTTATGAAAATGTACTTCTCCCCCATACATTAGTCCCGTCTCCCATGCAAAATAAGCAACTTTGATTGCTAATATCTCTGGTTTTGTACGGGGAAAATTCTTCATATTTTGCAAATTTGTCAAGAATGATAATAAGAACATATGGTAAAATTTTAAAGAAAATCTATAGAAAACGGTTTTACCGATGTGATACCTTAAAAATTTGGAAAATAATTGAATTTTAAAAAATTTTGAATTCAAATTTTGGAAAATAATTGAATTTCAATTGAAATTTTGTATAATAATTTAATTTTAGTTCATTTTAAATTGAAATTTTCGATAATAATTAAATTTTAATTGATTTTGAATTGAAATTTTGGGTAATAATTGAATTTTAGTTGATTTTAATATAAAATTTTTTAAAAGAATTAAATTTTTTTTGATTTTGAATTGATTTATGATTTTGAATTAAAATTTTTTATTAATTTTATTTGATACTATTTTTTAAATTATTAACAATTGTTAAATTTCATAAAAATTTTAATTGAGAAATAATTTGAAATAATTTAATTTGTAATGAATTTCATTAAAATTATTAAAAATAATTAATTTAGTAAAGAATTTTAGTTAAAAATTGGTTAAATAATTGAAATAAAGAAGATTTGCATTTTATATACTAAAAAAAATATATTTTATTAAAAATTTTTTTTTTTAAATGTAAAAAAAGTCGATATTGTCGCATTTTATTGAAATAAGTCGAAAAAAGTCGTAGTTTTGAAAAAAAAGTCGGAAATAGTCGAAAAAGTCGTATAATCCGAAGCCTAACGTTAAAGAAATATTTATATTTTTATCCAAAGAAAATAATAGTTTTGAATTAAAAATCAAAATTTTTGTATAATAATAATTAATTATTTTCAAAAATGTTTTTTATTTGTGCACATTTCAATTTATTTGTTAATTATTTGAATTTTAATCTCTTTAATTTTGGTTAAATTAAAGTGGTTTGGTTGGTTCATTAAATAAATAAATAAATAAATTATCCAAATTTTAATTTGTCCAAATTTTAATTGATTTCATTTTTTTAATTATTTAAATTTTAATTCAATCAAGTTTCAAATTATCCGAATTTGAATTTTTACAAATTTTAATTAATTCAAGCTTTAAAATTATCAGAATATGAATTTTTTTTAAAATTTTAATTGATTTCAGTTTCAAATTATTTCAATTTTTGATTGATTCAAATTTTGAATTATCCGATTTTGAATTTTTTCAATATTTTAATTGATTTAAATTTCAAATTATTTCAATTTCAATTTGTTTAAATTTTAATTTAGGACAAACAAATACAAATAAAAAAAAAAATACAAAATACAAAAAAAATACATAAAACAAAATATTTCAACAATAAATTTAATAATAAAAGCATCAAAGAAAAATATTTATATTTTTATCCAAAATATTTTTAAAAAATCGTGTTTACTTTTCGAAAAATTTAATATTATTGCGTTTTTAAAATAATTTAATTTTTCAATTGTTAATAAATTAATTAATTTGAGTGAACCATTAAATTACGTGAGTTTCAAAAAAAAAAAAAACAAAATCGAAATAAAAATAGATTTATAACTTTTATAGGTTATGTTGACATGTCGAAAATCGTGTTTCTAATACTTAAAAAAAATTTGAAAATGCAGACAATAATAAATAATTAAAAAAAATGATAAAGTACAAATAAATTAATAATTCGCTAAGAATATATTTAAAGATTTTATCGGAAAAGAAAAGTGTTATTTTGAACAATATTAGAAACAATAAACAATGAAAGAAACAGCAAAAAAATTTACGTACATACAATGAGAATAGTAAAAACAATATTAAATAAGCATATTTACCTTTTTAAAGCACTTGTTTTGCAAAACTAAATATACACTACAATAATAAATATAAATAATAAACTTTCTTATTATACAGATAAACTATACAAGTAAAACGTGGAAACACTTGCAATAAACAACAGCACGAAAAAACACGTGCTGTCCGTCAAAACCGGAAAGTTGGAACATTAGTTGACGTTTTCCGGTGTTGACTTGACTTCAGTGGTTATGAACTGCGTCTATTGGTCGAAAAAAAACGCGCCTTTATTTAAATCGATATGTTTAAAAAAATTCCATTTTTTCAGAGTTATTTTATTTATTATTAAATTGTTTCAATTATAGTATAACTAATTATTATAATTATATTATTACAATTATATTATAATATAATTTTATTATTATTTAATTATATTATAATTTATATAGCCTACAAAAGTCCATAAACAATTGTATAAAAAAAAAAATTGTTCATTTCAAATAAATGCGCGCATTATTTTGTCCGCGGTAATTAAAAAATTTAAAAATAATCAAACAACAGTTTTTGAAGTGTAAATAAATAAATTAATAAATAAATTAATAAATAAACATAAGAATTATGATTTTCGTGAAAAATACACAATATAAAATTTAAAAAAAACATTATTTTATTAAAATTTTCATTTGTGAAAAAGAAAGAAAATTTTTAGGTTATGTCATTCGAAAAATTTAATCCAAAAAGAAATAGTGTAATTAAAATTTTTTAAATTAATTTTTACATAATAAAAAAGAGAAAGAAATATCTGAAAGAGAAGAAAAAAAAATCAGCGAATCTGAAAAAAAAAACAGGAGGAGCAAAATTTGGTATATAATTAATTTTATATCAATTATTTATTTTTTCCATACAAATTATAAACATGTTTTTCAAATACTGTACATATACTGAGTTCTATTATATATTTTTAAACCTCTAATTTAATGATATATCATTTTTCAATTTACTCGTTTTTTTCATTTTTTTTTTTTTTTTAAATCAACTACTTTGATCCTCATTTTCGTTTCATTTATAATAATGATAACATAATATACAGGTATAAGGTTTCTCGTATCTTTTTTTTCTCTTTTTTTTTTTAACCTTCGCAACTCGACTTCATTTTTTTTCGTTTTTCGTCAAAAAATTCTGATCAAGCTCAATTTCTTTTTTTTTTTTCTTTTTTTTTCTTTGATATGACAATTCGTGGATATGGACTTAAAAATTAAAATATTTTAAACAATTTACAAAAAAGAACATTTCGAAAAAATATAATTATTATAATTATATTTTATAATTATAATAGTTAAATAATAATAATAAAAAAAAAAAATTATACATATATAGATTAGGGACTGAAATTTTTTTTTTCTACACAATTTTTTCATTCACATATATATAGATAAAAGACAATTTTTTTTTTTCGAAGTCATTTCATAGATTTAAAATATTTCTCCACACACATATATTTTTTTTATATATATATATATATATTTTTTTTTCTTATCACAATAAAATTCTAATGTCCCTAAATCATCACATTTTCACGATTAAAATTAATAAAAATTTCAGTCACTAATCTTTTTTTTTTGTATAATATTAATTTTGTATCGATTTCAAAAAAATTTCGAGTTTTTTGTTTTTGAAAAAAAAAATATTTTTTTGCGCAAAAATTAACATTTTTTTTTTTAATTTCTCGTGTTTTTTATATATTTTTTTAAAATTTCTCAAGAATTAAAAAAAATTTTTTAATTTAATTTTAAGCAAAAAATAGTTTTTTCTCAAAAATTAAAACTTTTTTTTTTTTTAAAAAGGAAAATGAAATAATACAAAATTTAAATGGAACTTGAACAAAATTATTTCATTGAATAAAAAAAAAAAAATTCAAGAAATATGTGTTGCAGATTTTAAACTTGTGTTACAATGCGAGCCATTATTTTATTTTTTCTCTTTGGAAACAAAAAAAAAAAAAAAAAAAAAAATTGACAAACCTATGCCCATTCCATTTCTTTTTTTTTTGTTTTTTTTTTTACAATTCTGTTCTTTTTTTTTTTTTTTGTCGGTTCTCGATTTTTTGTCGATATTATCATCAATATAGAGTGAGAGAGTACTATTTTTCTATCTTCACAGAAGACATAGATAAATATATATTTTCATAATCTTTTTTTTTTTTTTTTTTTTTTTTCCTTATAAATGTAATTCGCTTACTTTTAAAATCATTACTCGTTTATTTTTATTTTTTTTTCCTTCTTTTTAAATGTTAATAATAATAATATTAGTGTCGGTGCTCATATATATATATATATTTTTTTTCCCCGATGAAATTTCTTTTTTTTTTTTGCTCTTTCCTATTTATACTTTCGCAAATGGAGAACATATACAATAATAATAATAATTAAAGTGAAGTGAATTTTGTTCGAATGGATTTTTTTCTTTTTTTTTTAATGGCTATTCTCTTCGAATGCGCGCATTTTGGTGTTTACTCGTGTATATGTGTTTGAGTGTATCTATATATATATATATATATACGAACAAAAAAAAAAATACAAATTAAAAAAATTAATGATAAAAAAAAATCCAGGAGCTGCTAATTATTTTTTTTTTTTTTGCCTGGAAACGTTACCGATATCTTAAGTAACTCTTATTATAGAGATCATTCTGAGTAATCGATTCCTGCGCAATTTATCTTTTGATTTGAAAAAAGAAAAATTTTTATTTCATTGAATTTTTCGAATATATAATTGAGATTTGAGAGAAAAAAAAAATTTTTAGTTACGAAAAAAAATTATTTCTATATTGAAAATAATTTTTTGTAATAAATTTTTTAAAATCAGAATAAAAAAAAGGTAATTAAAAATTATTTTCTTTTTACCAAATATTAATTTAGAAATAAAATTTGTTACAAAAGAATTATTTTTTTGCTTTTTAAATACATATATGGAATTTTGAAATATATTTTCTATTTTAAATTTAATTTTATTTTGTACAATTTATTACAATTTTTGTTTCTGAATTAAAAAAACAGAAAAAATTCAACAAAATAAAATTGTCAGAAGAATCAAAAGACAAAAAAATGCGAGGTGGTTCCTTAGTATAAAATAGCATTTTTCAATGTAATTGTGGAAATTTACTTTTTAAAGCAGCGAGAAATTTTCTAAATAAATATGTACACTAAATTTTTTTTAAAAACTTTTCAAGTTCATTCAACGAAAAAAAAAATATTGTTTTAGAAACTATTTAAATTTTCAGTTCAGTTTTTTTTTCGTTCATCACAAAATATAGACAATATTCCAGAAAAAAAAAGAAATTCGGACAGAAGACAAGAAAAAAATTAGTAAATTAAAGGAGAGAAAAAAATAAAAAGAAGAAAAAAATAGTTAAAAAAAAAAATAATAAAAGAAACAAATAGTAAAAAAAAAAATAAAAGAAACAAATAGTAAAAAAAAATAATAAAAGAAACAAATAGTAAAAAAAAATAGTAAAAAGAATAAAATATTTAAAAAAAAAGGAACAAAATAAAACAAAGAAAAAGACAACGAGATTAAAAACAATTTAAAAAGTAAATTTCCATTCAGTTCGGATAAATAAAAAAAAAAAAAAAATAAAAAAATTTTTAAATTCACCGAATCTTTCTCTCCCGGGACGCGACTATAGAAATACAAGATAACAAACAACTAAGAAGTACAGAAGCTGCCAATTTTTTTTTTTTCTAATCAAACTTATTAAAAAAAAAACAAAAAAAAACCAAAATTCTAGGTAATAATTTTCACACATTCCAATCGCGGTCGATTGGTACTGAAAAAAAAAATTTTCTTTCTCTTCTCCCCCTTATTGAAAAATTGCAAATAAAAAAGAAAAAAAAAATTACAAAAAAAAAAATATCAATTATTAAACAGGGGAAATATTTTTCTGACTAAAAATAGAGATCAAAAAACATTGCCACTTGTTTCAAATTATATAAGAGTTAATTAAAGTAACAATACGGTAAAATAATTAATAACGTATAAATTGTGTACATATTTCTTAAGGAGTAAAACGCGTTTTTTCTTCTTCTTCTTCGTGTGTTAGTGTTTTTTTTACCACTATAGGCAAGTTTCTCATTTCGAGAACAGACAATGAAGAGTAATTATTATGTAAAAAAAAAAATGTGTTTTCATTTCTTGAACGCTTTGTAAAAAAAAAATCGAACGAGAGGTTTTTAAAAAAAAATCGCCAAAGGGTTGCATTAAGTACTTCAAACTTAAATCTGAATATTTTTTTTTTTCTAAAAAAAAGCGTTTAAAAAAAAATGTAGAAAAAATTGTTTTTCTTCTAAAATTTATTTAAAAAAGAAAAAAGAATTCTTTAAAATTCTTCTTGAGAATTTTTTAAAGAAAACTTTAGAGGAATTTTTCAAATAAAAAAACTGGGAAATTTTAAAATAATTTTTTCAAAAAAAAATTTTCTTTCGAAATTATTGTCCTTGGAAATGAGGTTTTTGAAAAATAATTTTCTTGAACTTGTAAATAAATAGTTTTCAATTTTAGAAATTGAAAAAAAAACATTTATTTTCATATTTGAAATTTTTTATCTATTCAAATATAAAACATTTATTTCCATATTTGAAATTTTTCTTTATTCAAATATAAAAATAAATTTTTGTTTTTGGAATTGAAAATTAATTCATTAAAATTTTTAACAAAAACCAACAATATTTCCAAAAGTAAGTTTTTTTTTTCTTTAGAAACAAATAATTTACAAAGAACATTTTTCAAAAGAATTTTTTTTTTAAACTCAAACTGGTAAAAAATTAATTGAATAAAATAATTTAAAAAATTAATTGAATAAAATAATTTAAAAAATTAATTGAATAAAATAATTTAAGAAATTAATTAGAAAATATTAATTAAAATAAAAAAAAAACCCTTTCGGAAAAAAAAACATTAAAAAGGAATCGTAAAAAAAACAGTTTCTCGGAGTTTTGCGCGTTCGTAAATACAGTTAAAATCGTAGTAAAAAAAAAAAAAAAAAAAGGTGGACTAAATAGTAATAAGAAAGTTAAAAACAAACTCTGTACGCTATGCAAAAAAAAAAATCATTGCAAGAAATAAAAGATCTTAGAGAGTAAAAAATAAGGCGATTATAATTAAACACTTTGTCGCTAATCTACATGTGTCTCTGTCTATAAATTGGATTTTTTCATTTTTTTTTTAAACAGGAAAAATTGTGTCTTGAAAAAAAAAATCTCTAAAGCTCTTTCGTGCGGAGAAACGTGCGCCTCGTTTTTTTTTTTTTTTAAGAAAAAAATTTCTTTTAAATAATAGAAAAAAAAATAGAGAAGGGGAAGACAAAATAAAAAAAAAAAAAATGGAAAAAAAAGAAAATTCGAGACTCGCGAGAATGTGCATGGCATCCCTTTAGCTTCCGTTTCTCTAAAAATTAGATCACTTAGATAGCTTTATACACGATCATTTTTTATAACAATGTAAATCGTAATCATTGCGTTAATATTTAATATATATATTTATATTTATATATATATATATTTATATATTTATATTTATTTATACTCTTATATTGTAATATATGTATATCTGTGTTTTGTTGTTGTTATTGTTGTTGTTGTTGTTGTCTTGTCTGATCTATCGTCTAGTTTTTTTTTTTTTTTTATTTTCATTTATCAATAAAACTATAATACTAGAGTTTATGTCAATACCGAGCGCCTTTCCGAAATTTACAATTCGTTTTTATACCAATTACAAGTTTTTTTTTAAGAAAAGGAATTTTTTCAATCTTTTTTTTAAAAAAACGAAATCTTTTCTTTTTTTGGTTTATTGTCAACGATTTTTTCTTTTTCTTTTCTTTTTTTTTTTGATAAATATTAACGAATATTTCAGAAAAGTGAATTTACATAAAAGAATTTTAATTCACTTTACAAAATGGAAATTTATTTCAAAAAAATTGAAATTTATTTCAAAAATTTTGAATTTAGATAAAAGAATTTTTATTTTCTTTACAAAATTAAAATTTAATTCAATAAAATTGAATATTATTCAAAAATCAAATTTACTTCAAAAAAAAAATTGAAATCTAGTTCAAATAATAGAAAATTAATTCCTAAAATTTTAAATAATTTCTTAAAATTGAAATTTATTTGAGAAAATTGAATTTCTAAAATTGTAAATAATTTCTTAAAATTGAAATTTATTTGAAAAAATTGAATTCGCATAAAATAATTAAAATTTACTTCACAAAATTGAAATTCTTTTCAAAAAATTGAAATTTCTTCAAAAAAAAAAAAAAAAAAAAATGGAATTTAAAAAAAAATCATTTGTTTTTAGATTCGTTTTCAAAATCGACAAAAATTTCAAAAAAAAAATCACATTTTTTGTCGAATAATAATAATAATAAAAAAAAAAAATAATAATTACTGCCTGAAATAAAAAATAAAAAGTATAACAAAATTCTTTAATCAAAATTATTTATAAAATCTTTAAATAAATTATTTAATATTCGTATAGAAAATTTTGACTTAAATTAATTATTCTCGGTTTGGCGACAGGTATTTTTTTTTTTGTGTCTGTGTACACGTGCATCCTGATTTTTTTCTTTTCTTTTTAATGGCGTTTACACTTTAAAATAATTTTTCAAAATATTTCTCTATCAATACCTTTTTTTTTTATTCCGTTTATAATTGCACAACATTTTCTCTATTTTTTATTCCGCAATAAAAAAATTTCCATTTTGCTTCTAATTTATTCCTTTTTTCTTTTTTTTTTTTTTCTTCACCAAAAAATCGAATTGTGAAATTTTCTCGAATTCCAAAAACACTCGATTTTTTTTTTTTTTTTCAAACATTCGAAACAAAAATTTTGAAAAGAAATTTTATTTTTTAAAAAAAAGAAAGAAAAGAGATACAAATATTTTTCGAATATTTAAAAAATTTGAAATCAATACGAAAATTTCGAAAAAAAGATTAATTATTATTTTGGCAAATAATAGAAAATAAAAGAAAAAAAAAAAAATTAAAAACAAATAAGGAATAAAATTAAATTTCCCGTTTTTTGAAATGGAAAATATTTAAGAAAAAATTCGAATTTAAAAATTCAAAAATACAAAACTATAATTTCCAATAGTGAAAAAAATTTAATACACAATTAATAACTATATACATAAAAATTAAAATCTTAAATATTTGATATTCAAAATATCGATAAAAAAAAAAAATCCAAGTGTTTTAGAATTCGAAATCCTAATTTTTCTCTTTTTCTTTTAAAAATTGCACATTTTCACAAAATTATTAATATTTTGTCTAAATTTCGATACGAGCGATTTTTCCGTTTTTTTTTTTTGAGTTAGAAAAAAAAAATTATTTAACACAGAAGGTTTTTAGGTGCACGGTCACCGATTGTCTGTGAAAGAGAAAAAAAAACAGAGGGCGAAAGGGGGGGGGGACTTTTTTTTCTAATCGTATGCAAAAAAAAAAAAAAATCAAATCTCGTTCATCAATCGCGCACGTTTTTTTTGTATAATTCTTGTTCATGGCGAGCTCTTGGAGTCGCTATAAAAAAAAATGTTTTTTTTTGTGTGTATGTGTATATATGTTTTTTTTTGTGTATGTATATTGATGTGTAGATGTTATGAAATGATTATTATTTTTTTTTTTTTTTTGTGGTGGTAGGCACTGATGGGGGTGGATGGCTGCATGACGAGCATATTTTTTTTTTTTTTTTTTTTTTTTTTGTTAATAACAGTCTAGTCTTTGACTAGTCTGTATATGTGATGCTGAGCACCGTGTTCGGACGTCGAGACTTCGAAGACGTACGCTGTGCAAAGTAACGTTTCCTGCGTGTCTCTATTTGTCACAACCTGTGGGAAAAAAACAGAAAAAAAAAAAATTATTATTTCGTTCAAACATTTTTCTTTTCAATATAGAAAAAGAAATTAGAATTTATTTCTATTTTTTTTTTTTTTAATTAAAACTATTTTTAAACAAAATTGAAAAAATTAATTCACAAAAATTTTAACAAATTGAAAAAAATTTAGACAAATAATAAATTAAGAATTATTGGAAATAAGTAGAAATAACTAGAATAAAAATGAAATAAAATGAAATAACTAAGAAATGAAAATTAATTTCGAAAATTTTTAACAAATTGAAAAAAATTAATTTAGACAAATTTTAATAAATTGGAAAAATTAATTTGGAAATAACTAACAAATGAAAATTAATTTCGAAAAATTTTAACAGAAAAAATTAATTTAGACAAATTTTAATAAATTGGAAAAATTAATTTGGAAATAACTAACAAATGAAAATTTCGAAAAATTTTTAACAAATTGAAAAAAATTAATTTTGAAAAATTTTAATAAATTGGAAAAATTAATTTGGAAATAACTAACAAATGAAAATTTCGAAAAATTTTTAACGAATTAAAAAAAATTAATTTAGACAAATTTTAATAAATTGGAAAAATTAATTTGGAAATAACTAACAAATAATAATTTAGTTTATTATTAGTTTTAGTTATAAAAAATATTAGAAAATAATTAATAGTGACGATTTTTTTTCTGTTTTTTTTTAGGATTTACAAAGAAGAAGAAAAAAGAAAAAAAATTGAAATTACCTGGAGGATGGTGAAGTTCTCAAGAACGCTGTTCATCATGTATTTTTCAGGTAGGTGCTTCAGTTTGTGAATAAAATTGATCATATACTCGCACATGGGAGAGCGGGTGATACGATAAACGAACCTTCCATTCTCAAACCTGGCGTACTCGGTTTCCACCTTTTCTACCACTTGTTTGCCAAACGAGCAAACCTTCGTCGAACACGTTATCGTCATGTTCTCGTTGCTCTCGTATCTATAGAGGAAACAAAAAAAAAATTTTTAAATTCAAAGACCAATGAAAATATTTTTATTTTTTTTCGTAATATTGTTTTATAAATAAAAAAATCAATAATAATTAGAACCAAAAAAAAAATAAAATATAATAATAATAAATAAAAATATGAAAAAATAAATAGTAATTAGTATTAAAAAAAAAAAATAAATAGAAAAACAAAAAACAAATAATAATTAGTAATAAAAAATAATTATAAATAAAAATATAAAAAAATAAATAGTAATTAGGTAGTACTAAAAAAAAATAATAAATAGAAATACAAAAAAATAAATAATAATAATAATTAGTACCAAAATAGTAATATAGTAATTAAAATATAGTAATATAATAATTAAAAAAAATAATAAAAATTCGAAAAAATAAATAATAATTAGTACCAAAAAAATAACAAATAAAAATACAGAAAAAAAATTAGTACTAAAAGAATAATAAAATAAAAATATAAAAAAATAAATAATAATTTGGTAGTAAAAAATAATAATAAATAAAAATATAAAAAAATAAATAGTAATTAGTACTAAAAAAAAGTAGAAAAACAAAAAATAAATAATAATTAGTACTAAAAAATAATAATAATTAGTACTAAAATATTAATATAATAATTAAAAAAATAATAAAAATGCGAAAAAATAAATAATAATTAGTACCAAAAAAAAAAATAACAAATAAAAATACATAAAAAAATTAGTACTAAAAGAATGATAAAATAAAAATATTAAAAAATAAATAATAATTTGGTAGTAAAAAATAATAAAAAAAATAAAAAATACGTACTGGCTCGTCACTCCATAAAAAGCTCCCGCTTCGTCCTGAATATTGGTGTTGAGATCCGCCCAGAACTTGACGAGGAAGAAAGCCGCCTGTGGTCCTTTGTCATACAATTCCTTGAGGCCGCCTTTCTTCTCCGGGAATTTGTCATATATCTGCCTTACGTCCACTGCTTCGAGGAGTGGATCCGCGTACGTCGCCGAACCTCCTATGTGGACGAACAGGTGCTTATGGTACTGTAAAGAGAAAATTTCTTTCTTTTAATTTTCCATTTTTTTCCAAATAATTCAAATTTAAAAATAATTTAAATTAGGAGCGAAAATTTCAAATAATTATTATTACTTTTCTTTTTATAAATTAAATTCTTTGATACTATTTTAATTAGAAAATAATAATTTTTATTTTAATAAATTTAAATAACTAATAATAATAATATTAAATAATAATTATTAATAAAATAAAAATTAATATTCCGTGAATTAATTTTTTTGAAAAAATTTAATATTTGGTATTTAATTGTAATATTTTGTACCCGAAAGGCTTCAAGCCTGTAAATAATTAAAATAAATAATTAAATAAAATCACAATTGAAATTGACAATAATTACAAAAAAAAGGAAAAAAAAAATGTATTAAAATTAAATAAAACCAAAAAAAAGGGGGAGGGAGGGGGGAATAACAAAAAGAGGGAGAAAAATTAAATTAATTAAAATAAACAAAAAAAAAAAAAAAAAACAATAATAATAAAAAAAGGAGAAAAAAATAAATAAAAATATTAAAATTAAATTAAACAAAAAAGGGGGAGAAAAATAACAAAAAAAGGGGAGAAAAATAAATAAATTAAAATAAACAAAAAACAGGAGAAAAAGAATAACAAAAAAATGTAACAAGAACTAATAATAACAATTTCTTTCTTTTTTTTTTTTATTAAAAGAAGTAAAAATTTGAAAAAATTTGAAAAAAAACTATAAAAAATTGGAAAAAAAACTTTTTTTGTGGACAATAATTACAAAAAAAGGAAAACAAAATGTATTAAAATTAAATAAAACAAAAAAAAGGGGGGGAGGGGTAAATAACAAAAAGAGGGAGAAAAATTAAATTAATTAAAATAAACAGAAAATAATAATAATAAAAAAGGAGAAAAAAATAAATATAAATATTAAAATTAAATTAAACAAAAAAAAGGGGGGGAGGGGTAAATAACAAAAAGAGGGAGAAAAATTAAATTAATTAAAATAAACAAAAAAAAAACAATAATAATAAAAAAAGGAGAAAAAAATAAATAAAAATATTAAAATTAAATTAAACAAAAAAAAGGGGGGAGGGGTAAATAACAAAAAGAGGGAGAAAAATTAAATTAATTAAAATAAACAGAAAATAATAATAATAAAAAAGGAGAAAAAAATAAATAAAAATATTAAAATTAAATTAAACAAAAAAAGGGGGGGAGGGGTAAATAACAAAAAGAGGGAGAAAAATTAAATTAATTAAAATAAACAAAAAAAAAAAAAACAATAATAATAAAAAAAGGAAAAAAAAATAAATAAAAATATTAAAATTAAATTAAACAAAAAAAAGGGGGGAGGGGTAAATAACAAAAAGAGGGAGAAAAATTAAATTAATTAAAATAAACAAAAAAAAAACAATAATAATAAAAAAAGGAGAAAAAAATAAATAAAAATATTAAAATTAAATAAAACAAAAAAGGGGGAGAAAAATAACAAAAAAATAGGGAGAAAAATAAATAAATTAAAATAAACAAAAAACAGGAGAAAAAGAATAACAAAAAAATGTAACAAGAACTAATAAAAACAATTTCTTTCTTTCTTTTTTTTTTATTAAAAGAAGTAAAAATTTGAAAAAAATTTTGAAAAAAACCATAAAAAATTGGAGAAAAAAATTTTTTTTTGGACAAAACTGAAAAGAAACGAACGCAAAAAATATTGAAAGAAAAAAATTAGTTTTTTTTTCAAAATTAAAATTTTCGTTTTTTTTTGTGTTTTTTTCTTTTTTTTGCAATAAAAAAAATAAAAGAAAAATTATAGTTACCATGTCTTGATCTCTGGGTTGTTCCATGAAGGCCGAAAATTCGACGAGTCTTAATTTGTGAGTTGCAATGGCACGTCCTTCCCATGGTGGTGGTGGTTGTGCTTGAACCATGTCGCCGGTTGTGACCGCCGTCGCTGGTTTTCCTGTGTATGCCGGTTGCGGGAACGGTTTGACATCTTGTGATGTTCCTGGTTGCAAGCCCGGTTGCCAGAATTGCTGGAAAATTGAAAAGAAAAAAATAATTTTTATTTTCCAAATAAATAAATAAAAAAACAAGAAACAAAAATTATTGAAAAAAATTAGAAAAAACAAACAAATACAATATAAAATGTAATTATATTTTCAAATAATAATAATAATAATAAAAATTGAAAATTAAATAAAAAATGTTAAAAAATAGTAAAAAAATTTAAAATAAAAATTTTAAAAATCTAAAAATAGTAAAAATGGTAAAAATAATTTTTCAAAAAAGCTAAAAATATTTAAAAAATAGGTAAAATAATAATAATAAAAAAATGGAAATATTAAAATACACTGAAAAGCATCGTCGAAAATAATTAAATAAAATTTTTAATTAGCGATTAATTTTTTTTTTTAAGACGTAGGACAACACAATTTTTCAATATAAAAAGTGTCGAGCAATTAATAAAAAACGAAAGAAAAAAAAACGAACACAACGTAAAAAAAGAATATATATATATATATACAGTTAAAGAAAAAAAGAAGAAGCATTAAAATATACAAAAATTGCAACATAAACAATATTAAAAAAAAATTTACAATGGAAAAGTGTTAAAAAAAATAAGATTAAAAAAAATTTCTTTTTATCGTAAGTGAAAATTCACAAAAAAAAAAATTTTTTTGCAATTAAACACATAAATTAATATAGTATTTTTTTTTTTATAGAGCGACGGACAATTAAACAATACACAACAAGACCCCCTTCTCCAGGGGCTAGCAATAGCGGGAATTATTTTTTTTTATATAAATAAATAAATAAATTAAAATTTTTTTTTAAAAATTATTCATTAATAGAGAAATATCAGTTTGAAAAATTTTTTTTCCAAATTTTTTTATGTATATTAGAGAATAGTACAAAAAAAAAATGGACGAGACAAATTATTTCAACTGAGAGAGAAATTTTTTCAAATTTTTGAAAAATTATTAATTTACAAACAATAATAATATTATTAATAATAATAAAAATAAAACCATTCTCAATAATAAATAATAATTATACAAATTTATTTTTTATATTTTTAGTTAGTTTTCATTTTTAAATGAAAATAAAGTAAAAATCATTTTTTTATATAATTTGTAATAAAAAAAAAAAAAAAAAAAAAAAAAAAAAAAAAAAAAAAAAAAAAAAAACAATAGAATTTATAGAAAAAAATGTAACTTTCTTTTTTAAATAAAAAATCAAAAAATTTTTCTCTAAAAATGATGAGTTAATCGCGCGAAGCAGTTAGAAAAGTTAGTATTATTCTGAAAAAAAAGAAAAGCCAAACCGACAATTTTGTATAAAAAGTAGATTTTTTTTTTCGTTTCCAAGATAATGAGACAATTATCTGTTTTTAAGTGAAAATAAAAATAAAATTTTATAATTAATTTTTTTTTTACTTTAAATACAAAAAAAAAATAAAAGTTTCCATACAACTACAAAAGAATCAAAAAAACAAATTATTAAAAAATTTCCAGTTCCCTCTCATAAATAAAAAAAATAATAATTATGTAAATAAATAAAAAAAATAAATAATAAATAAAAATAAAAAAAATAATAATAAATTATAATAATAATTATAATAAAATAAATAATAATAAAAATTATTTATTTATTTATAAACGGGGCAAGCCCTTTTGTATAAATGATAATAATCATAATAATTATTATCAGATTAATTATAAATAAATAAATTTTTATAATTAAAAAATGTAATGGAAATTTTAAGAGAGTTTGTAAATTTTTTTTTCCAGATGTCTCATTATCTTACAATTAGATTAATAAAGACCTTTTTCAAGTGGACCTTTTTTTAAATGTTTTTTTTTTTTTTTTGAGAAAAAAAGGTCGTATCTTGAGGGGTGTGTTTTTTTCGTCATTTTTTGGGACTTACCGCTCCGGGATAGGAGACGGGGGTGGAAGCGTGAAGGGCAAGGGGCCCCACAAGGGCGGGGGGCATCTTGTTGTGTATCGCACTGCCAGTCGATACTATCTGTGCACTCGACATGTTTGACATAGTCTGCAACGCCTTCTCCTTTGCACTATGATCCTAATAAAGTTTTACCAAATTACCCTCTATTTTTCATTTTTTTTTTTTTTTTTTTAATTAAAAAAACATTCGAAAAGAATAAAATTTGTTCATTTATTAAATTTACTAATATTATTTATTTATTAATATTGAAAAAAGACTATATTTACAAATAAAAAAAAAATCACCCCCAGGAAGAATTGAACCCTAGACACAAAATCCGTACAGTTCATACACTTTACCGCTGAGCCAATAGCTAAGTCGAAAAAAAATGTTCCGTATAAGCAAAAATTATCATTTTCGTAACAAAATAACAAAAATAATTATAAAAAAATCGGCCATGTTTAAAAAAAAGAATAATTATTATTAATTAAAAAAAAATTAATTTACCAAATTCTGTGAAATTGGAAAATAATTTCAAATAATTCACAAATGGGAAAATAGAAAAATTTTCCACAAGCAATAATTCTCAATCGATATATTAGAGATATATACACGAAAGAGTAGATATCTATATATATATATAGAATATAGAGAAAACGAAAAATCAAGAAATCCACGATATATCCCTCCCTCCCTAACCCATGGAGGATTAAGTCGACTCTAACCTAAAGCCTTGAGATTTAATGGACATTTTCTCTTTCCCGCAAGGAAGAGTTAAATCAAATTTTAAATCACTCGGAATCTCTTTCGACAAGCTTAATAAATCTCCTTTGAGAGAAATGAAAAGAGAGAAAGAAGGGGGGCGGAGAGGGAAGGGAGGGTGGGCAAAAAAAAAATTAAGCTTTTTTCTCGAAAGAAAACCAAAATGTGAAACAAGCTTATAGATTCAAAATTCTTTTTTTAAATGAATTAAAAAGGCAATTTTTTTGCCAATAAAAATTAATAAATAAATTATTGAAACTGTTTTCTTATTAATAAAAAAAATAATTAAAAATAAATTAAAATAATTAAAAATAAATAAAAAAAATTTTAAATAAATAAAATTACCTAATTAAAAATAATTTTAAATAAATAAAAATAAATAAAAATAAATAAAAATAAATAAATATAAATAAAAATCCATTTTTTTGTAAATGCAACAAAGTTAAATTATTTAAAATGTACCTAGAAATAAAAAAAAAAAATTTCGCCTACGAGAAGAATTGAAACCCGGTCGCAAAATTTGGACAGTTCGTACCCTTTACCACTGAGCTAATGGCTAGAAAGAAAATTTTGTCCAACTAAAGAGGTAAAAACGTGATATAAGCTCACATTTAATAGAAAAAAGTTAATTATTTTCAATTTTTAGGGTTCCTCTCACGCAATGAACCAAAACAGAATCATTATGGATTCACTTGTCCGTCCACAAAATCCTATCCCCCCTGGGTAGCATTTTTGGTGTTAAAATTTGTCTTCCTCTACTTGTATCCGGGTGTCAATTTTTTTCTACACTTTTAGGTGTATTTTGCGCAAGAATTTACAATAAAATAGTCTGTCTAAGAAAAATTTAATTATTTTGAGAAATTTTAGGGTGTAACTCGAACTTTACCAATTTTTCTAAATAGAAATTAATAAAATTAATAAAAAAATTCTTAATTTTTATCTTATCGGGTTATTTTTATCAATTTTTTTTTTTTTTTTTGGTCTGTTCATCGTGTCAGCAATGTTCGAGCGATTTTTGTAAATGACTTTTTATTTGATAAAATAGAGATGAGCGAGTTCTTCGAGTGCATTCGTTCGAACTGTTTGATTTACGAGTGGTGTTACGTTTTTGAAATAGGATTGCGATATCAAGCTTCGTGCGATGGAGGGAGTAGAAAAAGAAAATAAAATTTGGATAAATGTTTTTATAAAAAAAAGGAATAAAAAAAAATTCGCCTGACGAAAGATAAATAGAAATTTGAAGCCGGATATCGATATTCAACTTTATTGACGTGAGATAATTTTAAACGAAGAGAGAGAGAGAGAGAGAGAAAAAAAAAAGAAAAATTGAAACGAAAAATGATTCGATCATTAAAATAAATTTTCTACTTTGGAAAAATTTTAATTTTTCAATTTTAATTTTTCAATTTTAATTTTTCAATTTTAATTCGCCTATTTTAATTTTATTATTTTAATTTTCCCATCAGTTGAATTCCAACTTTGAGGTTAGACCACAACTTTTGGAAGAATTTCCGATTATATAATAGAGGTACGAAAATTTCTTCTTTCAAAAAAATTTTAACATAAAAATTTTATTTTTTTAAAAAAAAAATAGAAAATTATGAAAAAATTTTTTTGGACTAATAAGAAGAACGAATATTGAAATAAAAATCAGCTTTTTAAAAAAAGAAAAAGCTCAGAAATACATAATAATTGAGAATTGAGAATTAATGATGGAATTGAAATGCAAATGAGAAAGAAAAAAAAATTTTCTTTTCTAAAGGGAAAAAAAAATTCGTCAGATAATGAATAACGATTTAGAAACGAATAGAAAGAGAAAGAGAGAAAGAGAGAAAGAGAGAGGCGTCCATAATTCATATACATCGACTCGAATTATATCCATACAGGAGATCTTTCTATACATTTTTTTTTATTTCTGGTTCTGGAAGCACTTTTTCTTTCATACATATATACAGTTCTACAATTTCATATCTTTTTTTTTCATTTTTTTTTTTTTTTTGGTTGTATATTTCTGTACGATATATATCTCGAGGGGATCGAGACACTTTTTCCGCGAGAGAGCGCGGTGTCTAAATCGACTGTCAACGACAGAAAAATGGCCCGAGAATCGATGGTCTCAATGACGTTGCACGTTTGCTTATTGCAAATTTCTCTATTTTTTATTTTTTTCATCAGACACAAAAGACAAATCAATATTTGAATTGAGGGAAATTTTTTTTATAACGATTATAAAAATATAACCTTAAAAATGGTAACGACCTTTTTTGAGGTTATTTTTTTTTCGCGCCATAATGTGTTTAACGGTTTTTTACGTAAATAATAATA